TTGTTTGCGGATGTGCCAGACAAGATAGCATTGGATATGATATCTGAAAGCAAGCGGTGATCTATGACAGCTGACAGAACCTCTGGGTTCTGTCTGATCACAGGAAGGCCGTCAAAGGTCAAGAAGTCAAATGCTATCGCATGGTACGCAGATTTTAGATCTGACGCTGCTCCTGTCAGTGCACGCTTTCGATAAAGTGTAAGATTCGAGATGTCAACACGTACCTTTCTCGGAAGATAAGGGTGCGCGGACAACGTCGCAGAGCATTGCTTGCTCGGCAGGATCCATGCCCTCTGAAAAGTACCGTGCCGCAACATGATAGTACCGGCCGAGGATTGAGCCAACACTCCAAGGCCGTTTTGTCACCAGCTCAGATAAAAGGGGTAGGAGCGCACGGGCGGAAGCGAATGGTCCTCTGTAGCTTTTGGTACGTTAGTTGAACAGACTGAGGCGAGATAAGCCTTATTTGACTTACCTTTCAAGGGCAGCGACGATGAGACCGACCAGGCGATCAAGAGAGTGCTGGTTGAGGCTTCCGAGTTGATGATCTCGTGCTCTATATGCTGTGAGATCGTGTACGAATGAATCTAACCTATTCTGGTCGTCGTCTCGCTTTGGGTCAAAAAGAGCCACCAGCAGTGGCAACGTTTTGGTGATGTGGCCAAGATCGGTACCCCCGGCACGCTGCATTTCGTTGTCAAATGCCCGACGATGACTTTCTCTAATCTTCTGCCTCGCGCAACATCCCCTCCATATCCTCTGGAGCCGCTTCGCAGCGACAAGCTCTTCGCGATTCTTCTGGCGCTTCTCCCTTTCTGCTTGAGCATGGGCAACCGTCTTGGAGGCACCAGATGATGCGCCTGGGTTTGCGCCCCAGCCGCTGGGGCCCCAGGGATTCGAGGGCCGCTGTCTGCTGAGGTTCACGTTGCGCGGCCGCCGAGAGTCGCCGGTGAATGTGGGAAACATGTTGGCGTGTTCTTGGTCCGTCTTCTGTAGGCACGGGTCGGAATTTGCGGAGATTGACGATATCGACAGACTTTCAGAAGTCCGTTTTCGATGGCAATTCGCGTGTTTAAGAATGCGAGTGACAGCGAGCATTACAGGGGGGCTGGGTTCGGGCTGTGCCCCTGAATATGCACCATCTTTTGCTCGTCATGCAGCCAAAATGAAGAATCGGCCGCCTACCACTGAGGATTCGGTAAACCCTCCGAGCCCGACAATGCTGCTGCCGGTTCGTTATTGCTCAATGTTTAGATCGTATTGCGGTAACTGATCAGTATCAAAGTAACAAGGGCGACCAGCGAGTTTTGCATGGCCACATCACTAGCCAGGCAAAAATAAAAGCAGTTTTCTTGCCGATGTGCACGTTGCGTGCTGGGGTTCCATGGCTCAGGCAGCACTGTTGAGGTGTGTCGTAGCCTTGTTGCGGCCAAAGGACGCCTTCCCACAGCCTGCAGGGAGACCCTCGTCATTGACAGGCCTACCCAGCAACAGCCAGGGTCGGTAGCCTCCCCGACCAATTGGCGTACTCATAGCAAAGGTGCTAGGCACGATTGCGCTCCTCTACGAAGGGCAATCTGGCACGCGGCCCGTGACAGACTGAAGCTGGGTGCGTTCGGTGCGGTCTCTGGTCCATATCCAAGCGTCCCAATACAACAACCCATCCACCTGCAATAACAAGCTGAAGCGTAAAGAGACTGCCACCGGTGTCGGTACAAAAATATTCAAGCAGTCACGGCGCGACGTGTTTGACATAGGCAGGCCCGAGGAGCTGCAGGCCATCGACGAGTCACGGATCCGGCCCATGGCTTACCCTGAGTGCAATGCCGTCGTCTGGATTGAGTGTGCGGTACTTGCCCCTCATCACAGCCATGGAAGGTTTTCAATGCACATACTTGCTTCAAGCTGGGCAGAATAAGGCCTTTTATGACAACCATTGTAGCCCTGCATGTCGGCAAAGGAGGCTTAATAAGCCTGGCAGGGCATAAAAACGGACAATCACGATGTTCATATGGCAGAGTTCTGCTGAGACACATGGCGTCTTCGTCCATTGATTACTTGCATTAGGGGTATCCGTGGTAGCCAGGTCATAGTCGAGGCGCCCCATTGATTCCGTCCGAAAGTGGAGGGAAACTGCGCTTACGTCGGTGACTGACCCGAAGAAAAAGAGAACACTGAGGAGGTATGTATTGATTGAAATCTGGTACAAAGCTGAAAGCAGGGTATCCTATATTATCGACTGGGAGGGGGATGTGGTAATGCTGGCGTTTTTTTTTTTATGAGGAGGTCTCGTCTATGCAGGGTAGGACGAGTCTAATCTGTGACTCCGAAATGTAATGATGGAGTGTTGAGTAACGTACTCCACAAGGGAGTGGGACAAACAAGGGAGTGGGACACTTCCGTCCTACCTACGCGACAATATATAAGAGAAATCAATCACAACGCCTCAAATTAATTCAAACTATTCAGAATCCTCTTCTTCAGAGGTGGACTCAAATTTCTGACACGTACGCGCATTATGGCCGGGCTCCCCGCAGACGCCACAGCGTCGCGCGCGCGTCTCTGTCCTCCTCGTACGGCCACTATGCTGACTCGTTTCTGCCCTTAACTGCTCCGTCGCGTCAATCTGGGACTTTAAATCCTTTGCCTGATCAATCGTAAGGGACCCTCCTTTCTGTAATTGCTTTCTCTTCGTACGGCGACGGCGGCTAAGGCGGTCATTTGCATCTCGAAGTTCGGCGAGTTCGTGGCGTACAAGGGTCTGCTCGTGCACCATCATCGCGATTCCTTTATTTAGCTGCCGTAGGCTTGCAATTATTGATGTTGGAGAGCTGCCCTGATGTCGTACAATGCGATTCTTGATGTATTCGGTCTGTGATTCCGCCTCAATTGGGTTGTTCGGCGTCTTCGAGACCCAAGGTGGCGGAAGGCCTGCAGATGAACTTGGCGGAGTTGGCGTATGGGGCTTTACATCTAGCTGCGAAATAACATATTCCGGGTCGTACGGTACTAGGCCAGTCGCTCTAAAGCCTGCCTGTATATTTGACTTGGTAATTGCAGCGTCGTACGCCTTGTAAAAGGCTAGGAGGAAGTCTTCCTTCGCGATGTGGGTAATATGCGCCCGCATGAGACCTTCGATTTCTTTTCCGTACGCCCTTTTAAGAGGTCTAAAGCACCCGACATCGAGAGGCTGGAGCTTATGCGACGAATGAGCAGGCATACAGAGCGTAATTATGTTCTGGTCCTTGCAGTATAGCTCGAAATCGACCGAGTGGTGGCTCTCGTGGCCGTCGAGGATAAGGAGCCGGTAAGCGCCCTTCGTACGGCTCTTTGTATGAAAATCGAAGTGTTTTACCCATTCGAGACCTTTCTCATTCGTCGTCCAGCCGTTTTCAGTAAGCGTAATTACCCAGTTAGGCGGTAGAGGGCTTTCGGTCGTCCAGGAGTCGAGGTGGACCTTGCCTGCGAAGATGATGTACGGCGGGATCGAATTGCCGGACGACCCGATACCCTGGATTACTGTAACCCATTCCTGATTCCCTTGTTGTACGGCTCTTGGCTTGCCGCGTCGATCGGAGGTTGTAACGACAGTCTCGGCGGAGATCTTACCCATCGCGAAGCCCGTCTCGTCGAAGTTATAGATATCGTCGTCGTGTATCCCGTATTTCGCGATTATGTTTCGTACGAGTAAAAACCACGCGCGATACGTGTCCGGATCTTCGCAGAGGACTCTCTGATAGTCGATTCTTCGATTAAAACGCGTTCGGAGCTCAGGTCGTCATCGTACGAAGTTTGTAGCCCAGTTCGTTCCGACGCGCGGCGCGTCGCGTGCGCGGAGGAGTCGATCCGCCATTTCTCGAACACCACTAAGTCGCGGCGGAAATGATCGCGAATCTAGGTCGATTACGTATCGTACGATGCTCTCCTCTTCGTACGGGGTCAATTTCTGGTTATGTGGTCGGGTATCACGTTTGCGCTCTACGCCACGTCGTCGGTCTCGGAGGGTTGTACGTGGGACATTATAGATTGATGCAGCCTTTCGAACACTTAATTTCGGGTTTGATTGAAGCGCGTTTAGCGCTAAGATAAGGTCGTGTTCTTTAGATTGCGCCATAAGAGGTAATGGTGGGAGAATGAAGGAAAAGATTGAGGATTTGTTTAGAGGGAAGAAAGTGGGCGGGTCGCTTGTGGATTACGTTATTCAATGTCTTATTTCAACTCAAGTGAAGGCTGTGTATACCCCAACTACATGCCACCCCGTTCCGTGTCTGATGATTCTCTATATGCACATCCTGATGAATGAAATAAGCTATGTGAACGGCTCTTAAAACTCTCTCTGGGCGGCTGTGGGCGAGACTCGCGTACGTTTGGGACGACTCCTCGGAACGGCAAGCGCCGACATCGAACGCTCTATAGGGCCCAGGTTGAAGCCGGTGAAAAAGACGATAGTACAGCTGAATCCAGCGACGTCGAATTATCTAGTGAGCCAGAGGACTGTATTATTGTTGCATCGAGGCGTTGTTGAAAAAAGGGATAGATCCAGGGTCTGTTTTTTGATGGGGTGGATTTTGGGGGCGTCGGATGGGGGGGTGCGTCGGAAGTGGGGGGAGGGACGTATGATGATGATCCGTAGAGGGTAAGGCAGTAAACGAGTAGCACAATGACGTCGACAAGAGCGAACTGTCATCGTGAGCCCGTTATCATGACAGCATTGCATCGTCATGGTTACGAGAGTGCTGCTTGATTGCCATTAAGGCGCGATCGTTATTTCCGTGTGAGAAAAACAGGTTGTGCTCTGGATTAGACAGATGCGACCCAATCAATTTATGGCGATGATGGCTGACGGGACAAACAAGTCAGCCAGCCTCCGACTTGGGAAGCGTTCCTGCATCCTCGTCTCATAAGCCCTTGCTTGGGTGATGGAGGACGGCATCACCGAACAGTACTGTGCAGTGCCTCTTCTGATTGCGACACCGAGAGGATCTTGCAGTTATTAAAACTGGTTTTACGTAAGTTGGGGAAGGCAAGAATTCACTTCCAGTCGCCCACCGGTCGCCCAACAGTCAGCCACCAGCCGCTTTACATATCGCACTGAAGGCTATCGCACATTATACTGGACCAAGACGAGCAGGCGTGTGGACAACCGCATCATGGTGACAGTGGCGGCTGAGGAAATCAAAAGCAAAAGCAAAGTCCTGATGACTCAGGACCTGGAGCCATGGGAGTTACTCGAGAACCTCGGTAAGGGCGCCTTTAGCCAGGTCTACCGCGCACGAGACCTGGAAGGAGATGCTGGCGAGGTAGCCGTGAAGGTGGTGCCAAAGTTCAAAATGAACAACCAGGGGGTGAGTCTCGCGGTTGCCTCCCTGAACGTCCATATGCATATGACCTCCACGCCCATTGACGCTCGCACCTATGGTGTTATCGCCTTGCGGTGTCGTCAGCCTCAGCTTTCATTCGGAAATGTCGCTATTATCGCTAACTCACACTGAGACGCAGAGGGCAATGGACAGTGACACTGCAGGCAGCATTCCGTTGTTTGCAACCTGGAGGCGTGATAGATATTTCCGATATGAGCTACCATCCGCCTGGGCCAATAGGTCCCGGCAGCGCGTGGATCGATTGGTTCCGGATGCTTGCCGTCCTCACGAATGCCGCCGGCTTTGGATATTGGCATCTACCGGGGTGATCGTGCCAACGTGAGCTGAGGCACGTTGGCTACAAAGTCTTGCGCCGGCCTCGGGACCGGTACTTAATCACTACGGGGATCTCCGTTTACGGGGGTCGCTGCCTTCTAGTTAGCGTGGTTGAGCAGATGAAAGGCATCCTGACGCGAGCCATGGAGTTGGTGCCAGTTTCTCTGTCGCGAGAGGAGATGATGAGCCGACTGGAGAGGGAAATCCTTCAGGATGGAATGACGATTAGAGTGTAAGTCCCACCTTTCCTCCCAAGAGGTATTGTTCGGTTTTGACCTGATATTGCAGGGAGAGAGTCTTTGCACAGAAGCCTGGCGGCGGGTGATTGAAGCCGGGGAATGGGATCCCGGAGAATAGGGAGACTGAGGATGAGCGTGAGTTTCGCGTTCTGGTTGCGGCGTGCCGGTTACATTGTACTGAATCTAATAATCGTATTGCATGAAAGGAGCAACTGCTGAGGCTGTTGGTGCGCGCACCGCGACGCCCATGTGGTGACGCACTCTGGACAAGGTCAGGAATTATGATGTGGTATTTCATTACCGACGCGTTTACATGCCGCCGAGAGTCCGGATCGACTAGTGGTGTGGTCGCTCGGCTGTTGTGCGAGGCTCCAGAGGGATATAACTGAGGCGAACCGCCGGCGTTGTTCTCTTCTAGCCTGATCCACGTCTGCTCCATATTGATTCTCGCCTGTCTCGACTGTTCCCTCTCGACTCGATTCGCTTATGAACCCCATCTGCGATCATGTCAGCTGGAAATGATACCCCTCAGATCTTGGGGGACCAGAAACAAGCTCTCGCACTTGGTGGCGCCTCCTTGGGGGCTGTTTAGATTAGGTAGGAGCATTGCAGAGGATGATTGGTCGGCGGTTTCGGCCCAGAGAGTGAGGCTGTCGATACCGGGTTGGCCGTCGGGTCTGGGGAACAGCCGCACACTTCTCCCGGTATGACCAGTCTACAACTACTACAGATGGATAGATTCAGGACAACCGCTAATATGAGTTTCTTCGATAGATGACAGTGTTTCCGCCTCTCAACGCCGGCAGGATGACATCGCCTTGATGCCTCATCGATGGCGTGTGGAGCGTTGGAACTCAGACCAGGATCTCCAGTCGACCACAGAGCTTGGCTGGATGCCCTTCCATCGCGGTTCCATCTCCCTCAAGATATTCTTGGGCCCTTCTAGGCAGAAGCAACGCCCATCATTCCGTAGTTCGCGATCACACGGGGCTTCTTGGATTCTGTGCGACATATACCATGAATGCAGATAACGCTGGGGACCTCGTCGGGTCTCTGGGAGTTCTCATCGTGAGGTCGACACATCGAGGCCGAGGGATTGGAAAGAGTCTCCACGACGAAGCGTTAGGGCGCTTACGCGAGCAGCACAAAGTGCGTTGTCTGGGACTTGGCTCGACCTTCCCCGACTACTGATCGGCGTGCCATTCGACGAACCCTTCGTGGGATGGTTTCCGAAGGCGGGGTTTGGCATATTGATGAGACTAGGTCGGACTCGGCATCGCAAGCCTCGGACTGGCTTTTGAGGCTAAGTGGCTGGCGGGAGAAAAGAACCACATAGCCCGAAGACGCGACGCTGGAAGTCCAGATATTTCACCAGTTTGGGCTGAGGTTCTCGCCATACAACAACAACATATTCGAAGACGCACTTAGGCTCGTGGCCCAAGTCACCCACGGGAAAGACCTTGGCTGGTATGCACAACTTCATACCCTCATCCACGGGCCTTATCTTGGGGCTAGACTGTTAGATTCAGCAGGCTGCTTGAAAGTTTGTTTAGCCGTCGCCTGGTTCGTCTCCTGTCACCCTTGAAGCAAGATATGAGAGACCTCCACGCCGACGTGGCCTCTCGCTGGGACTGCCAGAACTACTATGGATACGACAGATGGTTTGCCGGTCAACGCAACGGGGCCTCTGGCCTATCCAACCTCAACACGGAGTACATTCGTCGCTACAAGGAGGCTATTCCGTGGATTCAGGCAGGATCGTCTCGAACTCTAGGTACCGCACTGATAACACCAAGTTCTGGGTCAGTGTTCCTCCGATTAAGAGGCTGGGAGTCGGAACACCTGTGCCCCGAAGGCCTGGCTGAGTACAGACACTGGCGACTGGTTCTCCAGGCCTTGCACACCACTCCATCGTTGCGAAGTTTTGCCTAGTATCTTTGCTGGACATTGCCTTATTCAAACCTTCCAGATGAAGAATATGTCTCAGAGGCAACTACTTCCTTTATTCTCATGTTCCAATAGTGGCGATAAGACAACGTTTAGGAGTAACTTATCTCACTGCCAGCCAACATTACCAAAGTATGCGCGACCTATGAGCAGTAGATATTTTGCAAACAGGTAGAGTTAAGCATGCAAATCATTTGGCAAATTGCCAGTTCAACCAAATATCGCCCCGTGGCCGTCCAACTAATCAAATATCGGGGCAAACTTGCATTCCTATGAGAACTACGTATGGGCCCCAGCTCCCTTGGAGGGCCAGCGATCAATCTGTTAAGCCTAACATGTTGCATAGGCCAATCCTAGCACCTTGTATCCTCCCTAGCCTTCGGGGAAGCAACTGAAGCAAGGGGAAGAAGCTGCAACAAGGAGTGGACTGCACCACAAGAAACCAAAGGAGCGGGTGAGAGAGTGGGTTTGAGCACATCGTATGCTTATGGAAACCTCAACGCCCTGGCTTACTTCGCAGTGCCAATGTAGGCAAAGCATTCCTTGAAGGCCTTGGCCTCGAGACCGAAGAGACCGCCATGGTCAAGCATGGAGGCAGGGTACCACGTAGTCGGATCAATGCGCTCCAGGAGTCCCGGGTAGCTAGTCAAGCCGGTCGGCTCGGTGACGCCCCAAGGGTTGCGAAGAATGATGTACTGCTTGTGGCCGAGGACAGTGTAGCCGAGGACGGAATAGGCATGGTTGGCAACGATGTTGCTGCCGGTATACACATCGCCGGTGGCGTAGGTCCAGGCCGTCATGGGGTTGATGGTCTTGAGGTTGACACAGTTGGAGCGGACCAGCCCGAGCAAGTCGTTGGCAGAGTGCTTCTCGGTAATGTAGTAATGGGTGTCGCGCCCGTTGATCTGGGCCATGGCCTTGACCGGATCGCCGCTGTGCGTCTGGGTGATGTCGGGCTGCTGAGAGGAGCTGCCGGTGATCCATTTGGCGAAGGCCTTCTCGTACAACGAGGGCCAGATGTCAGCTCCGTCGCTGGAGCGGCAGTACAGGGGCTCGTTGTTCGAGTTATTCATGGGGATCTCGTAGTTGACCTCCACAGTGTCGGTGCGGGCGTTGTTGTCGCCGCCCTTGTCGTGGAATTTGATAACGAGGCGCTTCTTCTCGTCCTTGTTCTGGTGGACGCGGGTCGAGCGGTTGATGGCAGAAGGGTCCGACCAGAAGACGGAGAAGAGGGCGGCAATCAGCCAGCTGTTGCTGGTACAACCCTGGATCGGGTCGTCGAAGCTGTGCATAGTGTTCCCGTTGACAATCTGGAACGTGGCAAGGTCGCCAATGACGCGCTTGCGGAACATCTGGAAGTAATAGTCGTACATGTCGCGCCACGAACCGTTCGGCGGCATCCAGTGGCCCTTTTGCATTCTGAAGGGAGTGACAAGCTCGTTGACGGTCATGGTCACCTCCCGGTTGGTGACCGTCTTGCCCAGAGAGTGCGCATCGATGATCAAGCGCAGCTTGCCATTCTGCATGCGAGCCATCTTCACACGGGCTTCACCCATGTCCTTCAGTCCAATCTTCTCGAGGTCCTTCAACTGCTGGACCTCCGAGAGATCAGGGGTTTCGAGATCGTGCTCGTTTAGGATCTTCATGTCCTTCTCCGTCAGCTTCTCCGCTTTCCTATCTTTCTTGTTGAGCTTCAGTCCGGCAAAGAGCACGGAATCATGCTTCATATCGAAGAGTTCATCATATTCCGTCTGGAGGACACTGGCCAGGATCTTCGCCGAGGCCATCGTACGAGCCTCAATCTTTCGCCCAAGCAGGGCTTCGGCAAGGGCATATGGATTGACGGCACCCACTCTGACATCCTTGGGGGGGGGGCGTCAGCGTGCAGGCTCCGTCCTCCAGAGGAGAGCGTTGATGCCGGTTTCACATCGCCGAGCTCATCGTAGTCTGACTGGAAACTGTCAGAGCCAGGAGACATTTGCTTGTTGGCCTTGTGGCCAAGGATGGCTTCAACGAGTGCGGATGGGTCGACGACGAGGAGCTTGGAATTTTTGGACGAAGAATCAGAAGACGCAAATTGGATATCATCCATGTTGACGGCAGTTGCACGCATGTGATGAAGGGGAGATAGTGAATTGAACTTGGCAAGTGATTAGGCGGTTAAATGATAAGAGACGTCCTGTCTGAGGAGAAGGAAAGGAAAAGATCTTGAAGCTGGGTTGCTTCTGGGACTTTATGCTTCTTCGCGGCTCGTTCTACACCGATGTTTTCCGGGCAGTAACGCATCATTGGTTCAGAATGAAGCTTCAACCGTGCAGATTTCCTCGTATCTATGACACATCTTGACTCAAACTTCTCTTATAATGGCGAGTGAGCGTTGCAGAAACACCCGTGAAGTGTCGCCGAACCTCCTTACTGGATGGGATCTCTCTTGCTGGTACTGACATGTCAAATGAACCTATGGCCCAAGCGCTGTAACCGGCCAACAATTGCGTGGGTCTGGGAGATTCATCAGATGCAACATGACGTACTTGGTATCAAGGGATCAACCGTTGTTAGCCGCCGTATAGTCGTGTGTTTGAAGTACTTAACTGAGCCAAGCTAGAGGAATGGCTACCAGTGCCACATATGAACGTGACACACTTCGCTCCTCACAACTTACATCGAAGCACTGAGCCAGGTATTCACCCGCTGTCTTTTACCGGGGCATGCCTATTCAATCTAAGCTCGCTGAGCGGCCGAGAGATTGCGGGGTGCCTGTTCTGTTGAATGATACTGTCGTTCGACATCATGGTACAAACCAGCCTGAGGACGCAGCACGCCTCCTACGACAGACTTACATCTCGGTATGCCCCAACCGTTGACCTTTCCCCGCACTGGGAGGCTGACAATGTGCCGTCCTTTCCAGAACTCATACCTCAGCATGTGAAAGCTGGGTCTTCGGTAAGTTAGAGTTGTGTAGCTCAGCTACTATGTAGGACCTTGTGTGGTCTGATGTCTGATAGCCTGCAGAGGGCACTCGTCAACGCAGGGGGCTTTCCGGGTTTATGATTGGAGACGAGCGTATGTGGACGAGCTAGTAAAGCTAGAATGGCTCCACAATGGTGCCGAATCGCTGGGAAACCTGGGGAATGCCGATCACCCCGGATGACTACGCATCACCCCGGCCTTACCCCTGCTCATGATGGAAGGGGGACATAAAGCAGCGATCCTCACATATCTTCCCCGATTCGTTTGAGGTTGATGAACCCATGCAGCTCCGAAATTAATCTTGACGGAGTGGCTCTCATCAAGAAGAGTTATCGTCGTGACTGGAGATCTGGGTGCCAGCCCAGAGGAGCTAAGGACTGGCGAGGTGTCCCAGGAGAGGACCACAGATATCTCGGTCTCCTGTTGATGAAAGCCTGTATTTTAAGTACGCAGACAATTTCGGATGTACGTTTGGTCAACCAGAACACACACACACACACACGCACACACACATTTAATCATGTCCGGTGGCTGCCAGCCAATAGGGCCACTATTTGCTCTGCACATTTCCGTTTCCCAAGCTTTGTCATGATCTCCTAAAAGCCCGTACAGCGTCTGTTTCCTGCTTTTGCCTCTTCCATTTACCGTCACTCTACGGTATCTCGTGTACAAGGATATCGACCAAGATCTTATCTCCCACCTCTCTATGGACCTTGGATCCCATTTCGGGCTCTCATAAAAACTGCCGATCACAGAGATCCTCGCGGAAGCGTGGAACTCACAGAGCAGCTCTCCGGCACAATGCGACACCGGAAACCCGTCATACAAGAGAATTGTACTTTCCAGACTCCTCAGGAAGTGCTCGGTGGTCCCAAGCCAGCAGCTTCCGATGCATGACCCCCCAGCCGAAATCTGCTTCGAGGCCGCCGAAACATGGTGATATGTCAACTTCTGCCTACTCGGGGACCGGCGGAGCTCGAGCCGGAGCACCAGGCCACGCATCCGCTGATCAGCAAACTGGTTCTACATCCTTGGTATTCCTACGATGGCTGCAGACTGGGAGCGGGCCTTTGGTGCTGGACAGCTTACATTGACGTCGCAGAACCTGTCGATGAAGGCGCAGACCATAGGAAAGTTGCAGCCGACGAGGAATTGGCTATGAAGCACGTGTGAGGGAACCGACTTGCATTGCTACCAAATGGGACCTGATGTACAAAGAAGACTCTGATGAGGAAGATAGAAGAAGTAGCCGGGAGTTTGCCTGGACGAGGGCCTTTGCCCCGAGGTCATTACCGCTCAGCCCGTTACGCCTCTGTTGGAATAAATATTGACTTGCATAATGGGCAATCGACATGACGGTTTTTGAGCCAAGAGTCGATGCAAGTCGTGTGAACAGATGTTTGCATTTCAATCGTCGGACGCTGTCCACATCCACTAGGACTTCGAGGCAGATTGCACTGCAGCAATGTCAGTGTTACCAGGAAAACTGCACCACTTGGAACATACTGTACCAGACTTCAGCTGCGCTGGACTGGGTTGAAGCCACAGCAGCCTCCCTCTTAAACCCCTGAATCTGCTCGTACTTTTGTGAGGGGCTCGCATCATTTAGCATTCGCAGGTCGATTGTCTCCTTCAATTTCCTTTTTGCTCTCTCAACGTCTCTCTGAGGCTGATTATGGCTCTGTAATTTCACCAGACAGCTTTTGTTCATGAGCATGCATATGGGTGGTTGGAACTTGAGAGAGATTACGTACAGAATGGGGAGCACGAGGGCTACGACGACGACGACGACGCCAACTGTCACCAAAGCCGGTATACGCGAATCTGGAGCTGAGGCGTCGTAGTCGTTCGGCGTCGTCGGGTTGCCTGCGATAACGCTCATGAGCTGTTAGTGCTCGTTAATATCCTCGTGGCCAAATTCTGCCCGCGTTCGATGGATACAGTACACTGAACATAAATCGAGGGGTGCCTGATCAAATATCATGACAGATCGTAGCTCAGCCACGCCCGACAATCATACGATGCCCTTCGAGAATGCGCAAGAGCCTGCTATAGTAGAGTTTGCCACCGGGCTTCCGAAGCTTTATCACCTAAAGCGCCCTGTGGTTTTATGAGCAGTTGTTTCAACATGGAGATCGCCGCCCTTCATCAGGGCCAACGGGTTAGTTAATTGGTGGCTTGATCGGGCCATAGCCGCGATACTAGTAAGTCTAGACCCCCCATTGCGACCAGTGCGCATCGCGACCAGGGGTCGCGTCGCGACGCGGTTGAGCACCCCACCATACATTTTCCCATATAAACCTGCTCAACCGCGTCGCACCGCGACCCGACCACCTGCATTGTGACCGTCAAAAAGGAAGCTATCGTCATGGTCGCAAAAGACTACCAATTGCGCGCCCTGCGCGCACTGGATGAAGTTGAGGCTGGCGTACCTGTCGCGACGGCTGCTAGACGACACGATGTCGACAGATCCTACCTACGTCGTCGCCTTGACGCGTGCCCAACCTTCAAGCAAAGGTACCAAGTCCGACAAACCCTCTCCGTGACCCAGGAGGATTATCTGGTCTCTTGGGCCCTCGACCAAGCAGCAATGGGCTATGCAGCTCCATTGAAGCAATTCAAGCACTTCGCGATGCGCCTGCTGGCTCTCGACAACCCCTCCGCACACCTCGGCAAGCACTGGTACCGACGCTTCATCCGCCGCAACCCGACCTTGAAGACCTCGAGATCACGACTTATTGAATACAAACGATACGACGGTGCCTCCAAGGCCAATATCGACATCTTCTTCGACCGCCTGACGTCATTGAAGGGCAAACGAGTACGGCCCGAGAACATATGGAACGTTGACGAGTGTGGCGTCGCGGAGGGCCTAGGTCACAATGGCTTCGTGGTCAGTGATGCCTTGCGCGACTTTACCTTGAAAAAGGACGGCGCCAGGAGCACCTAGATCACGATAATTGAGGCCATTTCTGCTGGCGGTGGCTTCATCCCTCCCCTTGTTATTTTTAAGGGCCAATCCGTGCAGCAGCAGTGGTTTCCCGACGTCGAACTTGACAGGTGGAAGCATTGGTGTTTTGACACATCACCAAACGGGTGGACCAGCAATGATATTGCTCTGAAATGGCTCAAGGAGGTATTTATTCCCAACACCAAGCCTACGGATTCTAGAGAGTGGCGATGCCTTCTTCTCGACGGCCACAAGTCGCACGCAACAGAGGAATTTATGACGGAGTGCTTCATCAATAAAATCTGGCTGATTTACCTCCCGGCTCATACCTCACATGTTCTTCAGCCACTCGATGTGGGCGTGTTCTCGGCGGTGAAGGACCACTATCGTCAAGCGGTCGCGGAGGTTGCATATAACACTATGAACGAGTCCCCAGGCAAGCGGGAGTTCCTTGAAGCATACCAAATTGCGCGCAAAAGAAAGCTCAATAAGGAGAACATCTTAGGAGGCTTCAAAGGCACAGGGGTGTGGCCTCACAATCGGTTGAAGGCGCTGGGTTCCCGCTTCGTGATGCGGGACTATGAGGAGGTACGGGAGGCCCAGCAGAATCCCCAAAATCGGGCCCAAACGACGGTTTTAGAGCCAGATTTTTTGACGCCCTTGTGCGCAATTGACGTCAAAACACCAAAAACATCTCGCGATGTCTATAAAATGCATAGGGAGTTGGTAAAGTGTGGTGTACCTTTAGGGGCGGCGACCTGCAGGAAGCTCTTCAACAAGGTCGGGAAGGCAATCGACACTTCGAACATCGCGCGCACCACCGCAGAACACCAAAAAGACCGTCTCCAAGCTGCATTAGATGCTTCAAAGCCTGCTAAACGCCGCAGAGTCGATCCGGATCCCAATAAACAGTTTGTTCAGGTCGTAAACGTGGAGCGCGCAAAGAGGCAATTGCAGCTCGAGATGGGGGCGGACTTCAGCACGGATGACGACACCGACAGCAGCGACGACGAGGTAGAGATCATTGAAGACGACAGTGACGAGGAGAGCTGCATTGAGGTGCGGATCAATTGATTTGAAGCCTTTTTAACGAATGCTTGTTCAGTTATTGCAGAGTGACCATGTGGTCGGTGATGCCCTCATGCGCAGGTTGGGGGGTGGTCGCCATGCGCACTGGTCGCAATGGGGGGTCTAGACTTACGCGGCGCCGGCACTGCGAATCAGTCCCAGCCGGAATACCTAGGTGGTCCACTATGGTACAGTATGGTGGTCATTTCTTCCCCTTCGTTCGGCCGCAGACCCCCGCCCTCACGCCAACTATCGTCACATGTTCTAGCGATGGAGGCATCTCGACGTCCAAGGCAGAGGCGGCGTGGTTAACCGATCGGAAGGTTAACTGACAAACCGCGCGTCATGCAACCGACGCACTCTTCTACGACACTTCCGGTAGATACGGGCCTGGCATCCGGCAAGTCCTATGCAGCTCGTCGTCTTGGAACCAGAGCAATCACACGAGGCACTCGCCTTGGCCACTGGCATTTCCACCCCTGCAAGCACATGGAGTGCTGGAATTCGAGCGAACCCGGACCATCCTCAATGCCAGGTCGATGAAACTTGAATTTGTGCCAAACAGGACGAATGTTTCCCCGCCGCCTAAGTACCCACCCGGCCAGACACGGCCGCCGTAGCCTGAAGTCCAATTTGGCCCAGCAAATCAAACACGCCACAACACGCACGCCACTCAGATTCAAAGTTCACGTCAGTCTGTGAGCAAAGCCGCCCACCCCACTCCGTGGCTTAGCATCAAGCCCTCCAAGTGTGGCTGCAAGCAGTCAACGAACAGGCTTGTGAAAGTGCCCTACACTCTCTGCCAGAGAAAAATCATCACTGGACGGAGGGAGTCCACACCATGCGCCCCGTTGGGTTTCGTTGCCCCGTACTCTATCTCCCTCCGCCTGGAAACTCCTGGTCAAGTTATGCCGCTGGGGAATTACGCCCTGAAAGGATGTTGGCATAAACGGGGTCGTTGACAAGCATATTCTCTGGGAGACGCCATGCCGGAGAGCGGCAGCCGCGTTCGAGCTGGGTGTGTGTGGAACGCAAAAACGGCTGGGCACCACGTTGGGGGAGCCAAGTTGTCCCAAAGGGGATTGGGAGTCAGTCCCGACCAACCAATTGGTCCGCTATGGTACAGCCCACGACTTCGCCGAGGATTTGCAGAACGAGCAACCGTGTACCATTCAATGCCCCTGTCAGGTACAACAAGGATTACTCGATGACAAGGGCCGCACAACATCCATCTGGTTACCCTCCTCAAGCGGGGAAAGGGGTTACATCCCTGGGCCAAGCCAAGGGTTGGTACCCCGGTCGGGGCATCCCTCCAGCTCTCCCAGGGCCGCGAACCGATTTGCCCACTGGAGAGGCCAACGACGGCGGACTCGATCCCGTGGACTTGGCCACAGCCGCCCACAGGGTCGTTTCAGTCGGACCAACGCGACGGTTACAGGCCACGCTCTTTGCAAGGCATCATCTCTCATCAAAAACGAATGCAGGCCCTAATTTGCGAGGCACTCACCTGTCGGAACGTGGATCAGTTACATGACGTGCCTAAAGGAGGTCTAGGTACATGCTGGCGATGTCTTTGGACTAAGAAATGCAGGAACGTGGGCAAATGTGCCACAGCTGGAAGTACCTAAGCAGCCTGGAAATTTCCAGGTGAATACTCCTCCCGTCTCCATATGCTGGGCGTCTGGCATCACAATAATCCACCGATCGGCATGGATGGCACCCGCATCTCCACGGAGGGAGCAGTGATCAACTAAACACAACGGTGAACCTGCCGGCCGGGACACACAGAGTCAAGCTTAACCTTCGAGATGCAGCACCATGACCTCACCCCCATGACAAGAGCCTTGAAATGGGGGGGTCGTGGCTGACGTGTTGTGTCGTCGAAGCATCGTCAACCCCTGGCACATGCGACCACGCCAGTGGCAAAGACGGACGCGAGACTATCTTCTCCCTCTACCAGTCACCCTTAGGCAAGCCATAGTGGTGGCCTGAAGATGGCACACCCTGATCACCCTGTTGCCATACCATTCCTCGCCCCTGACTCACAGCTTTGGTCTGCTCTGGACATTTCGATTTTGCACCATCCCATCAGTGTTCCCATTCCAACTCTAGACGAACCTCTCCTTTTCTCGTCCGAGCTCTGCTCCTTCAAGTCACTGTTTGCATTGGACCATCTTGGCTTGTTAAACTTCTTGCCGGTTCCCTCAGCATCTCTCTAACTTGACTCCGACTCCCCGTGCAAGGGGATAGGTCCTACCCTACACGTTTCTAGTACAATGGAACTACCATTTGCTCCTTTCGTCGAGGCTGAGGATGGCTATTTTAAATATTCGTGTGATATTCTAACTTGACCGGCTTTCGAAGCCCTGGAACTATCACTATCCACTTGATCTTTTGTTGATAAGGCCCCAGGCCCTGCATCCGTCGTGGGCATCCACACCAGAACATTACCGTAATTGCTCTTCCTCCGGGGAATCCAAGCGGCATCGACTTTAGATGCCGAGTTGGCGCTGACCTGACCGCTGCCCGGATATTGGACCACGATTTTGTTGTCCGTTGTTGGATGTGGTCATTCGTGGCCCATCCTAGCTTCGGGGCAAGATCAACCCAGCAAGCCAATGCTCCCGATGGTGACACCGTGCTCTCACCCGGGACTCAAAAAGGGCCACTATTACGATAGCAGTCAGTCTATTGACGGTGCATGGCCTCGGACAGAACTTGAAGGGGAACTTATCCCCTCTATTCGACAGGTGAGCTTGCCGTCGCCCTTCATCGCCGACTCCCTCCCCTTCTTTTCCTGAGAGAAGTCATGCTTACTCCATATCCAGGTCTTTCCGGAGATTCACCTTCGAGGGCAGGATGACCCCTCGAGGAGAGCGTCTACGACGTCTTCTCCCACAGCAGCTAATTCTGCTGCCGCAACGACTTTCGAGTGCTCTCGCTCCCGAAACTCGAACAAATGTCAGTAGCCACGGCTTTACGAGACGACACATCCAGCGCTTCCTTAGCGGCAGCCTTTGTCAACACCTTCTGGGCCTTCCCTCGAGGGTGGCGCACCGCGAACGAGTCCACAGGTTACGCAGGCTCGGCTGGTTCCTATATTGCCGCCAGGGCTCATGGAAGCACATGATCGCCAGGACGTGTGTCCCGTTGCACCCGGCCAGGTGCAAATGGCTGCTTCCGACCTAGACCATATGCACCACGACAGAATGATGTCAACTAAAGACTTCCAACTGACGCGGCCAGCATCTTTATGTTCTACCAAACTGCTGGTTGAATCGGCGCCGTCGTACGTGGTAAAGGAGGGACATCCGCACAGATACGAGCATCCCACTCGAGCTCAGTCCTCGTCTCTGGGGTCTACTCAGCGCCTCGACCTTAGTAAGGGCAAGTCACGGTCTATAGGCCCTAGGATTGCCCAGGAGCATGAATCGGGTTCGGGTGGAAGCAATAGAAGTAGCTAAACCATTGAGAAGGCACGAAGAGAGTCACCAAGGTGAATTCGCCGCAACTGGAGCGCAAGAGAGCCAACGACAGGAAGGTCCAACGAGCTAGGCGGACGAAGACAAAGGAACACATCGGGAGACTCGAGCGAGAGATTGCGGTGCTCAAGGGCAAGGGCAGTCGCGAGAGGATCGTCCAGGAGCCCCTGCGGAAGAACCGGGCCTTGGAAGACGAACTATTTCGGTGCAAGGAAACTATGAGACAGGCATTAAGGCCTCCTAGCCCGGCTCAGGGAACGAGTTTCCCGCCGTGACGGGCGGTGTTCATCGACAGTCCCAATGTACGATATCCTACGTTCTGCGAGCGCCGTGGCATGTTCATTGCTATTTACCACGCCTTCTGGCCATCCATGCATGTCTCTTTCTTTTATCCTCTTCTGTTGAACTACATCTGTACCAACCACGGGCGCTGCCTACATTCATGTTGCTCGGGGCTTAATAATCCATCCCCGTCGCCTCCACTGCCGCGACCTTTGCTGACCACCCAAGGCTGATGCCTGTTTGCTGTACTCATTCTTTAATGACGCCGAGAACCCTGAGCGGCCGTTTAGTTGTGCGTCGGCGTGTCACCCTCGACCTTGAACTCCGGTTCGGACCATCTCCGTTGTGCCGCGCTACCAAATTGGCAGGCTCGCTGTTCGTCTTGTGTGACTGTGACAAAGCGGTGTGGACATTCACGTCGTCGGCGATATGCACTCGGATAAGGTGCAGAGGACTGGAGAGCACGTTCCAGAGGATTGCCAGGCACCCGCCATGGTCCGGTGTTGTCACGTCCGGCGGCGTGTACCGGATGCTGACTCGGAAGGCATTTGTGGAAGGGGAACGGCGACTAGGCTTGATAAGCGGGGCAATAGGCCCTTGTTGTTCGTCTTTGGGCAGTCCAGGAACACCACAATGACTCGCGCTGGGTGTTCCACAAGCAAGGTCTCCAGCTCCCCAAGGGCAGCGTCTCCAAGAGGATTGTCCCCGATTCGTCGAAACCCGCGTAGGATTGCCTGAAGCAAACCCAGCCGGCGCACTTTGCGCGTCCCAGGACAGGATGTAGTAAAGATAGGATCGAAGGCCGCCGCAAGGTACACAGCGTCGATAGGAGAAGTTGCCGATGACACGATGACGGAGCCGCCTTGAGGCAGGCGCCAGGATGGCTGTTGGGCTACCGAGCCACGTCTAACGCCATCGATTTGTAGGTCCGTCCACCACGTGCCGGAGATACCCATCAGTATGAATAAAGCAAGCTTCTTAACAACGGAGCCACTTGGGAACCATTGCAGTAGTATCCCGTAGGCGGCGATGGTAATGAAGATGAGGGGCAAGCGGGTAACAAGGAGAAGGACTTGCAAGATGAGTGAGAAGACGGAGGAAAAGAAGTTGACCGCGAATAGTGAAAAGACCAGGCAGGCCGAGAACATGCCCTGCTCAATAATGTTGTTGGAAACCAAAGCTGGCCTGACGGCCATATTGGGACGATGTTGTTACGGATATTGTAGGATCAGGCCCTGATGTGTGAGTATGGATGAAGCGCTCGGGCTCCTTTTCTGTCTCGACAGGCATCTGAAGGCACTAGGTTCACCAAAGACGTTGCCGTGGAGCGACTCTTGATGCATGTGCAGGTTACCCCGCCAGAGGTAATGACATGATCATCCACGGATCACTTCCACGAAGGTTTTGGCCCGGCAATGGAGGTTGGTTCGCAAGGTGGCTGGCTGGCCCATGAAACTTCCCGTGTGCATGCGGCTCAGTTTGACCCACATCGGGGAGGATAATCCAGTCCATGGGACCAAGGCCGGCATTAGGCGAAACTCCAAGCCCTAAGACCAAAGTGAATTAGCGACAGGAGGGCTGAACATGCCAGCTGGGTCGGGCTCGATCGTGCCGACCGCTTGGAGCGGCGGGGTTGGCGGGGACTAGGATGCGATGCATCAGTCGGGTAGGGGTCAAACGGTAGGACCACAATGGAGAGACAAATGGGTGGTTCAGCAGCAGTGGAGAAAACGCCATGTCACAAACTCGTAGTTGCAAACACGCCCGCCAGCTTCCCAACGTGGTGAGCATGCCGCTCTAGGCAGGTTTCTTTTGCCCTCAACGTTTACGATGCTCCTTAAGAGGGCGTAGATCGCTGCCTGCCCCGTGTCAACAGTGTGGTGGGTTTCTCGGACCAAGACGACTTGTACAGTCGACGGTCAATTCCCATTACAGTGTACTAGGCAGTGTCACCTGGCTGATTCGTATCGGAGTAACCTTATCCTGAAATGGCGACTTGCACCCCGCTCTCGCCCCGGGGCGCGGGGGTGGGGTTTGCAACGGTAAATGGAGCTTAGCCGTAGTGTCAGTACTGTCCTGCGCCTAGCTCGTATTAAAGCTGGCCGGTGGACTGCTACGCAAGTAAAGAGCTTCTGCCGGGGCAGATTCTAGGTACCGAGAGAGCGAGGAACAGAGCAATCGACCGGACAGGACTTGGAAAAGGACGCTGCCGCTTCATCTTCTGCCTCTTGCATGACACGACTCATAGTCCCGCCCCTTTCCCCGTCCACCCCCATATCGCTTTCAACCGGGCTCGAGATAAGTGTCAAGATGTGTGGGTTGTAGAGAGTTGAAATTGGTCCTTAACCACTGCCCAAGTCAAGGGGACGAGTTATATACACAAAACAATGGTGCCCATGTGGGTCGGGACGCCTCCTCGGCTGGGGCGGAGTATCGTTTGACAATAAGGACTGGCATTGCAATGCGCGTGGCTTGATCGCTTGTCATCTCCCGCTCTTGCGCCGCCTCTTGTTTTATTACAACATAATCCCTAAATACCAGACCACCGCTTTCTTCGATTACCCATCCTTGGGACGGAACCCAGGCCACCCATTCATCAACCATCGATAAACGTATCTATTATCACCACTACCACACTCGCCATTATACCCAACGAACCACCCCCAAGGTCTCCCCGACGGACGGCCGCCCCCTCGTTTCCTGTCAACTCGGCCTTCCCCCGGTCGAACCTGAGATCTCGGACTCGAATCCGCCTCTGCAATCCTCGTCCCCTGACGACGCAATATACGCAGCCAGAGGGATCCCGCACCCATCCAGACCGCGTCCCCCATCTCTTCCGCCACGCGGCTACTCTCACTGGGACACCATGGCCAGCCAAAGCCCTCAAAACGTCATCCGCAGGTACGCACCCACCTGTTTGCCCCTCCACCGTCTCGACGATCCCTCCTCAGGGGTCCTCCGCCGAACTCGATTCATCACATGATATCCCCCCCCCACCCAACCAAACCAAAAAAAAAAAGGGGTACTGACATCTAATTCCCTCAGGAAACTGGTCATCATCGGCGATGGTGCTTGCGGCAAAACATCTCTGCTGAGCGTCTTTACGCTCGGCTACTTCCCATCAGTCAGCCCCCCGAGCCTGCCGCGAAGCATATCAAGCTAACCACCACGACCCTCCGCAGCATTACGTATGTCCTCCCCGAACCCTCGACCGTCCGCCCGCCGACCATCCGCTCTCATCCCGCAGATCCCGACAGTCTTCGAGAACTATGTCACAGATTGTAGAGTAGACGGCAAGTCCGTTCAGTTGGCGTTATGGGATACCGCTGGACAAGAAGACTACGACAGATTGCGGCCGCTGGCATATTCTAGGGCTCATGTCATCCTCATCGGCTTCTCGCTTGATACTCCAGATTCCCTTGACAACGTCAAGCACAAGGTACGGCCCCTGGTCCCTTCGATATCCCACGCATCCGCCTGGGGGGATATGGTCAAAGGTTCGCTGATACACCCCGCCCGCCCCCAGTGGATCGAGGAAGCCTCCCGCCTCTGCCCTAACGTCCCCATCATCCTCGTCGGCCTGAAGAAGGATCTCCGGGAAGACCCCCTCGCCATAGAGGAGATGCGCAAGAAGTCGCTGCGCTTCGTCACGCCGCAAGAGGGAGATGCCGTCGCTAAGGAGATAGGAGCCCGCAAGTACCTCGAGTGCTCGAGCCTGAGCGGCGAGGGCGTCGACAATGTCTTCGAGGCCGCCACACGCTCCGCTTTGCTCACCTTTGAGAGCGGCGAGAGCTGCGGCTGCTGCGTCATACTGTGAGCCAGGGCCGCCGCCGCCCGCCCGCCCACTCACATATCTTTATAATTCAACAATCGAGCGTCTCATGCCAGTTCCGCCCTTGGCTCTGCGAAATGTGATGAACGATGCCGGGCTTCAACTGTTGCAGCAACACCAGAACTCACCACGTCGGATCCTTCGCCGTACAAAGAGCGGCGTCCGACCATTACTGTCAGGTAAGTCGGCATCGATTTTGCTCGTTTCCAGCAGCAACTTCACGACAGGCTCATGGCCATTAGCCGAGACCTACAATAGGGGCGACCAACCATCCTTATCCTTCGAGAACTGTTTCAGATGAGACTGTAATCCCTCCCTTGCAGCAGGCTTGAGGTCAATGAGACCATATTCGCGAGACGATTTTGCGTATTTGGTCCTGCTTGTACGTAGGGACGGGTAAATCAAGGGTAGGATAAGATTTCCACGTCTTACGGACTGGATGCATCATACATGAGGCTCATCGACCACCTCCACGGTGTACACAGCAGAGCTCAAGGGACTGGTGCTAGTCAAAATGGTACTTGACGTACATGCAAGAACCAGCCGCCCCGGCTGGTGCGCCATATTCACAGACAATCAAGCCGCCATCCAAGCAATCTGGAACCCAAAGTGTCCATCAGGGCAATACATCCTTGTGGAGACCATACAAGCACTCGACGAACTCCGAAGCAAAGGGCGGGAAGTGTAGTTCCGCTGGATCCCAGCACACGTCGGAGTGCCACGCATGAAATGGCAGACCAAGCAGCAAAAGAGGCTGCCGGCGTCAACCAAGATACACAAGGACCCGCTCAACTGCCGCCAGAGCCAGAGTGCCTCCGGATCCTCATGGCGACCACGAAATCCATCATCCGTCGAACGATGAGGGGCGAATGGGATCTATCCTGGGAGACCGCCAAGCAGGGCAGAGATCTTTTCAAGCTCGGAGTGCGACCGGGCAAATCGAAAATCGATACTCGACACGCACATCGGAACGCACAGAGCTGTCAGCTCTGTGGTCACACAGATGCGCACGAGCATGATCAGCCTCGAGTTCGAGACCGAGTGCAAACACGTGCGACAGAAGATCGCGGACATCATCGACACACTCTCTTGCCGGAAGAACAACAAGCAGATCAGCCACGCCGTCCTTGCCGGCGGCTCGTGCGGTGTCCCATTCATCAGGGATCCGATCGAGAAAACGTTTCCGGGTACCCACATCGCCAACTCGAAGTGCAGTGCGGTCGTTGCGCGCGGCGCGGTACGCATCGCGGTACGCATCGCGGTACGCATCGCGGCACGGCCGGACATGAGATCCATCGGCGTCGAAGTTGTTCGCCTTGGCCACAGCCGCCCGTTCACGGAAGTGATCATGTCTCGCAACACTCAACTTCCACGACGCTATTTAGAATGGTAACCGAGATAAGTCCACGGCCATGGGGTGTGTGGATCCGTAGAGACGTGCTCTGCATGTTCTGCAGCCGAGTGTGGATGCCACGCATGGCGGCTACCTATATTGTGTTAACTAGTGTGTGCCCCATCATCTTTGTCTCAAGTATCAGAGGAGTGACCAGAAGTATCCAATCCAGCCCAAGTTGAGGCCGAGACCTTCCATTGACAGCCCATGCATGTCAACAAGGCGCCAATCGTTGAGTTTGTCTTTTAACACGGGCATCGCACAGCGTGAAGGCTCCGTGAGACATCGCAAGGCAGAGCACGAATGAGGAGGGCCTTAGCTAGAGTGGCCAGTGCTGCTCAGTGCACTAGTGCTGTTAGGCTGCGCACTGCCTGCGAGGCTGAGACGGGGTTGGTCGGTCCCATTTTGCTTTATCACGTACCAAACCCTCGCGCTGGTCCAGTCCAGGCTCATGTAATCGAACACATGCCGCTCGTTTCCAGATAGCTTATGGCTCTCTTCTCGGCGTGGGTGCCGCTCTTGTCCAAGTCGTCATCTTTAAGGGCACCAGCGAGCGGGTAAGTCAACATATACGTCATATTCTCAGAACGGCCGTCTAATGGCCCGAGTGCCCGGCCCCTTGAGTTTGACCGAATTCCGGAGTGGAATACAGTACTGTAATACAGTCGGATAAAAGGGAAATAATGCTTGTCGTACCTCATAGAAGAGACAAACAACCAGGTTAACCATCACAAACAAGGAATGCTCCACTAACGAGTAGGATAAGTGACCTTGCGGCTCAAGGTCGCTATGTTATCGTTCTCCATACTTGATCGACGTGTTCTTACTTAAAGATACTGTAACTTACTTCATCACTACAGTATTTGGCTTCTAACATATTATAAATGTCACCTACTGGAAAAGCAAATCGTATGCAGGGCCAGCTGTCGTCCAAAAAGCTCATGTCATACCATGAGATTCCATCATAGCAACAGGATAATGAATTCCTACTGTCTGGATATCGGTACGTGCTCTTGGATATTCGGCTTATACATAGCTAATGTTGTTGTAAGCCAATCTCCGGGTCTTTATACAGATCACTACGCAGCGTTCTGTACATGCATAACGAGACTGTCAACATCCTTTCACATATGTCTGGTTGTATCGCTTTCACCACTATCCCCTTCTTTCTTCATCATATGCATCATCCCACGATATCGCGCTACTGCTTCGGAGTGGCCTTTTGTTTCGCGTGTTCCGCCATGTAAGCCCGTTGCTCGAATTCTCCGGCTAGATTACTATACTGACGTTAAGAACATATTCCACTTCTTGTCCAATCACAGTCGCAGCTGGGCCCAGTCCTGCAATCGCCTCGATTATTTAGGCATCGTGGTCCTCGTCTGGAGTGCTAATGCACCCGTGGTTCATTACGGACTGTCCGGCCTCCCGGACCTGCAAAGATTCTACAGCTCCATTGTATGTTATTCTTACCAGCAGTTCGTCTGAGCGTATCTGATAACCGTTTGGTTTCAAGAATATCATCACGGCTGTCATGAGTGTGGGGTTCATCTTTGGCCATGACTTTGGCTTTTCTGCCTTTAGAAAGTGGCGTGTACTTGTCTACAGCACATCTGGCTTGGGTTCACTCGCATCACTGTTACATGGCCTTCAAATCAAAGGCTGGGCCGTTCTGGGAAATCATCTGTCCCTTCGGTGGCTGGCTTGTACGATGTCGCTTAATCTCATCGCCGCAGCTGTCTATGCCTTAAGGGTACGTCGCCTCCGATTCTTTGCCTAGGCCCCAAAATTGACGTCCTGGTTGTAGATCCCCGAGAGATGGTTTCCATATAGGTTCGACCTTGTGGGAGCTAGCCATCAGATTTTCCACGTCTTAGTTCTGATAGCCACGTTCACACACCTGGCAGGCCTTCTTGCAGCATCTCAATATGCCGACATGTGATCGCCCTTTGGCCAAGTACAACGTGGCGGCTTTTTCAAGTGCTATAGCTTGGTGTCAAGGTTGTACTCCATGCGTTTATCCGGTGCAGCAGCCTGCCAACGTGCTCACAGATTGGGAATCGTGGAGGTGTGAGTGGGCTCGACTGAGAAGGAATTGTGCAGAGGCGCTTATAATTTGGCGCTTACGTCATTTTAAGCCACCCAAATTATCATTGCATCAACGTCTCTTAGTGATCGTTTCTGGGTCTCGTTGGCACGGTCTCTGGTACACATCATCTGTCGATCATGCCTAAGTAGTTGTGGAAGCCCCATCCTATATCAACCCGGTTCGAGGAGAACCCACAACACATAGTCTCGACAGGCACGCATATGATGATTTATGGAAACCTGCACAGCTTCAAAAATAAAGTTCCTCCACTCATTCGCCCTCATAGCCTCCCTTTCACGCGTAGAAGGGGAAATTGCCTCGGCTATCTGTCTTAGGCAAGGCCACCCAGGAGGCACTGTCCTTCGACTTGCAAGCAATCAAGGAGTCGACCGTAGGCAGACAGTATTTAGGGGAAATCCACAGCTGAGAGTGGATCGAAATTCGCGCGGACAAGGGCCTGGAATGAGACGGATCTGTTACGTGCACAGACCTTTCGTAGGACATGACATGTCCTACATGAGAATGAGAGGGACGTCGAGGTGTGCACGGTCGACACTGCATATGTGGGGCATGTTGAACCCTTGAAGTTGACTCAATTACGGGGTGGAATATGACAGGAGGCACATAGGGGCTGAGAACGGAGCTAAGGGCGGAGCTGCTTCCCGTGCGGACCGGTCACGCTATCCCCAGACAGTATGCGGACTGTACCGACCCTTTCTTGGCGCGAGGATCACCCACCAGTTCTGTGCTCCCATTCACAACCCAGCTGTCATCGGCATGCGAGGGATACACGTCGTAATGAGTATCCAGCTTGGAGTGTACTGGGCCAAGTCTCTGTATTCATTTCGTACATGCCTGAGCTTACCTGGCCATGCCAGCCTCAATAATGGCGCCAACCACTTCGCCGCGTCCTGTGCCAGTAACGCCGTGTCTAGTTTGGAACGGGTACGAACAGATATTGACGGGCACACTCCGTCTCCTTGCGTGAGTCTCAGTCAGCCCAATGGATCTCCGTGAAGATATAGACCACCTGCACTGTGCGACATTGTTAGATATTGTATTGTTCCAGCCCCATGTTCGTGCTTGTCCAAAGACACTGAAACCAAGGCGACGCGAGCGGGTCACCCTCTACCAACGATGCGCCAGTGTTTGAGCAGCACGAGGATAGCATGGACACCCTGGAGATCGGCAGTGTGCGTCACAGTCGTGGCTAGGCGTTCGACGCCGAAGAGCGCACCCTCCTTCAGGTGTGCAAGACATCTATAGTGGAACCTGGAGGTCATCAACTTGCAAAGGCTGACGCCAGAACCAAGGCCGCCGCAGTAAGCCGGCAGAGTACAGGGACTTCGAGCATAGCACCACGCTCAAGCTAGCTCTAGAATGCCGAACAGCAATTGTGAAACAGTGGGATCGGTACAGATACAATGGTGGACGGTATCATCTAATAATATTATCTATGAGGGGCCTCCTGGACCTGTCTGACTTCCTCGCCTCAGCGCTTGAACCTCCAGAATGGCCGAGCGTTTCTTGTTGCGATCCGGACATCATGATGACCTCCCATTACTTCCCACCAATCGAGAGTAAATTCCCGACCTGGCTATAAAGTGCGCTGCACCGGACTGGCTGGGCACTAATGTTCAAGCACTGGTCCTCAGGCAAAAACGTCTTCTCGCCGCAGAAGTCATCGCTGCGTCCAAGTGCCATCACACCATGAGACAGCTTCCCGCAACTGCATTAAATCCACCACTATTGTCTTTCTCCTCAATGCCAGTTCGATGGCAGCGAGCACGTAGCCGCGCTCTCGTCGTTGACGGTGCTCTCCTTTGCCTATCGATCGGAATTTCAGTCCCTCGGTGACCTTTGTTGGAAGGTCACTGGTCGTCCAGGGCGTTCGGCGACTGCATGGAGCCTCAGTGCTCTAGCATATGCCATGTTTCACACTTTTGCCTCTGTCATGCCCATCTCTCAGAAACCCGACGAAGTAGCTTCTATTGGACTCACGGACGCACGCAGATGACCGTCCGCAAGACCTGGCGGCTGATATGCTAGGGAAAGCCGGTGAAGGGGCTTTGCGGTCGCTATTGCGTGCAAGGGCTGGTTACCAGCAGCGGTGTGAAAGTCGCAGCTCGAGTGTTATGGCTAAATGCGGTTCATGCTAGGTCTCCTCCCAGATATTTCTTCGTAGCATAGCATCTAAAGTTGTTTTTGTTGCCAGCCTACCCAGTCCAATGGCGCGTCGACGAGTAGTCTGACAGTGTAGTCGAGGAATGGGGCTATCATGTCGTCGGCGAACTCCGTCGGCCACGTCTCTCCCAATCTTCTTAACACATCGTCGAACCAGTTGCGCTGATCCCATTCAGGATTCACGTTCATAGCTCGCAGTATTGACAGCAGCGCATCCTCTTGCTGAGCGTTTGATGATATTGTGGCGATGTCGACAGATCCGACCACACTTGGACCCTCGCTCGGATGTGTCGTGTTCGTTGACTCCCTGATGGTCCAATTCGGCCGCGTACCAGCCAGCTCGAAGGTGTGGCTGACGAGGTCTGTCGAATGGAAGAGCTGCCGGGTGGCACATAACTGTGTAGTACGAGTCTCCTGGGTGTCGCGAGGATGCCCTTGAATGACGAGAATCGAGACAACTTGCTTGCGTGTGTTGTCTCGAGGCACTGGAACTGCGCCATTGTCCGAGGTCCGCGTCACCATCTCCTATCTCGATCGCGGCCACAGCCTGCAAGCCACCTGCACCGACAGAACGTATTATGGGTGCTTTGTTGGCGTAATCCGCTTTCGCTTGCGCGTGGACAAATCGAATGGGCGTGGAGCGGCTGACTTCTGGGGGTGATTGAATTACTCTTCGGTATTATGCAGAGGGACAGGATACCCGTGGGCGATGCAGCTGAGGAGATAAGAATACAGACATCGACGACACGTGCTCCCACCAGGTTGCAGCACGACTGGTGTTGTCAGAACAGATGACCACAAAGCACACCAGCAAGCAACAAGATGGCGTGGGTCATGGAAAAATTCAAAAGCTGCCACAGAGGGATTCCGTTCTTGCGCGGCGGACCAGGCAGGCTAGGCAAAGAAACCGGACCTGGCGAAGCTGGATTTCTGCGCACCATGATATCTGTGTAAGTGGGAAGATCCGCCGGAAGGCAGCGGAAGATGCCATGGACCCGCCCAAGAATAACCCTGAAGGACCTCCCGCCGCCATGGTAAGTTGTAAAGTGTCATGGCGGCGTGTCCTCTGGCCCCAGGACTCCATGGTGGCGTTGAACCTTGAAGGGGGACAACGACAACGGCACCCAAACCAGGGGCCACACTTCCCGCCCAATCAGCCGACCGATTCATGTTGATGGGCTGCAAGCAACAGTCCCGCTTATGGAGTGGTCTAGAACATGTAAATCAGTGGGGAACATGGCAGCACGATTGGGGACCTGGCCCAGCTGAAGACACCACACCCACGCTCGGCAGTCACAGGCCCAACTCCGACACCAGAGACCAATCAGCCAATCCAGATGGCACGCAATCAGTAGTTGCGAGTGTCGAAGTCCGACGGGCTACTGGCGGCCCGTACTAGTTGGATATTAGGTTGGCGGCCTCGGAATTTTGTCTGAACACGCCACATCAATGTCCTGGTAAAGGCACTTCGTCCACTTCGACGAGGGCACAGAACATCGCTTTGAGCTTGTGCCATGTGTCCACGCGCGCGCCCCTAGTGCCATGCGCGTCAGGGCGAGGTTCTATGCAGCCACGGAGATGACGTGGACCAGATTGAGCGTGGCTTGGCAGGCGTTTCAAGGCTTGCGAGCGGCATCCTTCAGCTCGTTTTTCTGCAGGATGGCAGGCTCAGACGGGGAATGGGGCGACGCAACATTGTTGGCGTGAGCCACTACACGCCGCCTAAGACGGACTGCCTGGTGGTTTGACTTTGATTAAGGCTCCGGCGCAACATCCGTAGCGGGATGGGGCGGCCAATGTCACATTCCACCCCAAGCGGGGCCTCTGCACGGCGCCAGCCGAAGCCTGACTGTGCTACTACTCTAGACACTCTGCCTCGACGATCACCTTCCAAGCTGCGACCAGATTCGTACCCTCGGTATCCTCGACGGTCCTTACCCGCCCTAGCCACGCTATGAACTCCTCTTTCCCCATACACTCGACTTGTAGCTCTCGCCAGATCAGCTGCTCAAGCTTCCTGCTCGCTGTAGCTAGCCAGACCACCGGCATGACTCGATCTCCCCACCGGCACCTCGCCGTCTCTCCCCACTTACACCAAGCCTGCGGGAGACCACACGTCCAGCAGCACGTGTACTCTTTGAACCGGATCTGCCGCCGCCACGCCATATACGCTTCCGATCCTCCTAGTACCTTGCAACTCCGGAACTCGTGCTCGTAAGTCCTCTGTCGACCATCTGCCCGGCCCTGGTGACACCACTTGACGTAGCACACTGCGCACTTGCTATCCATCAACTCTACCCACTCCAGCAACTTCCGGATCCTCCTCTGCCTCTCCTTATTATCTCCTCTAAGACGGTCGTCTACTACCTCGGCTACTGCGGAGTGCCAGTCGCCTGTAGTACCACCCTCGCTACATTCGCCCATACCGACAACCTCATCTCGTCCGTCGGCCTGTACCTCTGTAAGTTGCCGGCACCGGTCACAGCGCACGGCTTGAAGACTATCGCAGTCCTGCGCAATGCCGTCCATGAACGCCCCAAGCACGAGCCTCCGGCAGTCTGGCGTCTGCACGAACCGCTCTGCTGCCTGCCGGTTCAGCTGGTCTACATCGCTCGCCTGCCGGTCATAGTAGACAGCCGCCCTACCTAGCACCACGATCGACTCCACCTCCTCCCCCGCCTTCCTCCCGCCTCTGCCCGTCTGCTGGATAAAATCCACAAGCCCGTACGGCTGCTCCGCGTGGATAATGGCGACGATACCCTCGATGTCCACCCCGGTCCCTAGTCCTGTCGTTGCTACTACCCAGCGGGTTTCTGATCGACCTTCAACCCAGTCCTCGAGTACCGCTTGCCGCTCTGATAAGCTCATGTCGCTATGGTGGTACCCGCATCGGATCAGCTCGGCGAGCCGTGTACAGTTAGCCTTAGACCTGCTGTAGATCACGCCTTTCTGCTTCCCAGTCATGCGGCCAGTTATGCGGATAACCTGCTTGACGACCTCGTCCTCGACTGCGCTACGCCCTGGTCCCGTCACTTGTACGACGTTGTAGCTAATGTTCTTCTTATCGGACCTTGCTCGGATGATCTCGGCGTCCCCTACGAGCATCGCCTGCCGAAACCAAGCCTCGAGCCGCACTGGCAGCGTAGCCGTTAGCAGAATAACTGGACAGTTGTACCGGTATATGCACTTGAGCTCCGTGAGCCTCTTCCGGTAGCTCGCGTCCATGATAATGGACATAAAGACCGAACTTCCGGTGGTTGAATTTTTCTTCGTATGAAGCTCCGTACAGTTGGAGTCCAAATGTACCTCGATCAAGCATAGGGGCGAGTACGAAGCACGTCTGGTAACTAGCGGATCTTCTCTATCAATTTGTTTATTGATCAGCATGAGGACACGAAACTTCTTGATGTGAACCCGTGGATGAGTGCTATAAAAGTCAAGGGGGCGAACTCACCTGAAAGCAGTCCCCAGTTCTGGCCGAATGGAATCAATAGCGTACGTGCTGTGGAGTGTGTTCACGTCCAAAGCCCTCGTTGGCTCGCGTTCTGTTCAACGTCAGACCCTGGAACAAAACGGCAGGGAATCGGCACTATCACGCTTTCTTGGCAACGCACTGCCGCCTTCGCCTACGCCAAGCATGGGGCGACCATTCCGCGCATGGGCATCGGGCCCTGGACGTCATACCAGTCCCGCCCCATAATAAAGCTGCCTCTTTGGCGGCTCGGGCCGAGGACTGCAATAGTATAATTACTGATGATGCGTCTACCTACACGGTCGAGCACTTGCGCTCTTGTCCGTCGGATGTCCCACCGTAAGCAGAGCCACATTTCCGTGAGACAAGTCAGCTCGGCCTTGAAGTCCAGTCTCTTGCATCTCTGCCCCTTGCAGGAAGCCTCCTTGCGACGAGCGCCTATATGGTCGAACACCCAACATGCCCTCCGGCGGCTCCCTGGGCACTCTGCGGACCGTAGCCGTCCTCCACGACCCCGACCATATTCACTGCGGCCCAGAGGACCCGGTTCAGGGCTATGTGCAGCTCAGCTACATCCCAAGCCGGCACGTGCCGCACGACACGGAGCTCTTTAGCCCGTGCAGGATCTTCCTCACGCTGCGCGGCCGGCTTAAGGTCACGGTCGAGTCGAGCCGGGCCGCCACAGCACGCAGTCCTTGAGCGACCGGACCCGCCGCGCCCGCGTCCCGCTCTTCTCGACGCCCGAGTTGCTCGTCCACGACGGCCCTGTACAGCTCAGCGCCAGCCAGGCCAGGAACTACCCTTTCTCCCTGGCCTTTCCCGCGGACGCCACCATCCCGGACCATGTTGTCGCCATGTGCGCGCCCTGGGATCCCTCTGACGACATGTTCAGCATGGCTCCCCGGCAGCCGCTCCCGCCGAGCATGAGCATGCAGCGAGACGAAATTGCGGGTTTTCCGGACCACGTGGGCGCGCAGTACGAGCTCGCCACCCGCATCGAGATGCCCGGGATTAACGTCGAGTTCAGTTACGACCTGATCGACTCTGGGTTGAACAACAAACTTGCACGGGTTGGTGGCGGCGTGTCGGCGTGGCGCGGGACCAAAGTGCTCTACGAGCGGCCGCGCGTGGCCAGGCCGGTGCCGATCGATCTGAAGCATGGCACGGGCTGGCTGCTCGTCAAGGACCGGGACCTGGTGCACGCTTGTGATGCTGGCGCCACCGCCAATGGGCCAGCGGGAGGAGGAGGAGGAGGAGGAGGAGGAGGAGGAGGAGGAGGAGGAGGGTTCCGGGCAAAGGCGTCGGCCCTGCTCAAGCGGTCCCTGGCTTGGCGGCCATTGTGTGTGATCGGATGGCAGATGAGCTGCGCCAAGGACATCCACAGGGGTCAGCCCCTGCTCGTACAGGTCCGCGTGCAGCCGTCAGAGAGCAAGTCGACTACGCCAGGGATGCCGGCCGTCGAGCTTGTGAAGGTCACCGTGGCAGTGGAGACGCGAGTGCAGGCCAGAGTATTCGCTGAAGCTCGCGGGCAGCTCGAGTTCGACAAGAACGAGCCCGGCCCCGAGGAGACTATTGTTGTTCCTGTGGGCAAACTGCAGGCAAACAAGCCAAGTCCAGCAAACGAGAAGGAAGGTGGTGGGAATGCCAACGGGGAAAGCGCGGTTGGCAATGGAATATTCAGCGCAGACAACGACTGGACACAAATGCTGACGTTCCCGAAAATCACCAAAGATCTCGGCAGGTCTTTCACAACGCCCTGTATCCGGCGGACGTACATGTTCAGGGTCAAGAGCCTCGTGCGTATCGTCGGGCTCGACCGCCATGAGCAGTTCGAGCAGCCATTCACAATCACGGTCCATCCGCCATTGTCAGAGTATGGTAGTGCTACAGGCAGCACCTCGATGATGGCGCACGATGGGATTGATAATCATACGACTAGAGGGCACAGAGCGGAGACTCTGCCGCAATATGAGCCATAGCGCCGATGGTATGATCCATGATTTGGGCCTTCTTGCTGGCGATAACTAAGCCTAGCACCACAGGTTCAACCCCAAGTTTAACCCCTATGGTGGCTGAGCCCTAGGGTTATATAAACCTATTCTAAGACTCTCCTTACTCAATCTCGAACAATCCTTAGCACATGAACAAGGAGTTACAATTACATAGAATGAAGTCAGCTCAGTTAGTGTGGTAGGTTTGCTGTGGCCTTGCCTGCGTATAGGATCTGCTCGATATAGGACACGCTAACACCCTGCACTAGCATATCGGCGGTCATGTTCTAGCAATGAACCAAGATAAATGCTGGTGGCTTTTCTCCGATATTTGGAAACTAGTGGGGCCGTGCCGGGACCTCGGAGTTCCGTGTCCTACGCTCTGCGGTTGGTATCAACGTACCACTATCAGACGCTAATGAAGAGGAGCTTCTACTGGACCAGAATTGACATCTTCTCGAGCCTTTGTTTTTTGTAAACCGGAAACGATCTGGTAAACCGATGTTACATTCATCTACATTCTGCCGTTGTGCTTTTGCATTCCATTCCACGTATATGAAGCTGCTTCTCAATTGCTTCTCGTTATACATTGCGGCATCATTCATACAAAGCTATGCCTCTCGACACCAAAACAATGTCAGACTCCATGCCCTTCGACGACATCGCTCTCACGCCTGAGTCGGTGAGGCAGGCCCGCGAGAGGATAGCCGAGCATATATATCGGGCGGATCTCCGCGTGTCCGAGTGGATAAACAGGTTTGCGTCCTCGGATCAGCCCGAGACCTACAGGACGGCCGCAACCACCAAGCCCGAGCCCAGACACGCCAAGAACTCTGGTGGCGGCATCCTACGGCAGGGCAAGGGGCGGGATGCGCCGCCGAGAATCAATCTCTACTTCAAGTGCGAAAATCTGCAGCGCACAGGGGCCTTCAAGGCCCGTGGCGCCTTCCACGCGCTGAGCCGGCTGATGGACGACCTCGGTGCCGACCAGATGCGACACAGAGCAGTGACGACCGTGTCATCGGGCAACCACACGCAAGGTCTCGCGCTCGCAGCCGCGACATTTGGCGTACCAGCCGTCATCGTGATGCCTCGGACCAGCACGCCTAGTAAGATCCAGGGCCTTGCGCGCATTCTCGAAATCGAGGCGGATGTGAAGGTTCTAGCTATGACAGGAGGTATCAAGGGTCCCAAGGGGGAGATTGTCCTGTGTGGCGCCTCCAATGAGGAGAAGCAAACCGCGGCGGCAGAGATAATCAAGGGACGGGGTTGCATCTTTGTGCCACCTTATGCACACCCGGACATCATAACCGGGCAGGGAACGTGTGCGCTGGAGCTGGAGCAGCAGTTCATGGCCCTGAACTCGGGTTCCGATACGGGCCTCGACATGGTGATAGCTCCAATCGGAGGCGGTGGCCTCCTCGGCGGCATAGCGACGTGGTTCAGCGACAAGCCGAACACCAAGGTCTTTGGCGCCGAGCCGTCGTTCCAGGGCGCAGACGATGCCAGGAGGGGTTCTCACCCACTCAACGGGTAAGGATTCTTCCAACAGACGCATCCATCTGTCCATCAAGAGCCAAAGTATCTGCAGCGGTGTTATTCCTGCGCCTTCGTCAATTTTGCACCATCAATATGGCATGTTTCTGGGGGTGCTCGTTCACACCCTCTCCATCGGCCGGGCAACGGGTGGCAGCAACTAAATCAAGCCTCCAACGACAGGAAAATAGAACGGCGCCGGGGAACATGATTTAGTCGGTCACGGCAGGGCTGGCATATCCTTAGCAGCTACTTTGACCAGTGCCAGGGTTTCAAGTGGACTGAAATTCAACAGGGATTGAACCCACAAGCAGTATTGGGTGATTGGCAGGGTATGTATCTTCAAGTCTATAGTAACGGGCGCAGGAACAGGTTCCTTATACGCAATTTAACCTGCCAGATCTCTGCGGCCAAAGGCGGTATCTGACGGAAAGGTGTTCATTTTTTTCAGCCTTACGCCCATTCCATGCTGCGTGCTGAATCGCGATATCGTACTGGGGCCGTCCATTGCAATGGCACCGGCCGACAGCGATGACCTTGGCGCCTCGTCCGTTTCGGTGTGGAAGAATTGGTCGTGACGCCTCCCCGTCTGGGTGAAGGCTATCAGCTCGTTGAGGATGACGAACTCGATCTTGAGCTTGATGCTGTACACGACAGGCTTGTACGTCGTCTGGATCTGGAAATTTCCGCTGTATTCGGTGGCGAGGAGACTGGCGTCGAGCAGGACGGTGAGGACGAAGAGGATGACGAGATGGCGGAGGATGCGCCGTCCCGTGGTGGCCTTGACCGCCAGGATAGGCGTGAAGCCCGTGGCGGCCTCCCATACGTACAGCCCGGATATGACGCTCTCCTGGAGGAAGAAGCCGGCGAGTTGTATCTTTTCATACACATCAAAGGCGTGAAAGAAGGGGTCGGGATTGCCGCTGTTACTGGCGAGGAACAGGATCGACACGGGAATGTGGAGGACGACAAAGTTGAAGACGATCATGACGGCCACGAGCCGGGTCTTCCAGCGGTCAGGCACGACCAGCCCCAGACGCGAGTAGAGCACGACAGACTGGCCAGTCACCATGGCCCACCACCCGACGACGGTGACAACGCACATTGGCAGGTTTGGCGCAAGCGCGAAGAACCGCAGGAAGACGGCGATGGTGTGGATGAAGATGCCGAATGTCGCGACGAGCAGGCTCCAGAAGTAGAGCCCCTGCTTGCGGCGGAAGACGCTGAAAATGCTGATGGTAATCTCCACAGTGTTGAAGATCGCGACGGCAAAGAAGCCCGCAATCAGCATCGCGATGGGCAGCGACACATCGATCGGCCCCGTCTCTCCCGGCATGGTTACCACGGGCTCGCAGCAGCTTCGACGCTTGTAGGGCTATCGGCACGCGCCGGATCTCATGATGGTGTGTCTGCAGGGTGTTTGACAGCGACCAGCAGCAGCGCTTTCTAGCCGAGTCTCAGTCGTCAAACGGACACGACGGACGCATCTTGACATGTCAAGCGCACAACCGGTGCCAGATTTGCTTCTGGCATGTGGCCGCGGTCCCTGCGGTGGTCCGGCTGAGGTTTTTATGGCTGCCAGCTTTCCCCCTTCGAGGCAGTCGGAAACGCATCCAGCTCCCGGCCGTTGAGCCTGGCACCCAGGGCGAGGGCCTCATCCCTATTTGAGCGCTTGCGGGAGATGGCCACGACGCGGTCCGCGCCCATGGCCTTGGCGAGCAGGACGCCGTAGTGGCCCAGCCCGCCGATGCCTACGATGCCCACGGACTTGCCGGACCCGATGTTGTTGTGTTTGAGGGGTGCGTACATGGTGATGCCGGCACACATGAGCGTCGCGGCCTGCGCCGAGTCGATGGCGTCTGGGATCTTGAACGCGAAGCGGCCCGGGCAGCGGTGATGTGTCGCATAGCCGCCCCAGCCCTTGTCGCCGTTGTGGTGCGGGCCTGGGTACGTCCAGCGCGACTTGAGGCAGTAGTTCTCCTGGCGCTCGACGCAGCGGTCACAGGGCTTGTCCTGCACCGACATGCAGCAGTCTGTCAGGCAGCCAACGCCGACGCGATCGCCGACCTTGTGGTTGCCCACGGCCTTGGAGCCCACGCGCACGACGCGTCCGACAATCTCATGGCCGACGACGATGGGGTAGGGCGACTTGTACCATCCGCTGGAAAGAGTGTGCAGGTCGCTGGCGCACATGCCGCAGTGTGTGATTTTGATGTCAATGTCGGTCTCCTCCCACCGCTTGGGCTCAAAGTCGCCCCAGACGAGCTTGCCGTTGACCGACTCCTTGTCATGGCCGATCCAGCCCTGGAACCTCGGTTGCGCCATGGTACTTAGACAGGGACGGCCCGGGACAGCGAGGTTGTCGTCGCTGATCAGATGATTTGCAAATTGGCGGCCGTGATGCTTTGCCGAAAGAGATGTGCTTGCACGGAAGGGAAGCCAAAGTCAGGGTTTGGGAAGCAGACGAGATCAAGTGCGTAGCTGCGCCGGGGTCGCAGTGATCTCAGTGCAGTGCTGCCCCCCACCCCCGCCTGGATCCCCAACTCACTTGCGCTAAAGCGCAGGCTCCGTGTGGGGTAGTTCTCCAACCTGGCCGTGTGTTGGAGCTGATTGGTCCACGGCAACGCCGCATGCCCCAAACGGCTGTGTCTCCGTTTTGCCAAGCCGAGATCCCTCGGGACTCGATTTCCACCACGCCCCAACCGCTTCGGCTGGGCGTCGATGAACACGTGCGCAGCTGAACTGAGACCCTACATCGCCGACGTTGCTCCCTTGCTTGGCTCCTTTCCCGGTGGTGGCTCCACCAGCTTGGGGTGGTGCCTCCATGCCATCTTTCCAGGTGGCAACCACCGCTCTTCTAACCATTCCAGTACTGGAGACCCAGCAATCATGGGGCCGAGGATATATGTCATGCTGAGGTAGTTCAGAGGCAGATATGGCTGCACATACTTGGCCATGACCATGTCCTTCCACGACAGCCATGCTGCCATCCTTGCAAACGCCTTTGAAATCTCCAGCACCGCACCCATCTGCTTCATCCGGTCCGCCTCGTATTTCGCAAACACAGCCTCGAGTCTAGCCGTGCTGGGGGCACTTTCCACGCCCTGCGAAGACGCGAGGAGCATCTTCCGCACGTTGTTGAGCAGAACCACAAGGTCAGTCACGCCTTCGTTGTAGCCTTGGCCCGTGTGAGGATCTAGCTTGCGCACTGCATCGCCCACCAGCACAATACGACCGTGGTGCCACCGCTCAACCAGACCCTCTTCGCAGTCGTAGAGCCCGATGTTGGTCTTGCTTTTCTCGTGGAGGTCGCGCACTGAGTAGCCTGGAAGAACCATGAGATGGCCCCAGCGCCGGAGCATGTCCGTCTTGTCCTGGTCCGTGTATCTGTGATGGTCTGACGTGGGCGTCTCCAACTTCTCATACACCGCCATGCACGAGACTTGTTTCCCATAGATGAACTGTGTCGTCACCCCATACCGCACACCGTCATATTTGATGTTTGTTGGGACATCCGGAAGGGTGTCCACTTGTGCAACAAGCACGCGGTAAGTCGAAAGATACGGCTTCTGATACTTGTCGGCAAGGTCACTTGGTGCCTTGTTCTGGCGCAGGGACTCCATATGGAGCCGAGTCTGGCTGCGGACACCGTCAGCCCCGATGAGCATATCACCGCGCTCGACGAAGCCACCACGACAGGTGATCTTCACGCCGGTGTCGTCCATCTCGACGTCCTCGACATGTCTGCCGAGGAGAACCTTTGCTTTGGCTTCCTGGGGTAGGCTGTCATATAGTGCTTCGATGAACTTCGTGCGGACTAGCACGCGGACTGCCCAGCCATGGCTGGAGAGTCAATTAGCCGTGATTTAGTGATGTGTTGCACTTGACGAGGACACTTACTTCCTCTCAATGAGGTCTGGGAACCTTGACACGTCAAGCTCGCTGGCATCATCAGCGGAGATGACGGTGTTGGTGTTTAGAGTCTCTAGAAGCGGATTGAGGATGTCATTCAAGCCGAGCTGCTCGAATATCCGAAAGGTCTGGGGCCAAATGGTCATCACAGAGCCGACTGCTGGAACGACGGTCTTGTGCTTTTCAAGAATGACAAAGTCGATACCGGCCTTGGTAAGTATGTGTGCTGCTGTCAAGCCCACGAGGCCGGCTCCGGCAATGACAACCCGGAACGGGGGGTTCTGCTGTGCTTCCATTGTTCAAAAGCCACTCCTTATTTCAAGCTTGGGAGGTTCAGGTCGAAGCTGGGGGTTTCCTGATCTTCGTTGGGCAAGTGCCGTGTCAGGCTCTGCGAATGTCTCAAATCAGTGGATATCGTTTGCTGCTGCAATGAGCGACAGAAGAGTTCTCTGAGCGCCCGAAAGGCAGATCAGGGTCCTTTTATCGTGACGTTTGGTAGCAAACGAGCAGTCCTGATTCGAGACCCGGGGACCAGCCATACTCATCCAGGGATACCACAGACTTCCTCTCGGGTCCGACATAGTAGGCCCATGCCATCCATTGTTTGCTAGGCTGCTTGGGCATGATCACGCGCAGCATGCCTCATGCTTGCGTTGCCACCAACAACAATGGCCCAATGAGACAGTGTGGCCAACCCTTGCTGAAGTCATCCCTCCAGATGTGGCAATGAGACAACCGAGATGTCCAGAAGCATCAGCTCGCCTGTGCTGAAATGCGGCTTGGCCACGCTCCCAAGGGCAGCGCCAGCTGGGGCTCGGGGTTGGCGATCGCCTGGGGGGTAACTTTTGTGGCGTGAGCGCATAGTTTCCGGTGGAGGTTCCCCGAGTCAGACGCTGCAGAAGGGCACCGTCCCACGTACTTTCCCCCTCAGCCTTTCAACGACGGCCCAGGGAATCGCGAAAAGCGGGCTCCTGGGATGATTCGAGGTGGCGAAGCAACGCGAAATGCGCTCGGGGTGGGCACTTAGGGACGGGCTGTAGGAATCAGATGTTAAAATGCCATGCCTCGTGGCAGGCGAATGTGGGATCGAGATCTCAAGGATGACTGGCCCCCGGCGTCGAGCTCACACAACCAATCCGGGCGCGAGCCGGGGCGCGGGTGGCTTCTCCGGACCGCCCAGCCAAATAAGGTGCCAAACCAGCCGAGTGGCGTTTCCGCTTGCCAGCGGGGGCCTGATTCGGGGGCTCGCCTGCTTCGTGTCAAGCGGGAGGAGTGAACCAGCCGACAACGAGCCTTCGGGGAGAAGGGGGGTATTGCCCTGACGAACCCCCTAGCTGAGCGGGCCCGCCGTAGCTTCTTGGAGCGTCCAGCCTCGCGTGAACCACTCAGAACTGTGCAAAGCTTTGTAGACTTCGTGCTGGAATCTGCCAGGAGGACCTTGGGGAACACTGGAAAGGTCGACGTCGTCGAGATAGGCGTAGCATATTGCCGATTCTGCGTACCATTGCCCCATAGAGTTGATAGCCTTTTGCAACTCGGCACTGCTGGCTTTGTCAATGCAACAGGTATCGACCCATATGTATTTGAGACCGTTCCTCTGCGCCTGATCACGGCAGCTCATTATCTTGCGGTAGCTTGGTATCTTCGGCCCGTGCGGGTCAATGCCATGCTCGATAATGCGACACATATCCTGGTACGAGAGCTCGGGCTCACGCCAGCGGTGGGACAGGATTGCATACGCTAGTGTTCGACCGTCATGGCATTCCTCAAACTGGAGGTTGTCCGTCTTGAGCAGCCTCATTATGCAATGCCGTGGGCGTTTCTCCGGCTGCTTCGTAACCCGAACATGTGCTGCTTGTTGAATGATCCAAGATGCGGAACCCCGCATGTGAAGTCGAAGTGGATACCCCGCGCATCCACACAACCGGACTTGCGGAATCAGCCTGGGTGTCACGACCCGGCCTTCGGGATCGACCTCCTGACTGGACCTTGGAGTTCTGTTTCGACAGGCAATTAGACTCAGTGCGATTCTCTTGCTAAACTGCCATGCTTGCCAGATATTGTCGTAATTCTGGCAAGGTACCACACCTGTGCAAATGATCAGCTAGACCGACGAATGGCACTTTGCTTGGGCGATGAAGATAAAATGGGCTGACTATCTACCTAAGGACATTTCAGATACAGTCCTGCTAACTGGATGAACTAGCGACTCTTGAGCGAACCCCATCGACCGATAGATCACGCTGGTGTCGGTCAGTCTGTGTAGGGTTTCTTGCCGATGACGACCTTCATGGAGCACCATGCATGGGACTTGCCTGCCTTGAGCTCGTTTCTGAGATAGGCTGCATATACCATCATCTTATCCTCTTCCCATCCCAGTGATTCACCCCACGGCCTGTTTATGAAGCCTGCTGATGTATCAATATGATTGGCGCGAAGGGAAAGAGAGCTGTGCCAAAAGAGCCGATGCGTACCTTCCGGATCTGCCTGAAGCGCCCGGTCCACCGCCGCTCCGATACTCTTGCCCTTCTCATCGGCTGACCAGCTACCAATCGGTACCTGCGCATGTCTGTAAGCTCTAGTCAGTCTTAGCAAGTGCAAACTGACATACCTTGAAGTTGACGACACGGATGTCAATGAATCCTGCAGCCTCCATAGCTTCCCGTTGTATGTCGTCCTCCACAACGGCAAACGTGCGTCCAGACTTCTGACCAGCTGATATAAACATCTTGCCCCATTTGGCAAGCGCAGACTGCGGATCACGAGTGCCGTTGTCGATTCGAATCATGCAAGACGACTCCTTGTGCTCGAATGTGCCCCCTGGCTTTAACGCTTTGAAAATCTCCTTATATAAAGCGATCCAATCTTCTATCGATCCCGTAAGCCAGCGCACGTGGACGTAATGAAAAGTGTTGGGAGGATATGTCCATGCTTCGGTAATGTCGTCCACATCGAATCGGACGTTCAAAGGGAGGTCGCTGTCTGGCAGTTGTCGTGCCGAGATGTCTATCCCAATGACTTCTGCGAGGGGGTGACTGTCGGCGAAATCACTACGGGCTATCAGTCAAACTTGGTCCGGCGAAGTCATCCATCAGATTTTGTGCTTACATGGCCCACTTGCCTGCCAGTGACTCGTTAGCGAATCCGTGGAAGCACATTCCCGCGGGGCGAGAACCTCATACCTGTTCCGCAACCGACGTCGAGTACTTTTAGCCAACGAACCCTATGGTTGTCTCCGAGATCGGCTAGGTAAAGCTTCCCATCCTGCATCAAGATTGACACGCCGTGTCTGCAGCGCCACGCATCACATTAGCTCGACCAACTGTGCAGGCACGCATAGATCAGAGCGCCTCTCGCAAAGTCCCGCTCGCAGACTCGACTCACAGAATGTCCAAGGCTTCGCAGTGTTTCTCATCATTGGGGTTCCTTGCGTCGAGTCAGCCTCACAGTCGTGGACGACGATAATCACCAAGTCAACGAACCATGACTGTCCCCTGCTGCGTTTGCAGTGGTAGGTGCGGCCGTTAATTTTGCAGTCTTCGAGAACACTGGCGGAAAGCGATGCTGTCGAACTGGCGACGGAGTCACCATAAGCAGAGTCGATATCGGTATCTTCATAGTCACTGGCACGTCCCTGCTCTTTCTGTTGAGCATGTCTGTCAGCTCATCCTGACGTAGTGTCTACCCATGATCAATGCCAGATTTGCATAACGTACACTGAAATTTCGTCTGTCAGAGGATAACATGACTGTAGAAGAGACCGCCAAGGGCGTTCCCTTTCACACCCAGGGCGTAGGATCGCTGGTCTGCCGATGATGCGATCGTGGCTTGCCTTGGATTCGCTGTTGTGGTCGCTTCCTCAGAGATTGTCACAGACCCCATGGCACCCACTGTATTTGGCCGCGGTGATGCGCTTACCAGCCGGAGCCGGACACAGAGCTAGCGTGGGTGCAAGGCCGTCGTGTATGTGCTGTGATGTTTAGGTGGTGTCGTAACAAGAAGGGGTCATTTCTAGTGGAAAAGTCATGGGAGGTGATTCGGAGTTCGGGGGAGCTACTATTTAATCCCCAAGCCGCTCAGCTTTCTGGTTGCGATATCGCCATCCCTACCATTGTTGGTTGGTGTCCCGGTCCTGGTGGCCCTTTGGCCCGTGCGCTAATCGACAGGTTGATTTCTCCAGCATCACTGGCAGCAGACATTGTGGTGGGTGTTGGCATAAGAGGACTGTCATCGTCCCTGTTGAATTGCTGTGTTCAAAAATATGGTACCCGCATACGTGTGATCGAATAACATTGTCTTCCCAGAATGCTAGCCCGCAAATCAGCTGGAAAGTACTGGCAACTTACCGGCTGATTGCTGATGCTGACGATCCTCTAATTATCATGACAGATCTCGGGGCAAGTATCCAACAAGTGCTGGCCCTTGGCGACTGGGGACGCATCCTTGCTAGAGCTACTTGTCCAACCACCAGTGACGCGAAACCCTGTTGTAGGCTGTGTTGACTCGAGCTGCCTGCCAGAGTCGATTTAGCGCCAACGAGGACCGCGCCACCCTGTCCACAACAGCGCTAGTGTGCGATGAACGAGCTGTCCGTGCGGCTGGAAGAGTTCTACAGTAGTCCACTGCGGCGGGCAGCCCGGCACCCCTTCCGCGTGAGCAGGAGTGCACTGCTCGGTCGCTCCTCGCTCCCCGTTCATGCTCCTTCTTGTGGGTCAGAGACGAGGCCCGCCCCTGCGTCTGGACGCCATGCACGTGTCAACAGGGAACCTGCAGGCTGGTGGAGGTTGTTGCTCTCCCTTCTACAGCCAGCACCCGGGATCGCAGATGAGCTGGCCCGCATTATTGTGTTCCCAGAACGTTTGCGCAATAGTCGTACTGCGTTCAATACCTGCTGGGCACCCAGCCCCTCGACCCCCACCATACGCAAGCAAACAGTACCTGCCCTCCTGCGATAATCTTTATACGGGCATCATGTGAGACATAGAGGCTGCTTCAATTTTATCACGTTCACCCATCGATTGAATCCAGATGTCGCCCGAGACTCTGTCGAGTAATCCTTCCACGAATGAACAACGACCTCAGCCAGGTGGCCTTACCAGCGTTTGAGACGTTGTTCCTTTCCTTGAGACCTGTCATTCGTCCCACGAAAAAACCGCACTTGTACTAGAGGTAGCTGGCAGCTTGGCTTAGCTTGCCAGGAACATCCAATTCGAACCGCGCAGTCCTTCTTGGGATTAGACTTTCAGGCCATTAGGATCTCCCTCGCAGAGCTCTGGACTGTATTTGAATACAAAGATGTTACTGATTGCGTACAGCGCAGCTGCTTGGGCTGCGGGTATCAAGGGAGGGAATGAAATGTGTTTGGAGAGCCTGTTAGAGCCGCCGTTTTCAACAAGATACCCGTTGCCATAATCAGCCAAGCAGTTGTGGCTTGCGCAGGCCGCTTCAATGGCGGCATTGAAAGAAAAGTAGTCAAGCATCCTCCGGCAAGCTTCTGATATCGTCCAGCACCGCCTCGAATGTGCTGCATAAAGCGAAGACGAGACTCATCGACAACGTAAAATCAAGATTCATGGTGTAGCGCACGGGTTGCTGCTGTAACGAGATAAACTCTGATTGTCCAGGTCTGCAATTGTTCTCTGTGGGTCGCACAATTCGGGTGTCTCGCTACATGTTTCTAAAGTCAGCCGGTGGACCTTGATGTTCACCGGGCTTGCCATTGCCTACTGATGACGGACTATGGTGATTAGCCTTGAAATTCTCAATTGGCGGAAGGTCCCGTATCGACTTTTGACTCTGGGAAGATGCCCCTGGACGAAGATTTCTCGGAAAAGTGAGATGTCCTGAATTCAACTCGAGTTGCAGTCTGCATCGAGCGAAAGTCATCGCCGACAGTCGACCCAGCAGGGGCATCTGCGTTGGCTTCGCAGATGAGTAGGAACTCTGCCAAGAGGATGTCGCTGATCGTGTCCCATGGCGAGAGCATCTCGCGAATTGACTCCTGACCGAGTTCTGCTGGTTGGCGGAGCGCCTGGTGGCAGTGGCTTTTGATCAGGTCATGGATCCATTTGTCATCTCCTGTGGCAGAAGCACAAGTCTTCTTGGCAATCTCTAATACAGTCATTGAGTTCCAGTGTCCGGCTATCTCCATAATCTGATCTCTAACAAGCTCCTCCAGTCCATGGATGCTATATCTGTGCGTAAACCGATAAACCTCAAGACTGAGCTCGAACGTATCTCGGCACGTGTGGGGCCGTCGCCCATGCTCATCGGCGGTTCGAAAGCTGGCATCCCCTTGAGTATATATACTTGATCCAAACCTGACCGACTCTTTCAGTGACCTTCTTGAAGACCATGACGGACGGCAATGGATCAAAACACATATCGTTGGCTGTCTCGAACTCGGCGAGGAGGCCCTTGTGAACATAATAATTCCTTTCTCCAGACCCGGGCCCTTGGAAGGAAACTGCACGAATCTCAGAAAGGTAAGGCCTATGACTTGTCAGAACGTGCCACAAAACACGACGCGGAAACGTACGATTCTTGGTTTTGCACCAGAGCCATCTTGGCTTGTGGCTCGAGACGTATGCCTGTGTGTGTGCGTCTGCGATCGTGGAGGAAGAAGGGGAAGTTCAGAGGGAGCTCGACACCTCTGGCGCTTCGCTTTCCAATTGCCAAATAGTCCCATCCATACTCCACCTAGGAGCAGGTGCTCAGTACGTGAGTTGACATGAATATTAAGTTGACTCGCCAAACTGTGTTCTATGCTGTATGGCCGCATCTGGCGCCATAAGCGCAGACAGAGATCGGCGTTCAGTTTTGCTGATGTGGTCCTAAGCCCCCAATCATCCAGACTGGCCTCGACTGGAATAGTAAAATAAGCTTCTGCTGTCCCCGTTGGTGGGGCTGGGCGAGACCCAAAAATGCCCAACGTCATAGACCACCTTCACACTACGCATCCGGATGTGAAACAATCCTACCTAGGCTTTGAACCATGTCTCAGTTAGGTGGCGAGTGTCCCTCGTGCTCGCCTGGTGGTTCAGCCTCTCGGGTGTCCACATTCTTGACGCCCAGCGTCTGGGCCGCGAGCGTGGTCCACCAGGGCGCATGGATCGCTATTGGAGCTGGAATGGGTAGAATTGACAATACACAGAAAACCCATTGTTATGAGGCCCGACGGCATCGCCGATCTATCAAAACCATTGATACACAGCGCATGGGAAAAGCCCAGGGCCGTGGAAGAATTCCTTTTTTTTCACCCTGAGGCTCTGCAGCCAGCAGACGGCGTTTGCCCTCCAGACTAGCTTACCTCGCGGACAAGCATAGAGGAGTCCTTGCGCATTCCGTGATGCCGCCGTGCGGCCAGCCACTGGGTTCACAGCACGAGCCACATTCATGACGTCTGTGGTGCATCGTGCGTCCGTCGCGACCCAGGGAGACTGCTGGAGGATGCGTGTACCAAGGTCGTTTTCATGATTAGTGTTGGACTCAGGGACCTTCGATTCCTCGAGGCACGCGCGAAACATCATATGTACAGCCTTGTGCTGTTTGACTACAATTCTGCTTCTCGCACCCGTGCGTTTGGCCTTGTTGTTGCGTGACCGATGGCTGTCTGGGCTGAGTCGACATTGATAGCGCGCTGTTCGTCTTGGAGACTAGTTGGCAATCGCAAAGAGGAGATATAACCTGGTGTTTCTCCATTTCTTCTAGGCGTTGACTGGTTCACGGTCAATGTTTGATATCCTATGGGTGTTAGTTGCCGAGATGGATGAAGGTGAACACACTAACTATACTTGCGACTTATTATGCCGAGTGTGTCTAGCATAACAACCGGGCATGTGGCTCTCACAACATCCAGATGCTGTGCTCGGAAATCAGTGGACATCCTCAAACGGGCTAGCGGTTCCGGCTTCAGCCTGCCTCGTTTCGACATGACGCAGCGCTGCTGGTTCAGGGGTAATGCCACGGCGCCATAGAGGAACAATCCGGCATGATGTGACAGCCGCATATTGGCTACCGCAGGGCAGTAAAATGTACACATTGGGACGTTATCTTTCGCCATCGCAAATACGCCGGTGAGGCCGAGGAGACGGACGACTGCATGCCTCGCGGACACTTGGCAGGGAAATAATGGGCCCTCCCAATGCCTCCGCTGGTAGACGCGGAGGCGCAGAGGCCAGAGAGTGCAAGGCAACCTGCACACTGGACTGTTGCACAATGCACATACGTGCAGGCATGTGCATTGGACGTGGCAGTGACTTCGTTCGCGCAAATCGTACTCTTACTTTGACATGGCTGAATACTGTGCAGGTTCATGGGCCCTGCCAGACTCGTCTCCCTCCTATGCTCTTCGCTGGTCGCGTCATTTCCCCAGCCGCTTATCGAGCAGGGATACAAATTGGTTGTGGGTGCAATTGTTTGGCTTCCATAGTACTCCGTAGTGCAGCTCATGCTGGGGTCGATGTGGACCCTGGGCGATCAGCGCCACAACCCATCTTGAGTAACCATCCGCCAAGAGATGGCGCATGCACCTGGCGCCTAGTGCCGGGTTTTACTGAGCTGAACCGATTGGCTGTCCCAAGGGCTGAGGGCGCGTGGATCTGTGCACAACTCGGTGTATGCTACTCGTGCCCTGTTCCAGCAACTCACAGTAGTCAGCGAAGTAGGCAGTCTCAAGGCATCGTTCATACGTCGTCATGCTGTATCACTCCCTCCTTCTTGTTCCACGGCACGTTAGGTCCGATCACCGTTCATTTGCCTCGTGCAGAGAAGGCTGGAGGACGATTATGGCTGCGAGTAGAGACACCCCATTCTTGCCTCTCCTCTTCAGAGGTCGTGATGATGTCGTCATCGCCGTCAGCAATTAGTGGTGACTTCAGAGATGAAGGCGCGGAGCCGCGTTTCGACGCAGTGGTGGGCGAACCCCCCCGATGTTTTATGACTTGGGCGTGATGCATTGCACCGTGACGATCGGGAAAGAGCGATTATGCCTTTGTCTTGCTTCGTTGACTTCGACGTGGTGAGGCAATTGACAGAGAAGTGCAACGCTGACCTCCGTACTTCCAGGCTCTGTTAATTGTCCGCGCCACCAGGTTGCTCCCATCAATATGTAGGTCACATGCACGCGCGACATGTTGGTGTTGGCTGTTACTAAATCGGGACGTGCTTGCAGCGGGCCTCCAAGGTTTCGTGCCAGCGGCCAGGTGGGGCCACGCAGCATTGGGACAGCAGCGAGGGGCCCAGCCGCCCATAAAGTGGTTGCAGGAACGCGCTTTGCGCGCTGCTTCTTAATTACCTTCTTCCCACCTCATTCTGTCGCCACTCGAGGGACCACCACCCCTGCCTCCAGCCGCTTCTTCTCCACAACTGCCTCTCAACTTAGCAACGCTGAACTGGCACTGCGGACGAAAGGATAATTGACGATAGCTCAGCAGAAGTCCTCTCTGATCGACATTGAGCCTCAGGTATGTGAGTAAACGCCGGCAGAAGTACGCCGCCATGACACCACTCCCCAAATCCCGTGCGCACTGCTACACAGTCCTGTTCGATCGTATTATTTGTCAATTTTGATCTTCAAATTTTCCGAATCTCACCACAGAGAAGCACATGGCCCCGCAGGACTGGCGAATGCGTCCTGCTCCATGCGTGCGTCCCTGTCCGTTTCGATTCGATCGACAAGACTAATAAGCATCGATGGTTATAGTAGCCCAAGCGCTCCCAATGTGACAAAAATAACAAATCCTCGATTCTCAACAACCTCAACCCCGGCGACTGCAAATCACGACCCCAAGACGAATGTCTGCCACACCCTCACTCCCAGCTCGACATCCACCATGACTACAGATACGCCTCCCAGCAAGCGCGCAAGGATGCGACGCGGCCACACCGTCCCCGAGGCACGCTCGCTCAACTCTACGATGCTACGACACTCAGGCACATCACTGTTCACCCTGCCTATCTGCTGGACACCATTGCATTCACAGCTGCTGGGCGTCAGCTTCTCTCAACAACCAGACCAGCGCACTCCCATGCCCGCAAACACTTCTTCGCCACGCAGATCGCGGCGCATCCCGCCAACTGTTCTCAAACTCCAATGCGACCTCAATGCGCTTCTGACAGTGGAAGAGGTGCGATCGCTGCCTCTCACAAAGACGCGCGCCCTCAAGAACATCCTGTCAACCTTGTTCCCATCACATCTGTCCCGCCTAAAGACGTCTGCCGATCTCGGCCTTCGCTTTGGAAGTCGATGCTATGCAAAGGCTGTCAAGGCGCAGGCCATCTGGAAACACCCAGAATCGGGGTCTTCGTCTTTCGACTCGGCTGCCACGTGCTCTGGTAGATCCGCCAGCAGTCCAGTAAGTCGTGCCTTGCTCCAATACTTCAACCTTGCGCAGTGACACTAATCTCATGTTTGTAGACGCAAGATCATCCTGTGCTGGCTTATATAAGTCGCAGCCATCTCGATCACGTTCGGCGTGACCGCAGCAGGATACCGCGTATGCCGGACGGCTCAGATAACGGCCCTGTACAGCGGCTGCATGACTTGCGCTCCAAAAATCTTAGGCCCAGCAACATGGACGAGGACCCGTACTTTGTTGCTGCCATTATCGCGCTCGCTCAGCAAGCAGTCTATACCGTCGATGCACAGTCCCGGAGGACGCTTTTTATTCCCCGAGACGTCGAAGTCCGCGTCATCACAGTTTCTGAGGAGGAAGAGTGCTTCATCGTCTACTCCACGGTCGTGCCCGCTGCACGCATTAAGATGTTCGATCAACCCAATACGGCGCCCGAAAGCCCTGCAGACATCCACATCAAGCACACCCGAGTACCCGTATGGCCGGTGCTCGGTCTGAAAGAGCGCCTTGGTCATGTACTGGGTCGGGAGGTGGTTGGTGACTTCAACAAAAACGGCATGGTCACGTACAAAGACGAGCTCACGCCCTGTCCGGAGAAAGGTTCGACCAAACGGCGGTGTGAAATTCTACCAGAAGCTCTGAACGTGAGCTTTTCAGAAGATCCCAATGCAGGCAGCCCTGATCACAACGACAACAAGGCGAAACGTCGGCGACTGCCAAAGAGAAGAGTTGGGCTCGTCCGATGAAATCCAATTCTCCAACAATGTCCCGATGGAGAGGCGAGTCTTCTGACTCTATTCTCGGCTGCACAACGTCTTGCAGGCCTCACATGATACACTAAATGCGACACTAGATGATTGCATGGCATCGCTTGCATGCAAGCATAGAAACTTAGACACCGGGCAATCCATTTGCATTCGAAAGCCCTATACTGGATGGAGAAACAGGTGTTCGGCGTTTATTCGGCTTTCCCATGATGGCGAGGTTATGGCGAGAACGAAATACCCAAGGCGGCATGACCCGGTATATGAGACAAGCACGATTGCATGGACGTCAATTTCACGCATATACAACTCTAGAAACAATACAATAGACGATCAATTATGGCACAATAGTTTAACGTGGTCAGTTCATATATAAGTGGCAAGTGATTCTCTGGTAGTATCGATCCATCCGGATGCTCAACTGCAGCTTGCTCCGTACGCAATTTGGGCCAACTCTCAGACCAAAATCTCGCTGGTAAGAATTTGAAACCCACTCGCGGGAGCCAAAAGCAACCCTTTGAGATCGCTGTTGACTGCCGCCGCTGCATCTTGTAACTACCTTGAGGACTCCCCCGCTCGCGGCTCTCGCCCCGAATTTCTAACCCTCATGGTCATGACCGACGACTTCTTGCACACAACTTCCAAGACTGCCGTTGAGGCAATAGCCTGTACTCGCGAATCAACTCAACACTGCCCACACAGGCTCTGGCGATGGCTACCCCTCTGGGCTCCCGGTCAACATCATAATTGTGGAGCTATGGGCGGGCATTCCTTGCTGGCGGAGGCTAATCACGCAGGGCCTCTGCGCAAGCGGCCGTCGAGCAGTCAATGCTGATGGACTGTCAAAACAATTGCAACCACATCGATCTTGCCGCAGTACTCCTTCGTGCACAACAGCACGTATAAGAAGAGCTGACGAAGGCCACGCAAATCGCGGAGTACAAGGCTCTCAAGAGGGGCACCAAGCGCAATTGGGCCGTCAGACTTCACCGTTTCTGACTAGGCCAGGGCTGAGGCTGTTGAATGTGTCCTCGCCTCACGACAACATGGATGGGAAGGTAGATGGGTGGCAGGCTGTATATCATCGCTGCATGTTCAGGCCTGTTCAAAACGCAGGGCATCTAGTACGACCTCCGCTTCGATCATTTCCCACATATGCGCGGTCCACGCACCAAGACAGGAGGCACACCGTAAAACAGCGAGAGATGCCCGTGGAAGAATGCTGCAAGACTGGCTGGCAAGCTGGGCGACAAAACCGGCTTATCAGACGCACAACCTGGCTAGTTTCACAGGGCTGCGTGCACATGTACACGGTGAACCGGTGAAGCCCAGCCAAGGAACGCAGACATCCACCACCACCACTGGTCTGTCTTCGCAGTGCTCTCTACACTGCTGGCTGCATGGACAAGGATGCGGGTGCACTGCCTGATCAGGAGTTGGAGATACGCTGTAGTGCATGCTTGGCATGCATCATGCGATGCTGCACAGTCGCTTGCCTCGCGAGTTCCGGAGGTGTGCCACGTCTCCGTAGCGTCTGAACCGTGCATACCAGCTGGACGAAGGCTGTAGCTGTTTTCCCAGTGAGTGAAACAGTACTGTATAGAACATCGCCCTCATCAACACCAATAGCTGCAGATCCAGAAGTCTCACCCAATCGCAAAGACTACCAGCAACAAGGGGTCTTGCCGCCTCGGAACGTGCTTCTTGCTGCCCAACGCCGGCTGCCCCTTGTTGCTACTTAGGCAGAAATATCCCATTGATGAACCCAGGCTCACTCGAATTACGCACAGGTTCTATTGCTTGCAGCGGTATAACTGCTTTGGCCGTGGCCGTGAGGAGAGAATTCGACGTTGGCCTGATTTGACTGTTCTTGTTCTCGCATCTGCTTGCTCAGACAGAATTCTGACGCACTTTGCCAGTCCACGATTGAAGACCTCGGAACATCACACCCAAGCCAAAGGAAGCGTCATGAACTCCTGCTTGATGGATACGTGTTCCACTTGCAGACAATGCCAGTTGCAATAGTCCTTCACCGCGATATCCCGTGGGCCGGGTATCTCAAGAGAAACGGCAGATGGCAATGGTCTGCTGGCAGACGTTGATGCTGTTGCAGAACCAGCTACAGATTCTGGAGCAGGGGAGAGCCCGGCATTTGGCATGATATTTGTGATGTCGATCGGTGGGCAACTAGCTCGAGACGTTGCCTTTCGCTGCTGTTCTTCTAAACGTTGCTGGTCCTCGGCAAACAACTGCTCACGAAGGCTACTAGGAACATCGTCATGGTCAAGTAAAGTGCCACCCTGCTCAACATGCTCAATTAGTGCTTTGAAGTGGTGTGTTCTTAAGCGGTATCGCTTCTTGGTGTCCCTATCCTGCCAGCAGTATGGCCCGACGTGGCAGGGTCGACCTGGACAGCGTAAGGTCGCATACACCTGTTGGCAAATTGATGGCTGCCCACTGGAGCCTTCCTCGGCAGCAATGTACATGTCACGTTGTGCGAGCATTCGTTCTGAAGTAGACGCGAAGCCTCGTTTGGTCCCGCGCTTAGATGTTACACCAGCGCCTCCACTTGTTTGAATGTAGTTGAAGGTGATCTCGATCCTCAATCGTCGTCCAGCACGAAACAGGTTGCTCCAGAGGAGAAGTTGCTGTTCTAGCATTGACCATTCGATGTCCAGTTCGTCGAACCTTTTCACAAAGTCTCTCTCCGATCGATCCTGCACATGGACTACAGCGGTGGTGTCATCTGGTCGATACGATCGATTCGAGGCTAGCTTCTTCTTCAACAATTTATCGAGTTTGCTTCGTAGGGTCTTCTCCCAGTAGTCACAGAATTGATATGGCTATAAGCTCACGAGAGATTGCGGAGGCTCCGCTGTGCAAGATATGGCTTTTGACTTCAGCCGATCGACGAGAACGAATAAGTGTAGAAATGTTTGGTTGCAAGACCCTGACCATCATTCACAGGCAGTTTGTGTCCAGTTGGCGCGTCTCTGGCATACAACAGGGGGCGGGCGCTCGGGCCATCGGACTCATTCTGAACCCCAAGTGCGCCATAGAGGAATCGGCACTTGGACACAAACTTACAGTGGGCAGGGACGCTAACCCCCAGGGACCCCCCCCCCCGGCCCCACCCCCCACCCCCCGGGCCATTCTGGCTACCCCAATTTCCCCATAAGGTTCAGGTAAGTGAGGAGGAAAGGAGAGAGCTGGGGTTCAGACGGCAGACCCCGGGCGGGAAAGATAGAGAGAGAGCTACGTGTGACGACCCGACCAACAAGGGGACGACTGTTTGCGCAGGAAGAGCACAAACAACTAGGCCGCAGGATCAGGCCAGGGACAAGGGCGGATCATGTGGCAGTACCGTCACAAGTTTCTTATGTAATCAAGGACAGGGGTCTCGATAAGGATAAGGAGCACGGTTACGGTACCACCGGTCATGCATCTCATGCATGACCGTCACGAACGCCAAGACTGACGGTCACGACCAAACCGCCATGACCGTCAGCCGGACATGGCGTGACCACGATGAAGGACAAAGGATATATAGAGCACGAAGGATCTCCTTGCAGACAGTCATTACCTTTGTACTTCAGCGATCAATCTAAGTATCACTCTTACCTTTCACTTGACCTAGTCACTCAATTGATCCAAGTGTGATATCTCGCAAGAGACACGAACGACAACCCCCAGAGAGCACGACAGCACGGAGTCAGTATTGCACGAGGTCCTACCTACCTTGTCAGGACATAAACCCCACAGCGCCCGGTCAGACGGTTGACCCCGGAGATCGGATCGTGACATCTATATATAGGTTTAGTAGGATATTGTAGTATAGCCTTATAGAGCTATTAATTCTAACTCTAAAGATACTTAAAGTAGGTCTATAGCTAATTTGCTAGCTGAGTTATAGCCGAGTGACAAGATAGCGATTTTAGCGATTTTGGTGGGGTTTGGGGTGGTCGCGAAGTACCCTGGTCGCGAGACGGGGGGCAGACTTAAATGTGACGATCGCAAGTACTTCGAAGAAGCTGCCACTTCGCGCAACAAAGAAAAAAGAATCTAATATATCGTATTGGCGTTGATCCATGACCATCATTCTCTTGCCTTCTTGATCGGATCATAAACCCCAACTTACTTGAACTGTGTCGCTAGCGGGGGAATAATGCTCGCAAAGCTTCAGATTGAGAATATAGCTTGCGGCTCATGCAAATGCCCACCTCCAAAGGGGAAAATAATGAATGGTCCAGGCGCGCTACAGCGCGCCATTTTATATGCTCTCAGGGGAGCTCCGGATACTTAGTCAGGTGCTCCATTGTATCCCTAACTGGACCATTTGCTGCACCACGTCACAACCTGTGCATCTGGCTTTTGGGTGGGGGGTTGGATTCGGTGGGATTCGGCTGGTTCAAAGACTAGGCCTAGAACCGCCGGGCGCCGGCATCTTTTAAAAGGTCGAATTTTCGAGAAACATCGCCCATTCCTTTTTATTATTCCCCCCTGTGTATACGTAATTATTGAGCTGAAAATGCATTTTTCTAGTTTTGGCTAAGATGGATAATCATTGGTTGTACTTCGATCCAGTCCGCCATCACTCGCCTACTAGCCAGGTGGACAGAGGGGAGGACTCTACTGCGGCATATTGGGCCAAGAGACCCCAGAATGTTGAGATCGGCAGGGAAGGGACTTGCTATGAAACCTGGCATGAGCAGGGTAATTGATCTGGGTTTAAAACCATAGATGCCACAAAAGGCTGCCGGTTCGCGGATGCTCCCATCGGTATCTGTCCCCATACCAAGGACGGACCCTTTCATAGAATTCAGGGCGCATGCCGCATTCTTTCTAATGGATGGGCCTTCTGAGTCATGTCCACTTTGCTCTATATCAATAAGTATGCTGCCAATGAGACGCCAAGCCCACGATTCTGCTCACAGGCAAGACGTCCTGAACTACTGAGCAGAGGGTACGTGCATAGAATGTAATTAACTTCGAGCCTGGTTACACGACATGCCAGAGACATTGGGCGCAGAATTAGCTATATGCCGTCCTTTCGCCGCTGCTGATATAACAATGGGCGAACCTGGAGAATTACATATAGTTGTTATCTTTCCGCTAGTCTGAGTTATCCTCCCTGCATTGAAGAATAAGAGTGATGAGCTTTGGGCTTTTGAGGCTCAATGAGAGGATAGAGAGCTCCGACTTGTGAACGCGGACTCTTTGGTGCCCGTAGGAGCTAGAAACCCTCGTCATACTAGCAAGTTCCTTCGCAAACACCGCGGATAAGTCTTCGGAGTTCAGGAGCGTTAGTATCAAAGCCCACAGCAACGGCAGCCTCGCTGATAGATAACGGCCCGGCAAATCGGACACGTTACGTGTTCCTTGAGCCACGTAACGACACACTCCTCGTGGAACCAGTGTTTGCATGGCATGAACGTCGCCATAGCGCCGATCTTCATGTCATCTTGACAGATTGTGCAGGTACCCTTATGCTCTGAACCAAGGGTCGCCTCGTCGAGCGGCTTTCTCGTCAGCGACTCTATCGTTTCTGTAAATGCGGCAGCTGAGGCGCTGGATAGAAGGTTTAATTCTCCCATGTTCCTCGTGAGGCGATCGAATTCCTCGTCGGTGTATGCCCCGTCGCCATCGATGCTATAAGGACTGGGCAGGTTGTTAAAGAGGTCGGTCAGGGCTCTGGTCATATCAAGGAGCCAGTTATGTCTTCCAGCGTTTGCTCTCATGTGCTCGTCATCTTGTCCGTCGTGATCTAACGCGAGGCCGCGGAAGATGTCCCTGAACACTCGCTGAAACTCGGCATCATCCCCAGCCAAAGAACCTGGCTCCTGTACGTTGTCCCCACGTGCTGTGGCATTGTTGATTCCACCTGTGAATTCTGGCTCCGAGAAGACCTGATATCTGAGACGGCGTGATCCACCAATTTGTTGTCCTGATAGCGCTGCAGAAGCCCCAGCACCACCAGGGCCACCGATATCGCGCAGCAGTTCTGTGAAACTCCCGATGATGTCCCCACCATCGCCTGGATTCCTTCTCTGCGGTTGTTGACCAACAGGTGGGGGTGGGAAGCGAACGGAGCCGCGGAAAATGTTGCCCCGGGCATAATATCCAAGATAGTCGCCTATATCGGCCTGGTCTTGATCCGGGTGGTTCATGGGCCTGGCATCGTTCCGCAGATCGACCTATGCACAAGAGAACAACTCAGTCACGGCTTCTCGCACATGATGATGCTCGCCTAGCTGTCACAAAAGATCCACATACAATCTCCGTCGCATCTCCATGGCACATCGGGCAGGTCAGCGACTCCCCATGCTCGTCCTTGTACCACTCGTAGTCACACCCACGGCAGAGGAATACCTCGCCCCTAGACGTGGCGTCCAGGTGACCCTCGTCACCGAGTCGTGATGGCATATTGCGATATTTGGCTAGGTATAATGCCTTCCTTCTGAAGTTGTTCGACCTGACGCCGTGCGTAAGTCGTGTTAGCAATGCAGGCAGTGAGTCCTGTGACGAGTTGCTAGGGCACGAACCCGCCGGCTTCACTCTGTCGTGGAAGTAGTTGACTAGGTATGGATACTCCAGGGTCGTTGCAAAGTTGTCCAATGATTCTTATGTATCCGACAATCCTAACTACTCATATCTATTCTGCGCCACAGTACACCACAGAGGTATTCCTGTTCGAGCCCGACCGTGGACCGGGACGGCCATATCAGCCCCGTTCGTGTATTTTTATGGTGGCTGTGCGAGTGCGGGGTTGGTGAACTCTGATAATGCTGGCGCCCCTCCTTAGGGGGCTCAGCTCGCGAAGCTGTCCAGTAGACGAACGACGACCGATCGGTCGCCGCGCGAGCAAAAGTCAATAATGCCTGGATGCCCGTCACTCCCCATAGAATGACTCGCTTACGATGCCCGTCACTCCCAATAGAATGACTCGCTTACGATGCTCGTCACTCCCAATAGAATGACTCGCTTATCAGGCTCTCTGGGCTGCCCGTTCATGTACAGTAGTGACCACAATCAGTGTCCACAAACAACTCTAATGAGAGGATTTGCGCACGGGCCACATTGACCCAGTTGTGGCTTAGGACTGTGTGAAAACTATTCAGCACTATGTATCATGCAATAAAGCTCCACCACCCCTCCATATTTGGCTTTCATTAGCTGATGCTCAGTGATCCGGTTATGGCGAGGCGTCCTGATTGAAGAAATGGTTCAGTCCCCTGCAAATGCTCTGCGAGATTGAGGCATTTAGCTTCGAACCACCCTCGTTTGGCTAGGCCATCAACTGTGCACTGGTTAGGTCGTGATTAATTCCATTCCGAACAGCACCTCATTACTGTAAGTCTGCCCCCCGTCTCGCGACCAGGGTACTTCGCGACCACCCCAAACCCCACCAAAATCGCTAAAATCGCTACCTTGTCACTCGGCTATAACTCAGCTAATAAATTAGCTATAGACCTAATAGCCATTTGGCCAAGATAGGAGCAGAGCAATCAGCCATCTGCCCCTGCGGGCTGGCAGAAGAAACTGTGGAGCACTTCGTTTTCCGCTGCCCACAATGGAAACAACACCGTGCGAAGCTGTACCAGCAGACAGATACTCTAAGAGGAAACCTATCATTCTTCCTAGGAGGCAAAAGCATACGAGACACGCGCCTATGGACACCCGCCATGGAAGCAGTTCATGCCACCATAGCATATGCCAGAGCAACCCAAAGGTTAGACCCAAAATAAGGAAGCGTACCCGAAAGGTGTAAATATAGGGTTAGAAGAATGAACCATTCAATAGTGAAGTGTATAGGCTTGACGAGGATATGCACTAAAGCAGGAAACGTAAGATAAATAGCGCTAGAGCTCTTTAGGCTTAGTGCCTCCGGGCGTAATAAATCTCTCTCTCTCCCCCTCACATCACGTGCTACCCACTTCAATTTTTGAAACGACACCGGGGCTCCAGCCTCCTTGACCGCCATTTTGACTATCATTACGAATCTACTCGCTTCGGGCAACGGGCCTTCTTGAACGGGCAATGCATGTTGCAAACTCGCTCCCTTCCGATGCTACCCGCGCCCCTGCAAATAGCATGCCTGAGATAATCTGCTTGGCCGATTCCGACGACGAGGTGATATATCTACGCACATGTACAAAGCAGCCTCGCTGGGACCCAGGTGCTCGTCGCGATATCTCAAGAAAGTTATCAAAGGAGCCCACACGCCGACCACCGCCTTCGAAGGATGCGCGAAGACACCGAAATACTGATGTTTTCCTTGCACCTAAACGGTCAACGCGCTGCCCTCGTTCTCGAGCGAACCCTAAAGCGACTGCCCGCTGTGGAAATTGTCGACGGAGGGCCGAAGCGACTGCAACACATTCTATTCCCGCGGAAATCATTGGAAAACTGGTGAAGCTAGGGTACCAACGGAACGTCCAGCGTCAGCAATCCCAACCTCCAGTATATGGCTGCTTTGACAAGTCAGGCAGTTTCTGCCGCCGACTCTATTACTCGCAAAACACCATGGATCGCGCAGGGTCGGCACCAATCTCCCACGACCAAGTTGAGTACAACGCTCGGTTTCAGGGAATGACTCGCCAGCAAGTTCGAGCTACAGCGTGTCACTACCTGAAAGAAAGTATGGCCCTTTTCTGGCTGAAGGCGAGGTATGATTTGGATGGTCTGCGAGCCGCTGAACACACAAGACGTCGTTGGAAGCTGCTTAAGCCTAAAACTAGAGTCGAAATATGATAGCAATGCCTTACTTTCGTCTCCCTCTTGAAACTTATCTAGCGAAAGGACAACAATAAGTGGCTATGAACCCATTTGCTTGAGCGATGGCGCTGAGCGCCAAAGCGAACAATTCCACTATAACGCCGCTGCTGCTTGGTGGCCACGATTTGTTGTCTGGATCGGAAGCGTGAGCAAATCTATGTTGCTCCTGTGAATAACAACGAACATTGCTCGATTCGCAATCTGAGGATGGTCATGTGCGTTCTTCAGCAGAAACCTGTGTATATCGCGAATCTGTTGCTGCCCTCTTCTAAGTAACTTAGTTTCTACGTAAATAGTGCAGTGTAGGCAACGTGAACGGCGCGAAGCTGTAAATTCTGAGCAATACCTATTCTGGGCAATATCTATTTTTAGTGATACCCTCTCTCAGAGTGAAGTCGCCTACCCCTGGTTGCTGGTGGGCCAGCACAGAGATTACTCGAACTCGTGCTGGCGTCTCTATAACCTAAATATGATACAGAGACAGAGAGGAGCACTTAGAGCTAACATTGGAAGTAGAAAACGGAAATCGAGCACGGTCGAAAGTCGTAAAGCGGGAAGGCAGTACAGAGGTTTGATCGTTCATCTTATTGACATAAGCATTGCAGTCTGACAAGGGAGTAAGATATCCATGATTCTATTGCGGTTAATTCCCAGATTCACATTTAGCCATATGGAAGGTTCGGAGCGTAGACTGGAAATAGCTTTCTACAAGGATTGACCGTCGGGTACAGGTATACAGTTGCCTCCTCGTTGGAAGATTGCCCATTATGTAAATAGCTCATTTCGAGCAAATGCTTATATTGGGCAATGTCACACTCATTGTTGCTGTGACTTCATAGCAAGCCGCTGGAGGTCTGCCAGGCCGCAAGGACATTTTCTCAGCTCGGCCTTGCCAGCGACAACCAGGAGCATTAAGTGCGACCGAGTCTGGAGCCTGCTCGGCAGTAGAGCTTGCTCCAGGACGAGCCCGGTCGTCCATGGGTCCTGACCGACTTAACTGGTTGGGACGGATTAGCATTAATCCGTCGTTCCGTTTCATTCTGATGCGACGTGCCAAGCCACAGGTCCGATTGTGTCCCCATATTTATTTTTTGTCGGGTGCGACACAGGTGGCCGCATTCAAGCATCCTTGAAATCAAGTGGGTCCCTTACGTGTTTTGGTGCTTTGTTTAACGTTACCTTTCATTCTTTGCAACCTCCTCCTTCCCCCCAAACCACGACACGACCGCCGCAACCATGGCTCTGAGCGAGGACCAGATCAAGATCATCGCGGAGAACCCACTCGATGAGGCATTGAAGGACGTTCGCGTTAAACTGCGCGATTGCGCCGATGTGCTGAAGGGCGGCATTGTAGCAAACCTCTTGGGTGCACTTGTCACTTCTTCAGCAGCATTCAACCTACCTGCACCAGACAGAAGCGGTAATGTTGCCGGAAAGCTATTCACCATACAGCAGAGTGTCCGCGGAGGCTCACTCAAGCTTGAACAATTCAGACCACTCATTGACATTGTCGTTGCCACCTCTCTCGACACCGAAGTCTGGGTAGTCGTCATCGACCTCATCGAAGCCGTCAAGCCGTCGACGCCCCCGCCTTCCAGCATCATACCCGCGTTTTTCGGAACGCCAGCAAAAACGAGCTCCAGCCGACTGGATGACAGCGAGACCCGTGACATTGTCGAACGCGAGCTTTTTTTTGAAATAAAAGACTACATGCACCGAGGAGTGCCGGGGTTTTTCGAGAAGCACTTCGACTCGGCAACACGGGACGAGAAACATCGACAAATGCTCAAGTTGACTCTGGCAAATCACGACGGCTCGCATTGGAAGGGCTTCCCAACCGATCCATGGGAGAAGCCCGTCTGGGAGTGGCTGGTTGCGCTGGAGGAGAGCTCCTTGACAGGCGCGCCGTATACGCTGCATGCAACCAGAACTGCTACCGAGTTCAAAGAGCGCAAAGGCCAGATGGACGTGTTCTTTCAGAGGACCAAGAGCGGGAACCGTCGATCCACGTTCAAAGATGTTCTTGTCGTGGGTGAACATAAACGGTCTTCCAATTCATCCGACTTCAAGGCGTGCCTGTTGCAGCTCACGAGGCATGTCCGAACGGACCGTCGGCATAAGTCCCATGAAATCCAAGACTTACCCATGGCCCGAGGTCGTGAGGGTGTGCCAGACGTGCACGATCCAGGGCTTCTCCGCCATGCTCGACGCGACTGCCACTGCTGCCACTCCCAGCACTAGCGGCGGCGAGGGCCGGCCGTTCCGGTTCGTTTATGTCAGCGGCATGGGCGCGGAGCCGGACCAGACGTTTGTCGGTATGACAACATCACTTCAGAGGCAACGGCTGAATGGACGCTCTGTTCTGTCGCAACCGGTTAGGCCCTGTCTGTGCCCGATGACCTTCAGGAAGCAGCAACTGTGTCAATGCAGGGTCCTCTAGCCGCGCTCCATTTTTGGCGGCTCCTTCTCTTTGCTGCCCCGCCCTCTGCTGCTCCATTTCTTGGCTGCTCTCATTCTCGAGCGAGCTAGGGCTCCCGGGGTTGCTTGCCAGTGGAGACCCACTTCTCCAAGGGCGGATGGCATGCCGCTCCACCCATGTAAGTTTTCGCATGACGGAAGTGGTTCCGCGTATCCAGCTCAGGCAAGTCCTGGAGGTCTGTGGAAGAAGGCATTCTGAGCCCGCCATGCTCGACCTCGGCGCGGCGTTCTCAACAACCAGCTCCATGGTACTTCCGATAGCTTGTACTAGGTGTCTCCTACGTAGGCACGTCAATGCTAATCAGTCAGCGTCCCGGCGAAGGGGTCTCATCAAAAGTATAGCGTACAGTATTGTGCAATGTCTCTCTGAGACTTGACTAGCTCCTATGTTCGAGTGCACGCCGAGCAATGGCGGAGAGTCCGCGCAGCACCAGGAGGAGCCGAAAGTAGTGTCCTTGCTACATGGTAAGCTGCGGCGCAAGAAACCAGCTGCACAAACTAGCTCTCTGCTCAGCGTACCGAAGTGGATGGAACTGGGGTCCTGTGGGGAAGCTCCATTTTCGGCGCTCGCAGATCTCGGATGACCTTGCTGCCTATTCGGGTGCAGTAGGTGAAGCTTACAACGTGGGCGCTGCGTGACGTCGACTCCGACTCTCGTTTGTTCTTGGCTGGTCAAAAGAATAAGAGCCCACATGGTCTGCTGTCTCAGTCCTCAGACTTCCCAACTCTCCATAGTAGCCCACGCCAACTACCGTAGCATCACCAGAGTCAGCCGGAGTACCCTGAAAACGACTTGAGAGGACAGGCTCTGTTCTCTAGCACTTCATATGCGATGACTTCTAAGCCTGCCCAAGTCCGACTGCCGTCAATCCAGGACATGGTTCCGGAGTCGCACCTCGTCACTTCCGGACACATGGGGCAGTACAGCCTTGTCCATGGTCACCGAGTGAGCGAGGAGAATAACACTACTTCCGGGTCATGGGCTTCCTCACAGCCACAAGCGACAGACGGCCTCAGCGCTTACTATTCGCAACTGTGGCTCGCTGACCCCACGGGACCACTACTCGCAAGCGGTCCATACACTGTCCTAGCGACTTATTACTTGGTCCTGCCGATGTGTGGTGCTGGTAGTCATCTGCACTATCCTTCATTGGTGCCGCTTCCGCCTGTCGAGATGCCGGACCTAGTTCGCCCGGCTCTGGCGCAGCTACCAGAGCTGCAAGGCAGCCAGACTCATCACGAACCAGAGACAACGATCTCGAGCTGGAACGCCGCGCAGTCCCCGAGCAGCATGTATCAAGAGACTCTGTATTGCTCTCCAGGCCCAGCATACAGCGGAGCTCCAAATGCCGTCCTACGGAGCCCGGAAGCACGGCTGTGCGAAGACCTGTCTAGCGGTACTTCAACGCAGCTGCACGACGAGCATAGCATGGCCATTGCCGGCACAGAGACCACGGTGGGATCAAGCCTGCTCAACATCAACGGTGGAAACCGACTCCTTTACCCGTCTCCAGGCGAGCTCGTCAACAAACATGTCCCGAAACACGATCGAAAACAAGTCAAACGGCGCCAGCGTGGGTCCGCAGGCTCGAAGAAAGCGCGCAACAGAGGTGTCAATGCTCAGAAAGCCATCTGTGACAGCTGCGAGAGAGAATCTGGTTCAAGGAGTGAGCTCACACACGCGTCAGACGGGATGCGAAGCCGAATCCTCGCACGGAAATTAGAAAGCAAGACGTGATGCATGCCTAAGGCCGCTGCTATGGTGGTAAAGAAGTTATGCAAGAGAGAAGCAAACAATATCACAGCAGCCAAACTGATTTACCAAGGACATGTGTATGTAATTCGGGTGCCGAACATGGCGATGGACGACTTCGGACACTAAGAGGCGTGATGCTGACCGAGACAGCAAGGCCACAAAGGGTGCGTTGCGTTGTGGAAATTTGCACCCTCAACTGTTGAGGTCACCCACGCCCCAGAGGAGAGGGGAGGGGTCCGCCTGAACAACAGAAGGGGGGACCTCCGCAGGTGAAAGGGATTCTGATCGGTGAAGTTGTGTTGTCCTTACACTTGCAAGGCATGTGCATGAAGCCAGAAGCAAGCCACTGTCGTCGAACCAAGAAACGGGCATATGCCGAATCGCCAGGAGTGTCGCACCAAAGCTTTGCCCCTGAAAGCAGGGTGGGGATAGGCCCCAATGCTGCGGCTGATTGGACAAGGTCAAGCGACAAGTGCATGACGTCCCGCTCAGCAGCGCGCAGAGAGACCCTTGCAACTGGGACAGAACGGAGCGCTGGAAGCCGGGGTTATCCTTGCCAGTCTGCAATTGATCGAAGATCTGACAGGTAGGAAGAAATCATTCTGGGGCAGCATCATGCGATTCACCCTTCCTCAACAGCATTCTAGACTATGACCATGGAGCTCCGTTTGCGGCATGCCTGCTGGAGGGACCTGTCCTCGATCCATGCTCAATAGGAACATTGTAGCACCTTCCTGTAGATCTAGCAAGAGTATATAGCTTGGTGATATAATGGCTCAGTGTTAGGAAGTCGGGTGGCAGATACGTGCTATCCCAGACCTCTATTCCGATCGGAGTCGTACGGATCGACACTGCATATAATGTCACCGTCAATGTTGCTCGCATGACCAAAACAACCCCGACCTTTTACGTCCAAGGCTAGCTCGATTTTCCAACTCTATGTTTTAGCTTCGATGAACTCATTTGCGTCCTTTTCTTTCCACCTTCACATCTAGATTATCACGCAAAAGGTCGTTCGTCATTAGAGAAATGCTCCTTTGAGCTCCCACCCTTGTGCGCGCGAAGAAACTCGCAAGTCAAATTACTTCGGACACTAGGAGCATCCTGCCCCAGCAGGGTCAGCCATCATCCCTTTCCCCGGAGCCTCCAACGTTGTGAATCAATAAGTTTCGTGAATACTTCGGCCTCCTCCCGGGCGATTGCTGCATGGCCCATCAGGAACATTTGGGCATCGGGATCAGCAAGAACTTGGCCGAGTGCACGGATGCGCGCAGCGGGCACTCTCTGATGCAGCTCCGACACAAGCGCCCGGCGCATGATTGATTCGAAGGGGTGATAAACAGTTGCAATCGTTAGGGCCGCCTGTAATAGCTCGTCGTCTTTGATTGGCTTGTTGTGCTCTCTAGTCGCCAAACCGTATCTTGAATCAATCACCCGAGTTAGACTGAAAGAGATTGCGGCGGCATCCAGGTAACACTTCTCCACGTCCCCTGCCTCGAAACTCGCCCACATACCATTGCAATGCTGTAAGCGATAGATTGCGCAACCATATACTGGAAAGCTTCCCGTTCATGCCGTGAGCGCTCCATGCACGCCCGACAGCTTGGATTTTAGTGTCCTGCGCCGACACAAGGACGCTGTCCTGAGCCCAATCGGCCAGTCGGTAGATCCAGTTTTGCGTCCACGACTGCATGACCTCTTCGACTAGTCGAGCCTTCGGCGCCGCATACTTAGAGATAGATGCTCCGTATTCCTCGGCGAACCATTCGGCAACTCGCCGATTGTGGGAAACGGCGTGCTCAAAGACAGTCTGTCCAAGAAGATCTTTGGCGAGCGGGTCTGCACCGAGTCTCAGCAGACTTTTGACAATCTCTATATTGCCAGACTTGACTGCAATGTGAAGTGCTGTGCCGCCCACGCCGAGAGCGTTGATGTCAAGCTTAGCTTCCGTGACGAGGAACTCGATGATTGCTTCCCTACTTCCAGTAACCTCGGACTCTACAGCATATCCGATGAGCAGTCTCCCGGCGAGGTCGGCGTTTGGAAGGGTCCTGGCTTCTGAAATCAAGCGGAGGATATCCAAGAATCCTCGAGATATGGCGCTGGCAGCTAGAAGCAACCCATTGTGGTGGGTGGGCGCCCCTTTTTCTAGCAGGTACTGCACCGCCTCTTGGCAACCACAGTTGACTGCCGTGAGAATTGGCAATGACCGTAGTATTGGAGATACAATGTTAACGCCGCGGTTGTGGAGAAACTCCAGCACATTGATATGTCCACCAAAGGCAGCGACAGATGCGGTGGTGTGATCGCCGATCGCCCAGTCCAGCTGCACCGAGAAGTTTGCGCACAGATACTTGAGCAAGTCGACATCTCCCCGCACAGCAGCGCACACTGCCGACTTTGCGAGCAGATGTGCGGTTGGTGGTTTGGCAAGATTCTGCAAGGTAGTGGCGAATCGCTGGCAGGACCCAAACCTGGCCTGCGCGAGAGCAACGTCCGGCGGGAAAGGCCCAACGGTCGCGAGGCGCTCATAGTATGTGTCGGCTTCCTCGATGCGGGTCTGAATCATAAGGGCAAGGGCTGCAGTCTCCAGCCAGGCAGGCGTATTTTCAGCCCGACTCCTTCGTAAGCTGATAAGGACAAAAGCGGCAAAGTGATCGTTATAGTTGTCTGTGGGTGCTGGCACTTGGTTGTACATAACTCGCAAAAGAAATTTGATATCCTTCTCAGTGTCGAACGCATCGCAGCCATATAGTTGTTCTTCAATCGCAAGTTCGCGAAACGGCAACCCTGATTGAACTTGGCGGTGATGGATACCAGGGCCATATACGCCTCTGAAGGCAGCTTTCGCGGCATCTCTCAGGTCGCGAGAAGCCTTCTCCACCTGCGTCAAGGATCTGGCATCGAGATGTTCAAGGATGCAAAGGAGCAGCTCTCGGGGTAACAGTAAGAGCTGACTTGGTGATAAGTCAAAAGATTGACTGTCGTTCATTATGGCAAGGTAGAACCAACCGGTAAGTCGGTCCGCGACAATGAGCAAGGGGTGAGCGGATGCACAGGATGTATTTCAAAGAGCTACATGGTACCAGAGAATATGGCTCCGCCTGACAAGAAGGGTCAATGACTTCAAGTAAAAGGCCGAACAGGAGGCCCAAAATTCACATGTCTATAATGTACTGTAAGCCTGGAGAAAATAGCTCACGCGATATCTGGAGAACTGCGAGCGTTTAGACCAGGAAAAATGGAGCCTTGCAAACTTGTAACAATTAACGTAATCCACAAGCAAGTGAGCCACACAAGCAAGTGAGCCACCCACCAGGTACCCGTACGACAATGTATAAGAGAATTCAACCATAACGCCTGAAATCAATTAAAACTATGAGGAATCCTCTTCTTCAGAGGCAGATACAACTTTCTGACACGTACGAGCATTATGGCCGGGCTCGCCGCAGACGCCACATCGTCGCGCGCGCGTTTCTGGCCTCCTCGTATGACCACTATTCTGACTCGTTTCCGCCCTTAACTGCTGCGTCGCATCGATTTGAGCCTTCAAATCCTTTGCCTGATCAATCGTGAGGGACCCTCCTTTCTGTAGCTGTTTTCTTTTCGTACGACGACGGCGGCTAAGGCGGTCGTTTGCATCTCGAAGTTCGGCGAGGTCATGGCGCATAAGGGTCTGCTCGTGTACCATCATTGTGATTCCTTTGTTTAGCTGCCGCAGGCTCTCAATAATGGACGACGGAGAGCTATTCTGGTGTCGTACGATGCGATTTCTAATATACTCCGTCTGCGATTCGGCCTCAATTGCGTTATTCGGCGTCTTTGAAACCCAAGGGAGTGGCAGTCCAGCAGAGGAACCTGGCGGTGTTGGCGTGTGAAACTTTACATCCAGCTGCGAAATCACATAATCCGGGTCGTACGGTACTAGCCCAGTTGCTCTAAAGCCTGCCTGGATGTTTGACTTTGTCATCGCAGCGTCGTACGCCTTATAAAAGGCTGGGAGGAAGTCCTCCTTTGAGATATGGGTAATATGCGCCCGCATAAGACCCTCGATTTCTTTACCGTACGCCCGTTTTAGAGGGCTAAAGCACCCAACATCGAGAGGCTGGAGCTTATGTGATGAGTGAGCAGGCATACAGAGCGTCACAATGTACTGTTCCTTGCAGTAGAGCTCGAAATCGACGGAATGGTGGCTCCCGTGGCCGTCGAGGATGAGGAGGCGGTAGGTGCCCTTCGTACGACTCTTCGTATGGAAATCGAAGTGTTTAACCCATTCTAGACCTCTCTCGTTTGTCGTCCAGCCGTTCTCTGAAAGCGCGATTACCCAGTCGGCCGGTAGAGGGCTATTCGCGGTCCAGGAGTCGAGGTGGACCTTCCCCGCGAAGATGATATATGGTGGGATCGAATAGCCGTACGACGCGATACCCTGGATTACTGTAACCCATTCCTGATTGCCTTGTTGCACGGTTCTTGGCCTCCCGCGTCGATCGGAGGTCGTAGCGACAGTTTCGGCGGAGATCTTGCCCATTGCGAAGCCCGTTTCGTCGAAGTTGTAGATGTCGTTATCGTGGATCCCGTATTTCGCGATTATGTTTCGTACGAGGGAAAACCACGCGCAATACGCGTCTGGATCTTCGCAGAGGACTCTCTGATAGTCGATTCTTCGATTAAAACGCGTCCGGAGCTCAGGTCGTCGTCGTACGAAGTTCGTACCCCAGTTCGTTCCGACGCGCAGCGCGTCGCGTTCGCGGAGGAGTCGATCGGCCATTTCTCGAACACCACTAAGGCGCGGTGGAAATGAAGGCGAATCTAAGTCGATTATATATCGTACAATGCTATCCTCTTCGTACGAGGTTAAATTCTGATTATGTGGTCGGAGATCGCGTTTCGCAGGTCGGCCGGCTTGTCGTCGTTGGAGGGTAGCACGGGATACATTGTAGATGGATGCAGCCTTTCGTACACTTAATTTTGGATCCGATTGGAGCGCATTAAGCGCTAGAATAAGGTCGCTTTCAATTGATTGCCGTCCCATTATTGTTGGTGGAGAAAAACGAGGAAAGGGAGCGTCCATTGGAAATTGGATGAAAGTGGCTCACTTGCTTGTGGCTCACTTGCTTGTGGATTCCGTTATAAGCTAAAAGATAAAGGGCAAGCCTTCTCCTGGTTGACCAGCTCGGTGCATTGAAATGTTCCTCTCCTCCCTGTCTAGTCTAAATTGTCTCCAACTCAGGTCAGGAACAGTGCTAAAAACATAGACAAAACGAATACGTGCCATATTGACACTCTAGAAGCAATATTGGGGTTGCCAGCAGTGTATACCACCTGCCCAAGTTGCGAGCGCCACGTTGATTATGAAGGCTATTCATTCAACGCATGCTCATTGTCTACCAGTCCAGCCCGTCGCGCTTCGGTCCTCCATACGTCTGCCCCGAAGTGCTCGATGATATAAAGCTCCGCGCACTCTCGCGCGTCGGCATCGAGCAACTCCAATGGCACATCGCTAGCTGGCCAAGTTGCTACCAATCCCCGCTGCTGGCTGAGCTGCAACTCTGAGACCGTGTGGGGCTCTGAGTAATATTCTGACTCGTTTTCACACTCAAATCTTTGGCTGGCCTCTTTAAAATACCACCCCCATTGCTCACCTAGATGTTCCGATACCCAACGCTGCAGCTCTTCCCAAGTCTCATCGACGAAGAAGGACCGCATGGCGAGCGGAATGTCATCCCACTCGACAGTAATGATGATGTTGCCTGATCCGCGATCTTGGCGAAAAGATAAGTCGCGGACCGGATAGTAAAGTCCTTCAGGCAGCGCAACTCGGTACTTGAAAGGCTTTGGCGGAATCTCAAGCGGACGAGCTTCGCCGTCGGGCTGGGCGCGTGTAAGCCTTTGCGTGCCGTTCTCTTTGCCGCAAGCACCGGGGATGTCCATTAAACGCGCTCGCTTCTGGGGTCGGCCAGTACTCGGCATGTTTGTGTTGCGGTGGCCCCGGCATCCCAGCTTCGACGTTCCTTGGAGATGGAGCTCTAGAGGCTCCCTCATCGGCCGCAATGGCGACTGCTCAAGCTGCGCGTGACTCTGCCCTTCTTCGATCGACGCCATTGCCGAGGTAATAGACTTCTGCGTCAAGATGGATGGAGGATTGAGGGGCAGGCTAGAATGTGGATGACTGCCCGACAGTTCGTTGGTCCGTAGCACTGTCGTGCTGTTTTGTGCCACTGGAGTACCTGGCCTCGCCGAACCTTCCATTTTGCCAGAGCAAGGATATACTTCTGTGTACCTCTTCAGCTCCGGTGGACGTGGGTGTCTGTCAACAGTACGACGCCGGTTGCGGGAGGTTTGAGCCGTGGTGTTACCTGCTGTTATTTGAGTGCAGGTCCTCGAACCAAGGTCATCGTGCTGCGGGCCATTGCGACATACCCGTCATGGTGAAAGCGCTCCGCTCGGGCTTGATCTTCGGAGCAGCTTGGCGTCCGTCGTGTTTGGTCGGTCATGGAGTGCTTTGGGCTCAATTCCATTGTCCTGTATAGGGTAATCAAGGAGGGACGAGCCGTCTGATTAAGTACGACGCCGAGCTAGAATTATGCTCCATAAGTCGCTCTTCTTGCCTGACTGGCAGCTTGAAAGCGAATTGGTCGAAGCCCATCCCTGCCCGTCGTGTGGGTCGTCACCCATTCCCCCAGGCTGGAAGAGCCACTTTTGGAGCCGGTGCAACTATCACTGCCTGTCCAACGACAGGGCCACCGGGGCCAAGACCTCCTTCAATAAGGCGTCCCCACTGGATACATGGAGCAGTAGTAGCCAACCGGTAGTGACGAGCTGTCAATGGAGCTTTTGGCCCAGAGGCATTGCTTCGACATGGATATCCAGCTCGTGTTTGATAAATCATGGGAAAATTAGGCTTCGGTGTCTGCCTACGATCAAACCTCAGGCGTCGAGGCTACCTTCATGGTAAAGAACTTCGCTTGATAGGCCGGGACTTTTATTTACACTCCAAACCGAGTAACGCAGCTTGGTACCAAGCTTACAAGCAACCAGGGGCAGACTTGCCGTCAAATACCACTCAAGCACGCCCTGGGGAAATAATACGAAAGGATGGCAACTTTGACTGCCTGACCAACAGTAGGGCCACTAGCACAAGTCGCTGAGACCTCCGCGAGGGCAGGACCCTCGCGGCCCAATACGCGGTCGCGGAAGAGTGCATACAAACCAGTCTGACTAATGATGCACTCGGGAACCACAGCCACTTCTGGATCTTTGGGATTCTGTTGTGGAAGCCAGGTAAAGTTGTCCGACTGCTTAGTCCTATGAGGCATTCGCGCCGTCCATCATGCGCCCTCCTCATTTTGTACTAGATCGCGTACGGGGCCAGATGCCGTCATGCATGAATGAAAGTGAGCCTGCCTCGACAGCGTAATGATTGGCTCGGAAGGGACCGGGGTATACCCGCGCGCGTAGGCAGATCAGCTGAAGGAGTTGGAGTCAAGTGGGGACGCACGCGTCAGGCTCGAGTAATATATATTCTGTTGTTCTCACACCTCATCACGAACGAAACTTCTACGCTATTCATCACTTGCGAACTTTTATTCCCCATCTCACCGCCTCAGTTCAAACACGCCATGCCATCGGAAAAGGACCGCCTATATGTAGCGTTATACGCTCGCGGTGGTAACCCAACTATGCCGGGGCTTGAAGACAAGTTAGTCCTACCTCACTTTGTGCCGGTGAGCCTTAACTGACGGTGAATAGGTATCATTGGGCCTTGATAGTTGGGCCGAAGTTGGAATCAAGTACCAGCCAAGGGTATCGCTTCCATGCCAAGGAAAAATTGTCGTTCTCTGGCAATCCACCTGAGGCCAAATGGGAGTGGCATTACGAGGAAGTGACAACCTCCATGACAGCAACCTCAATGCTACTTGTCCGTATCGTGGTCGGCAAGGTCAAAAGTACAAGTCGGCTACGGTCGATATTCCAGCAAATACCCGTTAGACCGGAGGTCGAAGGATGGAATTGCGTCGGGTGGGTACGGGAAGCATTGCATACTACTACGCAGGATAGCAGGGCATTGAGTAAGGCCGCCGGCACTTGGGACTTGGTGAGAGACACGGCAATGTGGTATGTTGAAAGCAAGAAGACCGCCAATCGCTTCGATGGGACCTACGACTACGACCCAACTCAAGTAGCAACGTGGGATATGCTGTCAGAGAAGGAGCTTATGCAAAATTACGGGTTTGAGATCTTGCTTAATCTAGATAGCACCGAAATGCTTCCGTCTGATCCTTTCCATCTCCAGTTCATGCGGCATGGGCTCCAAGAACTTGTCTACCTCTGATGCCCAGAACTCATTCGTGGGATTGACGTACTTCGCAGAGGTGTACTCCCAGTATGTGGGTAACCACCCTGCAGTCTCCCAGTCCACAATACCCACCACATTGTCCCCTTCGACCATAATGTTCAGGCTGCTCAGGTCACCATGAGTCAGCACAAGCTGATCACCTGATCGGCGATAGAAATCGAAGAGCTCGTGCACATCATGGGGTAGAGCCGCATATTCACTATCCAAGTCTGCGCCGTTGGCAAGTGCCTCGTGGAATTCCCGCAGTGTGCGGAAGGGTCCCCAAAGCGGCTTGGAAGGCAAGCGAGCGTCGTACAACGGACCTCCGCCCACACCTCCGACACCTGTCCCTGGAGGCGGCGCCACAGAGCGAAGTTCAGCGAGCATAAGACGGAGCTGGGCGAGTATCATGGCTTTTGACTGCTCAGTGCGGGTTTGCCAGCCACTCCAAGCCATTCTTCCACGCAGTCTGCTCATGACAAGGTAGGTATTCCCTTTGTGGACAAACGCGCAATATACCTTCGGTACAGGAATAGATGTGTGCCGAGCCACGAATCGCATGGCATTGGCTTCGGCTAGAGTCGCGACTGGCTTCACCTTGATGCACATATGGAAGAAGCACACTGGCCCAGACTGCTTTTTCCATAGACGATGAAGGACTTTGTTGGTTCTTGCAGCAATCAAGAGGACGATGAGACGGCGTGTGACAAGGCCAGCACCGATGGCTTCCGCGTTTGACGACATGGTGTGGGATCGATGGTTCATCGAATGAGCCTGTGGTGGGAATTGTTAGCCCCAAATGTCTATTTGACCTAGAACAACGACTGACTCTCGCGTGTATGTGTGTCTCGTACCTGCTCAGCCAAGTTAGGGTCGTCTTGGCGCGAGATGTTATGGTGGTTCAGCGAACTGACGGTTCCGGCAGGGCTTCCGCGATGCTGAGTGCGAGGCCCCTTATGCGAAGCGAAGCTCCCGGAGGTGAGAACGAGCAGTTGACCCGAGATTGGTATCCTTTTTTCTGTCAAGACAGGTTGGTGTCAGACCGGATGTGATTCGCGCAAGAGCTTATCCCAGTCGCGAGAGAGACGCGAATTTGAAGGAGGGAAAGCGGGGCACGTGACTAAGCAAATTTCATGGTGCGACCGCCCCCCGTTGACACCGCGACGACTCGCTTCTCAGCTCGCGCCGTAGCTCGCATCTCGCCGGCTCTGTTCTCACCGCTCTGCTATAGTCCATTCGACGCCCTCAGCATCACCTCCTGGTGGCATGATAAACAGGGCGTCGAGAACGAGAGCTGGGGAGCTTGGATCTATGCTCATGCGGATAGGAGGAACCTTCTAGGTATTCTAGCAGGCTAATGGCTAACGTCAAGTCGGGTGGACGCCGCTGAGAGCTGCTCGTTTCCTCTTGCTCAGCAACTTCAGTGGCACGGAATCTCGTGGGAACCTCCTCGGGTGTAGATCATGTCAGCTTCACACTCGAACAACTCACAAGACTTCTGCAGCGAAGTGTATTAACGAGAAGTGTGTACATACACCCCTGTTTACCCATCGCAAGGTTACTCCAGCATCGTCGAGCTGGAGAATTGCAACACATCCTATTAGGGCACGAATAGAAGAGATGGTTACGATTCCGTTGGTGGTCTGCAGGCTTTAAGAGTAAAGAAAATCACGATTGTCCTTCCGCCACCCCTATGCATCCTACGCACTCGCATTATCCAGTCCAGCACGTCGTGACTCGGATCTCCATACCTCGTCTCCAAACTTGTTGATGATCTGCCGCTTCGCAGAGTCGAGCGCCACCTCATCAAGCGACGACAACTGAACATCACTGTCTGGCCAACTCGCGACAAGTATCAGCTGATCATCCTGCATGCTGAGCTCCAGCTCTGAGACCGTATGGTATTCGAATGAGGATTGATCTTCGGACCCAGGCAGCTGATTCTCGCCATCCGTGTGCATCCAAGTAGTTCCGAACTTCTGCAATAGACGGTTGTTGAGCTCTTCCCACGCACCCTTGACGTGGAAATTGTCGACTGAAAGTCTAGTCTTTTCCCAGCTGATGGTGATGATCCGACGCAAAGGAAGTGCCCCGTGAACATCGGTCCCAAAAGGGGAACGACCTCGCCGCAGCTAAGTAGGACCAGCCCCATTCAATCCGTCTGATCTGTCACACTGCACAAACAGCACACTCAGCATAGCACAAGTTTCCACGCACTATCTCGGAAGCGCGTGGGGACCTCATACACAACGTGGTAAGCTTGAAAAAACATCAAGGGAATCATCATCATCATGGATTTGCTGCGAAAAGTCCATACCAGTGACATGGCGTACGTCTCCGATGGCTGGGGATTCGATGGGTCGCTGGTCGTTGTCGACTCGTCTGGACGAGCCCGACGCGGTAGCAGGTCTCGGCTGTGGCCCTGTAGCGACGGAGGCTTTCGTTGAATGCGCTACGCGGGACTCCGTCATGACCACTTCAACTGTCGCCTCTGTGTTTCGATTTTGGTTTCGAGCAGAAGCTCCCTCGTTGTCTTGTGGCTCGCCGCATGCTCCGCTGCTCGGACTAGAAGATGGTCGATGGCGAGCCTGAGCATACTTGAACCGTTCTTACGTGTCGTGGATCGTGTTTACCTGCTGGTTTAGCGTGCCGGCGGACTTCCTCAAGGCGTTGAATAGTATCTCTTGCTCATCCGTCCATCGGCCCTTGGCAGCTTCTTCCAGATTCTTTAAAATGCGTGTGATTACTCTCTCCACTGCTTCTATGTACTCCAGAGTGTAGAAGACTGCCGTGTTTGGTGTTGGACACGAGGTTTCGCCTGTCGCATCGACATCTGCGGCCGACAGCATGGAGAGCGTCGCGCCCATTTCCGCTATGCTGTGGGCAGGAAGGGGTTAGTTGTAGCCGTAACACTGTTATGAAGCTAAGACTAGGGAGACTACACACTAGACCACTACCCTACCCTGCGGCTTTTATTCGATTGTAATGCTCGATGCGGTGTCGGATAATTCGCAGACAGCAGCTCAGTGAGATGTGAGGAGGGCGATCTGACGCGGACCTGGTACGAGGGAGGAATGGCGCTTCTCGTAGTGCAACAAGCTACCGTTGCAGCATCGCCTTCGCGAATGTAGATGGTAGCTCCCAGTTCGATGAGTGCAACGACTGGCCTGGCCAACAGGGCATGTGGCCCATGCGGACACGCCTCTGGCGCGCTGTCATATCTGACCGGCCTGGGGGATAGGGGTTAGGGTGTGATGCTGGTGATATGTACGGCACGAGAGACCTGGCAGGCTGCCATAGTTTCGGGGACGGCGGCGGCGAGCTCGTAGGCGTGGGTACTCCTTGGGCATCGCTTCCGGTATCTGCGTCTGGCAGAAGCCTCGTCTCTTCATCTGGTAGGAGGCCAGGGTCCGACTCTGGGTCTGCTTCCTGGGCGGAAGGCTGCGGGTTAGCCTTGGCGGCGGAAGACAGCATCATGTTGATGATACATTTGACGAGTCCCAAAACCGCGTAGACAAGGAAGACGGCCTTGTAAGCAGCAATGCCCTCCCAGCCGTCAAGACTCTGCAACGCCTGCACCATCCAGCCACAGGTCAAAGTGCCCAGTGCAGTGCCAGCAGTTCCGAAAAGCGTGTACCAGGCGAAGATGTCGCTACGTTGATCCTCACGTGTCAAATGAGCAAGCACCGACTCTTCGATGGCGCGGAACGGCCCAATCTCGTTGCCGCTGGGGCTGATGACGCCAAAGATGCTGGCAAGAAGCAGCACCCAGTAGTTGTCGACTTAGGCGAATACAGCGCCACTGAGGACGAGCATAAGCGCGCCGACTGTCAGCACGCGCCGGCGGCCAACCGCGTTGGTGATGGCAGTCAATACAAAGCTCAGGACCACATCGCCGAGGAGGGTCAGCGTCATGAACAGACCAATCTGGTCGTCGGAGAAGTCCATGCTGGACAGGAACTGCGCAAGGATCAGGAACGAAGCGCCGTAGGCGTACAGGCGGACGAACCGCTGCAGGCAGAGGAGCTTGACATCCCGGCTCGAGGCGGCAATGGCATGTAATCCGTGGCAAGTCGGGCAGTCCACGATGGTGACTGCGAAGCCATCGAGACGAAGGGCGGTCTTGTGAGCGTGGGTATGACAGGAGGAAGGAGAGCAGTGGTGGCCGTTGTTGGTGGCTGACGCGGCTCTTGGTAGCGCACTTTCGAGGGAAGGGCAGACTTGATGCTTGGTGCGATATTTAGGAGACTGTACTGTGGAGCTCGGCGGAATGGGTCTAACTCCGAGCTTGACACAGCAACAAGGAAGGCGTCATCTTGTGCTTCGCACTGTGCACGCATCATTTTCCAAGGCAGGAGCTACCAACTACGCTTAAGCACCGAGCCCAGGTAATGCCACGATACTTGAATACGTACGCAATGTAACATACTCGTCTTCTCGGAAGGCCATGTTCTCTTTTCGGGCACGACGAAGACCTTGTTCCTGTTGTTTGTAGAAAGCATATCGACATTCTGCCCCATTCTGACATGAGACACTTGTTCCCAACTCCAGAAATATTCTAATTACAACGCCCAAAACCTTTCTGGCACCCAGAACCGCAATGGCCCGTCGTTGTGCCACAGAATCCGCCCGAGCTGCAGCACTGGTTGTTGAAGTCTCCGCCAGCACAAGTGAAGCCACCCTTGCTGGAGCCGCAGGACCCATCCACAGTGGGGATATTGTTCGTGATGCAGGAGCTTGAGAAGCCAGATTGGCTATATTCAGAAGTGTAATTGTCAGTAGGTACTTCATAAAGGGAAGTCTGCAAGCTTTTTAACCCACGAAGAAGGCATGGTTATTCTTAGGGCAAAGACAAAAGTACTCACCACCCTTGGCCACAGTGGTTGGCTGTCTTTCCACAACTGCCTGTGCTCGAACAGCAGTTGCCAAAGACAGAGCCGGTACACGTCTTGCCGTTCTTGGTTCCACAGACGCCGTCAGTCGAGATGGAGCCAGAGCCTGCGTTGCAGGTGCCAAAGCCCGACTGGCAGCCCACACCACAGTGATCAGTACTCCCACCACAGAATCCACTGGACGAGCAGCAATCCCCGAAGCCTGACCCCTTGCAACTCTTCCCGTTCTTGGTACCGCACTCCCCGTTGGTCGAGACGCCACCGGAGCCAGTATCACATGTGCCGAAAGTAGACTGACAACCAGCCCCGCAGTGGCCGGTCGTGAAACCGCAGAAACCGCTCGATGAACAGCAGTCTCCGAATCCAGATCCCTTACAAGCTTTGCCATTCTTGCTGCCACAGGATCCGTCGGTCGAGATGCCGCCGGAGCCGCTATCACATGTGCCAAAGGCAGATTGGCAGCCCGCTCCGCAGTGACTGCTTGTACCGCCGCAAAACCCGCTAGAGGAGCAGCAATCTCCAAAGCCAGACCCTTTGCAGATCTTATTGCCATTCTTCGCGCCACACGAACCGTCTGTGGATATGGAACCGGCTCCCGTGTCGCAGGTCCCAAAGTCAGACTGGCAACCTGCACCACAATGGGTCGTCGAGCCGCCGCAGAAACCGCTCGAAGAGCAACAGTCGCCAAAGCCCGAGCCCTTGCAAATCTTATTACCGTTGGCCGGACCGCAGGTGCCGTCAGTGGAGATAGTGCCGGCGCCGGTAACACAGGTACCGAAGCCAGACTGGCAACCTGCGCTGCAGTGCGCAGTGGTATTGCCACAATAGCCGCTGCCAGAGCAGCAGTCCCCAAACCCGGCACCGGTGCAGATCAAGCCATTGGCCTTGCCGCAGGATCCATCGGTGGTGACGTTGGACGGAGCAGAACATGTCCCAAAGGATGCCTGGCAGCCAGCATCGCAATGGCCGGTCGTGGCACCACAGAAGCCGCTGGACGAACAGCAGTCTCCAAACGCAGAGCCCTTGCAGGTTTTGCCGTTCTTGCTGCCGCACTCGCCGTCCGTCGAGATGTTGCCGGACTCAGAGCCGCCGGTACAGGTGCCAAAGGCAGACTGACACCCGGCTCCGCAGTGCCCGGTCGAGTCTCCGCAAAAGCCGCTGCTGGAGCAGCAGCTGCCGAAGCCGGACTCCGGGCACACCTTGTTCCCGCCGGCTGATCCGCACCGGCCGTCGGGGGAGACGTTGCCAGAGTCTCGACATGTGCCGAACGGAGACTGGCATCCCACGCCGCAGTGCGCCGATGTCGAGCCGCAGAACCCACTCGACGAGCAGCAGTCTCCGAACGACGTGCCTGTGCAGTTGAACTGGTTGGTGCCGCCGCAGGAGCCGTCAGGGGAAGGACTGCCCGGCCCGGGAGGCGGCTTGGTAGGGGCATTGCAGTTGCCAAACTTTGACTGGCTGTTCACTCAGGATTAGTGTCCCACATTGTTTAGAGACGGTTGTCGATTCGAAAGCTTGAAGCTGGACGTACCATCCCTCGCCACAGAAGGCGGTTGACCGACCGCAGACGCCGTCTTTGGAGCAACACGCGCCCCAGGTCGGCGAGCACACGAAGCCACTTGCATCTCCGCAAGTGCCGTCCTCGGTAACGACGCCAGTCTGCCATGGAGGTACTGACATGGTCGCCGATTGGGCCATGGCAGTGCCCACAAGGGCAGCCAGTAGAATGCAAGTTCTCATCGTGATCAAGACCTATGAGCGAGAATTGTTGACCGCTAGCAGATGTGGTTGGTGGCTACAAAGTGATCTCAGAAAGGAGAGTACTAGCCCATTTATCCTGCAAAGAGAAATCAAGATCAGACTGACGAGAAGTCATTGACTCGCCGTCGGTCAGCGAAGACCCATGCGGCGAGTATCTGACGTTGATTGGAGTCTTCTCGGCTATCGTAGGAAATTGCCTCGGCGCTCATGCATGGATTCTGGATAACATTCTACTGAGTAGTCTGAGCTGGCGCCTAGACCACGGTCAGCCAGGGCCCCCCGCCTATGCCTCCAGAAATAGCAATAGCACTTTTTAACCACATGAGCCTGGCCCGTCTTGCGCAACCGCCACCAGCTCCCGAGAGAAGGTTCACCGTATTGGAAGCTGTCTCCAGTCTCTAGCGAGCCGTTGGGGGCTGTTCCGGGATCCACGGCATGGGTCGCCAAGAAGAGAGAAAATTAACCGACCATGCTGACGGTCTGGACCCCATACCAGAGATCCGGGATAGTCAGTACCGACATTGGGCTGACAAGGATTGATACCCATGGCTTTTTCATGGAGAATCCTTTACCAGAGCATAGCGGGACCTGCCGACCTGCCCAATACAGCAATTTGGCCAGAAAGGTAGTTTGGGCCCGCAAGGGCCATGATGCCAAGCCGCACATAGGCTATGCTGTGGAGGAGGGCCCCTGGTCTAGCTTGCTAACAAAACTATGTGCATGGGTGGTTTGAGCCAATCCGGGCGAGTCCATCCGCCATCTCAGCCGGAAGCTCGAGTCACGGCTCAAATGAAACGGCAACATGTAAGCAGCACGTTGCCACACAGTCGCACCCAGACGCACAGGGGCTTGTATTCATTAAGCTATTCTGGGCGAAGCTTATGCCTGCCAAGGCTTCCATAATAGACTATTGTGTGGCAATTCCTTAACCCCTGAGCCTCCGCATTCATTCCATTGTTACATTCCCCTCAAGGCCGGGGCATGCCGGTCCATCTTGACCACCGTTCTCGCCCCCAGCCAACACTGCCACAACGGATTTTGTTGCCAACTCCGATTAATCCGCAGCTCACCGCGTAGATGTCGGTTCATTTAATCTCGGACAGTGCCTGTGCAATGAGAAACGCCGGCTTGGCACGCAGCATAAGCTGACTCGTAATGATCTCGCCCCGCTCTTAATGCCATGGGCTGTTCAGTCGCGACGGTCAGCGCCGGCATGTGCATCCATTGTTACCTGTTTGGTCGGAAGCTTGCCTGGCCACAACTTTGGTCTTTTTTCCCGTTGTGGTGTAGGCTGGCTTGCTGTCTCGGGGTGCGAAGCCAACCTTACGTTGCAAAAGAGTCTCGTGTGATCCAGACGGCCCATCCAGGATACGGAGTCCTGTGGATCCACCACGCTTTACTGCTCATGTCGTTGAGACCGAACCTGCATATACCGTCGTGCTCAGCACTATATCAACTTCATCGTGGCAATTTATATTTGTGCTGTATCACCTTCGCCTGGCCACAACGACTTTATGATGTCGAGGGTTACGGCGTCCTACAAGTAAAATGTTCTCTACGAAAGCGTCAACGACTGCCCTCTGGGCGCTCGCTGCTCTCTTCGTGGTCTTGTGCCTCTCGCCAGGCGTCTTCTTCGCCCCAGCATCACACCCTCGCCATCTCCGACGAGCTCAGGATCAAGTCGACGAAAGTTCCGCCGTTGCTGGCGATCTCGTCATCACGCGACACTCTCCAGGCCATCAGAATCCAGCTGTCGCCCCTCCAAAACCCCTCGATGAAGCCTTGGAACACACCGCCGACCTGGGAAACGCTTCTTCATCCAGTGTTAGCCCTAACCCTAGAAATATCCAGTCGCTGTCGAAGCGCGACGGCGGTCCTCTTTATTGCACCAACGGACCTTGCGTCGATGGCAGTTGTTGCGGTAAGAACAACATCTGCGGATATGGACCAGACTACTGCGGCGATGGATGCCAGTCTCAATGCGATGCGACTGCCATGTGCGGAGAGTATAGCGAGAACGCAGAGATGCCCTGTGGCATGAACCTGTGTTGTTCCGCGACTGGCTGGTGTGGAGTAAGTTTGCTGCCAATTTAGTGCTGTACGAGATGGGTTATTTCTCTGTAGGATCCTTGCTTACACGACATGACCCACAGACAACAGAAGTATACTGCAACAATGCTGATCCCCTGCACGGGACCCTGCCTTGCCAGGCTGGCTACGGCTCATGCCAGATGTATGGCACTCCTTCCTGTCCGGCTGGGGGGGGTTCGACCAAAGGTCGCTCAGTCGGCTACTATCAGTCTTGGAATGTACGGGAGCGGAAGTGCAATACGGTCTCGCCCAAGGAACTCGACACGAGCCTCTATACGCACTTGTTCTACTCGTTTGCGTCGATTGATCCAACTTCGTTCTCCATCGTCAACGCCCATCCTGACGATGCTAAGATGATTCCCGAGTTCACGGCTCTGCACCAAAACGGCGGACCACAGACATGGATCGCCGTGGGTGGCTTCGACTTCAGCGATCCTGGTAGGCCCACACATACGACCTGGAGCGATCTGTGCCTCACCAAGGCAAATCGTGCTGCCTTTATCAACTCCGTCAAGGCCTACATGGATCAATGGGGATTTCAGGGCGTCGACCTAGACTGGGAATATCCCGGCGCGCCTGAGCGTGGCGGTCGCAAGCTGACAGATGTGCGCAACTTTGCTATGCTGGTCCGAGAGATGCGCGCTGCCTTTGGAACCTCGTACGGGATCAGCCTGACCCTCGCGCCTGACTACTGGTACCTGCGCTGGTTTGACGCCAAGGCTATGGAGCCGTACGTCGACTTCTTCGGATTCATGGCGTACGATCTGCACGGCTCGTGGGACGAGGACGTAAAGACTCTGGGCAAGCTCGTGCGCGGCCAGGCTGACATTCGCGAGATATCCACAAACACTGTCCCGCTCTGGTTCGCCGGCCTGGACCCGGCCAAGATCAATTTTGGTCTCGCCATGTATGGGCGCGGCTACACGCTCGCCAGCCCTGCGTGCAACTCGTTGCTGTGCTCCTTCAAGGGTCCAAGCAACGGGGGCCCATGTACTGGTTTTGAGTAAGTCTCCTTCTTGCGCTGCTGTCAACAGATCAGCAGACTAACTGAGTACCAACCTTGATAGCGGAGTGTTGTCCCTTTACGAGCTCAAGAAGCTTATCAAGGAAAAGGGGCTCACACCAACTTACCTCCCCGATTCCATGATGAAACAGCTCACCTGGGATGACCAGTGGATTGGTTATGACGACGACGAGACCTTTGCCGCCAAGAAGGCATGGGCTGACTCGAGATGTTTTGGCGGCGTCATGTATTGGGGCATAGACTATGGTGTCGCTGGTTCCGGCTCGTAAGTGGAGGCTCTTGGTTTCTGAGGCACCCCCTTTGATAAAGAGACCAGAGAGACTGACTGACTGACCGATCTTCCAGACCCGAGGACAACTATCCCGTAGTGTATCTCGATCCGATCATCTATAACCAAGTACCCGCACAGTGCACGCCCCCTTGTCGTCTGGTGTTCCCTCCTACCTCCTTGACGGCTGCAACAACTCTTTCCATCCCGCCATATACTACATCGCTCCAGCTGGGCCAAGGCACTACGACAACCATCACAATCACTGTGCCTGCCATTACTGCGACGTCCATGAGCTACTCAAACATGATTATCAGCCCCGGGCAGGATTCTACCACGATCTACCCATACCTGAGCATCGACGTTCCCCCAGTCACCACAGTTATTGACGGGCAGACAAGGACACTCACGCTACCACCATGGCCTCTCATCACCAACGGCCCACCAGACCATTGGAACTTCACGACAGAGCCGCCCAGAACGGAGGTCCCCGTCTTTCCATTGCCCACTGGTCCCCGCGATCCGCCCGCCCCTACACTGACCCCAATCAGCAAACCGGTATTCACTGGACCGAAGCCTGTTCCGACCTGGCCCACACAGGTTGACGTCGAGCCCGTTCCCACGCCGGTGCCGGACGAGGGTGAGGATGACGATGACGACGGCCCAACGTTCAAGACGTCGTGTAAACTGTGGTTCTTCTGGGTCAGTGCAGCCCAGGGTAATAGTTCAAGGAAACAATGCGCTAACCCCTACTTAGACCTGTATCAGTCTCCCTGGGCCGTTCAACATTGAGATCCATGGATGGAACTTCAATCTCCCCACAGGAATTTGGGGCCCGTAAGTAGACCCTGTACCACTTCGGTTTTGCCCATGTCTTCCGTGCCAGTCGCAGCATCCCTATCGAGTACGTTAGCGTATCTAGGCTGACATTAGACCGATGTCCATAGTGGTATTGCACCACCCGGCATCAAATGGCCCCCAGGGGTGACATTGAAAGGAACTCTACCGCCATGGCCCAAGATCACGTAAGTCCAAACAGCCTCGCGAAGCCTTTGCCCGACATTCCAAGTTCAAAGGAGATACTGACTCAACCAGTGTGCATCCCGGCGGTGCGATTGAAGCCGGGCCTAAGCCGGCCGACTGTACTCCGGCGGAAGCTTCTTTGTGCTTGACAAAGAGTTACTTTGCAACCACCGTCTCTGGTGGCGCGACCAGGACAACCGCCACATCGGTCACAGAAACATGTGCGACCATCACCGGCTGTCATCTCAGGGACATTGAGACAGCTACCAACATTGACGCATGCACGCTCCGGCGCAGGGCCATTGACGTCACGGCCCTGCCGGAGCCCACTAGCACGAGTCTCACGCATGAAGACAACCCGAAAGTGGAAGAGCGCGCTGCTCACGAAAGTGAGCACGACGAGCCTTTGATGCACCTTGAAGCTCGCGCCGAGCCCGACTGGAAGAACTGTGAAGGGCCGGGAGACGGAGGCATCATCTGGCCCTTGTATGGTGGCGACAACGCCCAGCAAAACGAGATCCGTAGAGTGCTCGCCAGCCGCAAGGCGGCAATAGGTAAGGACTACAGAGAGTTCCGTGCCAACGACCTCGGCTACACAGCCTTCTACCTAGTGTACGACATGGGTCCCGCGGCACTTGCGTACTTCAACTCGGCCGAGATGCCCCAGATCTACCTGGCCTACCACCCTGCCAACCCAGTCCGGCCGTCACATATTCCTAACAAGCGGGATGACGATGAAAGTGCTCCTGGGGGAGCGCAGAATGTCACCGTCGCCCCCAGCGACGCCAGCGTCTTGGCGAAGAGGGCGATCGTCACGGAGTCCAGCGCGGCGTGGCAGCTTTCTCTGGCTTCGTGGCCGCCTGCGTACGACTTCAACGCGATTTGGCCACAGTACAACCACAACCCCTCTACCAACAACTACGGCACGTCATGGGATGATTCGTATGGCGCGGGCCAGACAATCTATATCTTGGAATCCGGCCTGCCAGACCTCGATGTAAGCATCAATGTTGCCCGCCACCATTGTGGCGATCTTTACCTCAAGTTTTTCATGACCGAAATTGTGCCATCTGACCTCTTATTCTGCGCGCAGAACTATAAAGACCGGCTCCGGCGCCTCCCGCTGTCCAACTTTGCAGGACCGTTCACGCCCACGGAGTCGGACAACCATCATGGTGCCGCGGTGGCAGCGTTGGCAGCCGGCACGATCGTGGGCATTGCCCGAAAGGCCAATGTCGTCTTCGTCGAGGTCCGGCTCGGAACTGCCACTACAATCTATGAGACATTCCTGGAGGCCTTTATCAGGGTCGCCGACGATGCCGCGAGCAAGCCCAAAGACACGTGCGTCGTCAACACGTCGTGGGGTTATGCAAAGACGGGCCCCGTCAGCTTGGCATTTCACGAAATTTTGGGTACGATCACATCCCGTCCTTGAAACTGTACCCCCTTTTTTCGTGCTCGTGCTGACCTTGTTGTGTACTTGCCCCTCCTCCTCGTCAGTCGCCCTCATGAATGCCATGGCCGTCAAGTACGGCTGCATCTTTGTGGCAGCCCCCGGCAACGATGGCAACACGGCAACGCACTACCCGGCGCTGGCGCGAGACCAGGTCGCCGGGATGATGATTGTTGGCGCCGTGGACGCCTTCGGAGCAGCCGCGTCTTTCAACTCGGGCAAGGAGATCATCAATGTGTACGCCCCTGGCGTTGGCATCCCGATCGTTGCCATGCACACCTCGGGCACATCTTTTGGTATGTACATGGCCTTCTGCGCTGTTCCTGCACTTTAGCTCGACAGGGGCTTGAGAGCGATTTTGCAGACTAACCATGAGTACGCGGACTATTAGCATCTCCAATGGTGGCTGGCTTGGCCGCCTATTTCCGTGGCCTCCCCAATTACAACGGAGGGAGAGACCCGGCAAGCATCCGTGACTTGATCCAGAAACTCTCCCGGCCGATCCCGTTCCGAGCCCCGCGGCAGGGCACCGGGATCCCCGTCATCTGGAACGGCATCGAGGGCAATACATTCTGCACGGTCGTCAAGAGGGGACTCGAGTTCCGCCAGGACGGCGGCTCTTGTCCACTGCCCAGTCCCGGCGGACCTGGGGGTCCAGGCGGCCCAGGTGGTCAGGGGCCCCGTGGCCCTGTCGGCCCTCCGGTGACCTTCCGGCCCGGCCCTCCGAGCCCGATCTGTACCGCAAATTGTGGCGTGCTGTGCAAGGGCTTCTACTGCGATGCCAATCCAATCGGTCACCCCCCAGACTTCACTTTCACCCCGCCGCCACCGCCTCCCAACACTTCACAGCCGCCGGCGACACAGCAGCCGCCATCGACGCCCACCAGCCAGCCGGACATCCCGCCCATCGACATCACCAACTTACCCACGCTCGAACCGGTCCCAACCGGCGGCCCGATCCCATCAGACTGTGCCTCCGTCTACTCCTGGACAACCTGTGCCCTCGGTGTGCCGCCCGGTGTGTCCGCATGCCAGACCTTCAGCACATGCGTGTCGACCAAGGCGCCCCCTCCGCCACAGACCACGCACAACCCGGACGACGACATCCCGACGGGCCCCCCCACGTTCTATCTCTACAACGGCGCCTGGGTCACCGAGGCCGCCGACCCGCACATCTTCGCCAAGGCCGTCGAGAAGAAGAACGTCGACAACTGCGACGCCATGGACGAGTCTGAGGACCTCGACGGCGCCAAAGGTGACAGGTCTTACCCCTGGCCCGAGCAGACCTTCAAGGTCAAGCTGTGCTCCAAGGATCTCGAGTTCAAGAAGACGGACAACGACTATGACGTGTACAGCGGCGGCAAGAAGGTCGGCAAGTGCAGCAAGGGCTCTGATACCATAAAGGACTGCTTCTGGGCCCCCATCATCTCGGCAGAGTTTGACCAGGCCTATGCTTGCACGGGTGCTTGTTGATTGCATGCGCGCTAACATTTTGGCGGGAGGTGATGGGAGGACGTGGGGGCATGGGTCCAGGCACAAATAGATTTCCTATGTTCATTGCGTTTTTTCCACTTTGCCATGGACATAGGTACTTATATTCATGGATTGTTGTTCTTTACCTACGAATGCGAACACGAATAATTGGATGCAGTATTTGGGGTGTCAATGTTGACAGAGCTTCGTATTAAGGATGCAGCGAGCTGCTCATATAGTTGCCTACCTCCAGGAGAATTCATGAGCAGCATAAGCCACGCCCCGGAACGCCAGCTATACACTCCAGGGGCCTGAAATGCTCAGTCAGGCACTCCAATATCTCTCCAAGTAGGTTATGTGTTCCTCCGCGTCATATGCTCTAACTGGAGTGAGAAACTCAACGCTAGTCCGATTTTCAGGAGACTATAGAGCTCGGAGGAAGCTAAATCCGAGCTTGATCTAGCAATAGAGCAGGCTGGCCTAGACTCCACCATGTGCTAGCATGCTTCCCAACAACCGTGGCCACAGTTGACCGCGTAGTCCAGACAACAGCCTGACACTTCCGCATCTACGCGTTGCAATGTACTCCTCTTTTGATTTTTGCAACGCCAATGCTCTGCTCTGAGGCCCCAACTAGTACCCGAGTGTAGCTGTCATTCCATACCCATGCCGAAGCATATGGGCACTCAAGCTGGCGCTTATATCCTACGCTGGCACTTGAGAAATACGTTTGTCTCCAGCTGTCCGGCCCCCTGACGATTGTAGATGATACGAGGCAGTGGCCCAGACCTGCGATTTCCAACTTTATCGCAGACGTGGAAATTATAGTGGGCTACGAACAGCACGTTCGCCACAATCACATTCAGCTCCGCAAACTTTTTACACCTCCCATCAGCCCTTGCGAATCACTCGCCTGGACAAAAACAGGGAAAATAAAGAAAGAAAGAAAAAGTATCATGTAATTACCCTCCTAGCCGGACAAGGATGATTCCCCGACCCCCAACCCAGGTACCCGTGAGGCAAGTCATCGCCTTGGTGCTTGTCCCCAAGAAACCGACTGGGATCCCACTTCAGAGGGTCCGGATAGATTGCCTCATTCATGTGCGTATCGGCCGTGGCATGGATGGTAAGGCTGCCCGGCGGCACGACGAGGCCTCCGACACCAATCTCAAGGTCCCTGGCGCTGATGTTCTTCCTCACCACCGACCCAGCCATGGTAAACCGGATGCTCTCGGTGATGGCCGCCCTCAGGATCGGGAAGCATGTCTCCCAGTCCCATACTGACAACCTCTGCAAGGTGTCGACTAGTGGCTCGGATGCATTTGGTGATAGAGCGCGCCGTCTCTCGAGGACAGTGTCGATCTCGGTGCGGACCTTGTCGAGCCACTCCGGCTCGTTTGCTAGACTGCATATATTATAGACGGTCGAGAAAGTGGTGTTGAAAACCCCAGCGAGCACAGCGCCGATGACCGAGACCGATTGCATCTTGGATCCCAGGTCTGTCTCGATCATCATCTGCAGCATGTCATCCTCTGTACGCCCCGCGGCTTTACGCTCCCGCGCAATCTTGGTCACGGCCAAGTGCAGCTTCGCGTAGCCCCAGACCTTGCGCAGCTTGGACGGCGTGGGCAGCCAGGGCAGCATGATGTCAATGTACGGTGAGTCCTCGAGGGGCATGTACACGCTCCAGGTCTCGCGCAGCAGGGACGGGTCATTGGCGATGTCGTGGACGCCCGAAGCGCGGTGTGTGAGCTGGTAGCTCAAGAGGCCGAGGAACTTCTGGGGGTCAATGATGGCCGAGCTGCTCTTTTCGTCTGTCCTGAGGCCTAGAGCGCGCATGTGGGAGTCACTGTCAGAGACGAGGCGTGGGAGAATGGTGGTCATGTGATCAACCTGTGCGCATCGCTTGTATATCTGAAATACCCGGCGCGTGGAGTCCTTGGTAACTTCGCTGATGTCAAGGAAGCCACCCAGCAGAGCGACGAACCTGTCAATGATTTCGAGATTAGCTTACCGTCCTTGTTGAGATCAGAGACTCCTGGAGTGTGTACTCACCCAGCCGTCGGATCCAGCCCTCGCGCGGTCAGAAAGCTCGTCCGGCACTCCCTGGAAGCACAATCCAGGTCCGGGTTGACTTCCTGATCCGCATCGCCATCGCTCTGGCGGTTGTGATGATGGTGTTGGTGATTTACAGCAATCGCGATACAGGTTGGGAATTGACCGCTGACTTCCAGACCGCCGTGACAGCCACCACTGGCGAGGTTTCGGCTGTGGCGGCCACTGCCGACCGATCTGCCATTCGGGGAGCAGTGCGCACCTACCGACACATCCGTGGAATCCCCGGGGCTGCACCCGCACGTCGTCGCTGGGCCTGGGGTCAGCACCCGCGCCGTCAGTGATCAACCGGAGTCCCAGCCGTGGCCAGTCGATACCACTTTGCCAACACATATTTCCTAATTTTCCTAGCGTCTCGAACAACAGGGCGGTGCGCCGCCTTTACCACATCCGAAATGTCAGGGAAGAGGCAATCAGAATCGAAAAGAGGTCAGATCACTTTATGGTGGGCGTCGCTACATTTTGAAGTCGACCAGGGCGTCACCTCGTCGCGGGCCCGGTGACATCTCTTGGGTGAGTGGCCGAGTGGTGGGCAGAGTGTGGCGCTAGAGCACCACACGTGGCTTTGCCACGATATGTAAATAGCTTTAGCTACCAACTCTGCACTGGGGTTAACTTCGATAGAACAACACCATCCCACCCATCGTCACCAACCATTGCCGGGCATTGTCGTGTCGACTTCGTCTTTTTTCAACCCCTGGTTCTCTTATCTCGCTGCGAGATGAGTGCGCCATGCTTGTGCGACAGGCCGCCACCATCATCTTCGGGATCTTATCATGGTACTTCTTCAAGATCCTTCCGTTGAAACCCTTCTCGGTCCAACACATTGTCAGGTAGTGTGGCCCCCTGGATCTCACTACTTCAACCCTCAACATTACGGTAGGGGGCTTCGGGCTTGCCTCCAAGCTTCCTTCGAAATCGACCTCCTCTGGATCTTTCCCTGCCCCGACCTCCCGCATCATTCTCAGAACGGGGCGTACACGCTTGGTCTTCAAGAGACCGGGACAGCTATCGATGAGAGCTGTATTCCAGTCGAACATAGTGGCATCCTGCAGTTCGCCGCTCTTCGTGAAGCCACGCACTAGTTCAGAGAGTCTTGGATAGTTCTCGAAGACCTTGGCAAGTTTGTTGTTTCGCCATTCTTTCTCCTTAATGATCTCCGTCGGCACCAGGACGGTGTGTATTTTTTTCTCTTCAACAAGCTTCAGGAATCTCCATGCTGAATACATGTCGACAGCAACGTTGAACTGATTGGTCAAGATGTTGAGATTACCGTATATGTAGCAAGCCATAGTTGTGGCGCTCTCCATGGGCAGATCGTTCTCAACCCACTTGAGAGCTTCGGTGAAGGGTCCGCCTATGGCCGCGCGCGGGCCTGCATCCTTTCTATGAAGCAGACCGTAGACTAGGGGGAGAGCTTTCTTCAGCTTACTTTTCTCGGCTGCAGTTCGTTTCTCTTCACGCAGGGCCGTTTCCTCCTCTACGAGCTGATCAAATGGGAGGACGATGTCGGCCTGATTGGAAGCTCGTCTTTTGGCATCTTTCACCTGAATGTAGTCGTTCCACACCCGGAGTATGAGCCTTTCGCGCTCTTCGCCATTGTTCGACTTCAAGGCTGCGTCGAGCCGCTCCTTCAGAGCTTCAACTCTCTCCTCTTCTTCTCGAAATGCCCATATGTAATCGGGACTGTGGCCCTGGTGTCCCAATCCTGGTGATATCTTCTTGATTGAATCCTCGTCCGTATAGAACTGGTAGCGATCTCGAGGGATGTTAAGACCGTCCAGAAGGGTCGTCCAATAGTGCGCAATGACCTTGACATAAGTACTTGCAATGGACTTGAAATGGCTCCCACCGGCCTCAAAATGTCGGTCTGGCTTGCTGAACCACTCCTCCGCGATCTCTTGCTTGATTTCCGTAACCCATTTCGGCTTTTCTGTAAACGGTGTCAACATGCGTCTTATGACTTCGTTGTTATCGACCTCTCCGTTCGGTCGCGTAGTGTACTCCGAAACGGCATTGTACACTTCACGGTAATGACTACCATAGTCCTTAACAGTGAGGTCGACAGGCCGAGGCGAGAGAATGACACAAACACGTCGACGTGGGTTGCGCCGAATGATGGAGAGAACCATAAACCAGTTATCAGGGTCGGGACAATCAACAAAGACCAGAAACTTTTTTCGCGACTTCTTGGAGTGCCCTGCCTGATTTGAAGCCATGGCTGCTGATTTCGGAAGAGGCCGCACGATACTGGTAGTTCCTAGTTTTGCTGGGCGGTCGCTGAATTGCAAGTACACCTGGCTTTTAAGCTGGCCTTATATGTACTGAGACGTCGTAGGCGTGAGTGTTTGTCAGAGCTACTTTATTCTAATAGGCGTCCCTTGCCGGTGATAGGTCTAACAATTCAATTCCCTAGAATCTACAAGATCGGCCGCCTTCCCTCGGCATGCTTGAAAGACACTCCACAAACAATGGACTTAAAGTTGCACCACAAACAGAGCTAGACAGGGGTGCTTTGGGCAAGATAGCAACGCAGAAGCTTTTGCAAATACACGTGCAATTCCCAAGGTTAGACAGGAATGCGGCTTGGTTGGAGATAATCCAAGTTAGTCAAACAAGGAGACGGGGACTCCTTCCGCAGCGCATCATTTTGAGCATTTCTTAAACGTGTAGAGGCGAATGCCGGTCCCGTGTAGCCGGCGGAGACTATAGAAACAAACAGATCCCCCAGGCTCCTCACTCAGCCATGAGCCATGATGCTTGCTAGTTGCTGTCAGCACGTGATGCTTGATTTTTGCATCTTATCAAGCAAATGCACTGGCTCGTGACTTATCTACCATGGGCCTGCCATTGCACTACAGTTTGACTCGTGTTCGCTAAAAACGATTGAACTTAATAAGTCTTACCCCACCAAGAATACAAGAAATGCACATCACACGCATCGTGGGCACAATCGTCTCGTTACTGATTCTGGGTCGCCTGTGGCTGATGTACCGTGGAACAGACGGGGTAACATTCCTTTCGGCTAGTGAGTCGGACGTAGGAAGGACAGATCTTGCAACCCTCGGATTTGTGCGTCGAGCCGGTAAAGGCGGACATATCAGGCTCTCGTCAGCCTTCAAATACACACAAAGCTGTGTCCAGCTTTCTCGCGATCTACCCGTCGACAGAAGTAATGTCACAAAGGTTGCCCGACGGCTTATCGTAGAGCCCATCAAGGCAAGGTTAGATCAACCTGGATCTCTGCAAATAGAGCCATGCGATGCGATTCTCCTACCATTCAAAAATGCATACCCACGATCAGCCAAATATGAAGACCTGGCATTCGATATGGCCACGTCTTTGGTTCGTCTAAGTCAGAGCGTCGACTCGATTGCTCATTGGGCCTCTAACCGGGGTACACTCCTCGTCGTGGTGATCGAAGACTACATCGGGCATGAGGACGAAGTCGCCGACCTGCTTGCACAGTTTCACAGCCTCAAGATCAACGCCATCTTCATATCGCCCATCGCCAGCAACCATTCCATGTCTCAATCACATTTTGCAGTTCTCAGCAAGATGCTCGCCGAAAGCGGGCCAGAGACAAAGTGGTTCGCTCTGCTTGACGACGACACGTTCTTTCCGCACCTGGAGCCTTTATCCACGGCACTCAGCTCTCTTGATCACGAAAACAAAGACCTTTATGTTGGCGGGCTGACGGAGGACTGGGGGTCTCTCACCCGATTCGGTCTCATGGCTTATGGCGGTGCTGGCGTATATCTCTCTGCACATCTGGCCAGGAAGATCGGGAACCTGGACCAGGCCCTCCAGTGCATCGAGGAGTCCCCGCCTCAGCTGGGAGACATCATCATCCGTGACTGTGTCTACCGCCACAGTAGGGCGCGTCTGACCGTACTGCCAGATCTGTAAGTCCTTCCACCCCATCATTGATGTCTTGTGATAAGAGTCTAACCTCCTCGATAAAGATATCAACACGATTTGCTGGGCGACCTGCGCGGCTTCTTCGAATCTGGCGTTGAGCCTTTGAACTTGCGCCACAGGAAAAGCTGGTACAGCGAACCTGTAGTTTCCATGGCGCAGGCGACGAACTTTTGCGGGTAATTCATTCTCGTGAAGCACCGGGGTCCCAGCAACGTGTATGCTGACTAAGCGAGCTTGTGCCACAGGAACTGCTTCCTTCAACGATTCATCTTTGGCAACGATACTGTCCTTAGTAATGGCTACTCGATCACCGTGTACCCAAAGGGTGTGGATTCGCTCGATCTGAACAAGATAGAGCGAACATGGGGCAACGTCTATGCAGGCGAGGACCCGAAGTACGAGTACAGCATGGGGCCGCCGCGCGACAGGGTGCCCGACAGTGATCACAAAACGTACTACCTCAAATACACGGAAGTCAGGGCAGATCTCATGAGACAGCTGTATGTGTGGAAAGGAGTTGAAGACCGTGGAGTGCCTGACGAAGTTGTCGAGCTGGTTTGGAGGAGATGACTCAACGCCAGGGTCATATCCTGCTCCGGAAATGGCAGAATATCATGTCGGGTAGGATTTTGTTCGGTTACAAGGCCTCAGAGGAAGAACATGTACCTCGAAAACTATCTGGCAGTCACAGAAATATGGCGATCAGCAGGCAAGAAAGCAAAGCGTGGAAGCATGAATCACTATGCCGACATTGACAGACTACTCGTCCTCCTCGCTGTTCCTCCTTCTGATGACCGCAGAGCTGAGTCCTTTGGGACTCGTTATGCATGCCTGGACACGGTATGGCACGAGGACGATGTACACCGGGAACTGAGTCCTAGAATCAAGACGGGAATCAAGACGGGGAAGGCAACCTCGAGTTTTACCAGCAGAAATCTATCAAGAGATAGGCAGCCGTCCAGCAGTCGGCGCGTATGTGTGCAGCCCCCTTGTGCGTGCGCCGAGTCTGCCTGCTAGGCTCGACACAATCCCCCGAAATTGGTGAAAAGGAGCTGGGCGGCCGCACCGCCCTGAGGCTCGTGCTCTGTAAGAACCCCGACGATGACCTCTCGAGAGGGCCATGCAATGAACGTGTGACCAGTGATGATCGCTTTGGTTTCTAATCGAGTACGGGGCGGGGACATTCATTCGGCTGCTGGCGAGCGCGTTGCATGGCAACCATTAAAGATGGCACAGCTGCTTTGGCCCGGCGCACATTGTCAGCGACGGCACCCTCAAAACTTTTACATTCAGCGACCCGGAGCTCGGGCAGACCGGTGCTGCAACGGGTTTAAAAAGCGAGCCGAGTCCTAGGCGGCCGAGCATTATGGTGCGATATAGCAAACACGCTGCAGTAGCTACGCGAATGGGCTTTGCGTGACTGCGCATCGGAGTCACAGGGCATGGGTCGCACAGCGGTCGTAAGGCGGCACGTTGGAACAAACGAAACCTCCCTCGGATGCCGGACTGGGTTGTCGCCACGAGCCCGCCACAGCGCAGCGACCGCGGCGGCCCATGGCTTCCTTCGGTTCTTGCTTACCGGCTCAACATGTAAGTTGGTCGAGGCAGTGTCGCCCGGCGGGTCGGTCGCCAGGGTGCAATCGCGGTCTGGGTCATGAGCCATGCACAGCACTTGGTTGGCGCTGCCCAGACTGTCGATGCTTTGTTTGAGAATGCAAAGAGTGCGTGCAAAAAGAACTCCCAGGAAAGTCATATCATCGGCTCAGAGGAATGCAGCCTCGTATTGAAAATTACGGTTCATTGTCGGCTTCAGGTGGCCATAATGAAACTGCCCGTCTGCTCTGAGGGCTTGGCCTAGGACTGGTCCTGAGGCCCCCTGGTGAAGGTCTGATTGTGCGCCCTCATGCTTGCCCTCTTTTGAGCTTGCGCGGTGGCAATGACCCTGGAAGTGTCCTGACATGCAAAGGCCACCTACCCGCTACTCGCGAATGTTCGTTGCAGGCGGGGATACTCAGCTCCTGCTTGCCGTCATGCTTGCGTCCGCTGAAGGCAGCCAAACCTCCCTCCAGCCATGTTTGGTGAGTCTGTGCGGCCACCTGGCGAAGCCTCGGGCCGCCACAATGCGGTCAGCTACCCCTTGAATTATCAGGACAAGCGTCCCTGCGATGCTTCGGCTCCTTCATGCTGGCTAATAAGCAGAGCACCCCGGGGGACATATCTCCAGGAGAGCGGGAGCACTTGCAGTGCGAGCTCCACGGGTGACTAGGTGGCGTTATGTGGTGCAAAGGGGTTGAAGCGGACCCACTTTGAGGGGCTGCCAGGCACCCAGCGTCGCTGGCTGTCAGGCATCCGCCGTCAATGCACCTTGTCACTAGGTGCTAAAGACCGCACTTCCCCGGCAGCCATCACCAGGCCATCACTCTTTTCTCCATCATCATCAACCCCGATCTGCTTCACGGGTGCACGAGCCAGCACCGAGGTAAGCGTACCATTCGAGACCGCCTCCAGCACCTGCCAATACACCAGACAGGGCGATTCTGAATCGTTGAGTCTGCATTCGTCTGCTGACTCCGCCAGCACCTCTTCTTTCTTAGTGGACAGAGACCAAGCCAAACATGCTTAGTCTACAAAGTCTCTGGGCAGAGGCAGTCGCCATCTCACCAAGTGGCAAGGAAGACCCGCCAGAAGAACGTACACATGGACGAGTTGTTTTCCCAACTTGGCCCTGAGGCCGGCTCCGACGATTGCAGCCGTCACACCCGTCACCTGAATGATTGACACCAAGCAAAAGCGCAAGGTCTAATCGGCGCGTCCGCAGGTCTCATGATCAACGCAGCGATGCACGAGAACCAGCTCTGCGTCCCGGCAGCCTAGGAGGACTGGGATACAGATACCAAGGATCTCTTGCAAGAGCTCTGTGAAGGCGTTATCCACTACATCTTGTCGCTCGACGAGCGCTTCCGCTTCGAGCACAAAGTCGTCTTCGCCGCAGTCAACATTGCTCTCCGTGCCATCCTCAAACCTGAAAAATGGGCCATTTTTGAGCCGACCAGGGAGGTGCTCTACGCGAAGGTCGGCAGCGCATGTCTTGACATGGCACTCGGCCTCACCGCAGTCCACAGAGCCATCGTTGAGGCGATGCTGGAGACCGCAGTCATGGATACAGATCGCCAGCTCTCCATGGACAGCATTCTCAGCACACGGGCGAGCATCCTGCACCGCATTGGCCACTGCGTCAACGGCTCAACCCCAATCCACTTCCTCGACTTTGTGTATCCTCCCGATTCGCGCACCCCCTTGGAGCAATACATACGCTTCGAAGTCTTGCGTGTCCTCCGGGCTGCACTGGTGGAGCCGTCTTTCTTCTCTTGCTCTGCGAGCCAGATGGTGGCTGCGGCAGTCTCTGCAACGTGGCGTCGTCGGTTCGGAATCCCCTGGGCGGAGCCGCTCGATTCCCTTCCTGGTCACCATTACGAAGAAATCAAGTGGATAGCGGACCTTCTGTAATGTCGCAAGTGAGTTGCGGGGTGCGGTGATTCCCGGCTCATACTCTCTACAAGAATGTCTTATGTGTATGGGAAGGACATTCGTAAAACAATGTCAAGGGTACCCATAGATTTCTTGCCCTACGGAACCTCCTCGCCGCGGTCTGGGAAGGTGAGACATAGTGTCTGGCAGTGTAGGTGCGGGCCATTCGTAGGCGAATCGACATTTGTATGTACATAAAGCTGGTCAATGTATCTCTCGTTTAGTTACACTTCCTGTCAAGAATTTGCCCGAACCTTGCTTGTCTCAGCCAGCAATATGTGTGACCTGATCTAGCGAGACGAAGCTTAGCTAATTGCCTCCCCTACCATCTGGCGGCAAGGAGTAAGCCGCTACCAGGCGCTCTTCCCACTTGGTATGTAATACAACTTCCTACATATTGTTGCCCCTCTGTTCATGCAAGTTTAAGTCCGCGTCGAACCACGTCCTCTCCTGCAGCAGGGACGCGGAGCGGCGTTCCGCCTGGTGCGCTGTGGCCGATGTCCCACCCCGAACAAGCCGTAGATAATTGTTTTTTTTGTTTTTCTTTTGGGCCGAAGACGACGGCCCACAAGCCCAGCCAGTCCGACGTGCTGAGCTTGTGGGATGCCCCGTGACCGAATACCGAGGGAGCTCACCGCTGTTGTGGTGGAGTCCTGTTTCAGCACTGGGGCGGGGGCGGCTCTGTCGCATGTGTACAACATCCACCATGTCCTGCCAGCTCCTCCTCCCTAAAGTGGCAAGTGGGGTGGGGCAACGCGGCTTAACATTCGTCAGGTCTTTGATAGGCCATCGCGCAGCACGCATCGTGCACGATTATGCCAAGCCCAATCGGAAGGATGATGATCATGATGGCACGTCTTTATTTCTAAGGTTTTTCGAACCTGTCTGCCATTTTTCGCGGTGCTATTACGTATCTGGCCCAGGTCCCCGTTGATCCCGTTAGAAAGCGAACGGACGCCAAGCCAATTGTTTGTTTACGTTCTGTCGGCTAGACCCCAGCATCTGACTCCACCCTTCGTCTCGCCCAGCTGGAGCGGTTTGTTTGTAGTACAGTACTCTTAAATGCGGTGTTGGGGTGGTTGGGACCGCTACTCACGCGACTTTAGGCACGGCTGTGGAAAAGCTTCCACGCCCGTGGAGAAAGTTCCACGCCCGTGGAAAAGCTTCCACGCTCGTGGAAAACTTCCCCAGCGCCCCGCATTTCGCGAACCCCCTTTTGGCCAAAGCGACGTCTCTCAATCATCTTTGCGTCTTCATTCTCCGTGTTATCACTGCCTATGGAGGCTATGAAGTATTTTGCCCTAGGCCGGGCTAAGATCGACTATAAAAGTGACGGCGCCCCACCATGCGGTTGGACATTTCCTTCATTCGAAGATTTAGAACGGATCGTGTCAGTGTTTGTCAGCCGACATGGATACAAGGCCAGAACGAAGGAGAAGAGGGAGAGGACCCGATTCTATGTCTGCGGATATAAACAATGTCCCGTTGCGTGGAGCGCACAACGAGTGGTCGACAAGTTTCCTCCGCTCTTAGATTCGCTTGAGGTGGTCCGCATACAATATTCAACCACGATCAGCCACAACCACCAGCTTACCGCTCGTCCGGAGCCAAAACCCCTTCCAGTCGATATGATCTGGCTCGGAGTCCCATTTGGCCCCCTGGTTGAGGAGGGTCGATCTGACTCCGCTATACCATTAGGTGTTCCGATGTCTCAGGAGGGGAAGAGGCTAAAGTCGTCTGCTCTCGATCTAGTAAATGTCGAGCCGCATTTCAAACACCAAGAACATGACGATGACGAGACCGTATGGGTCTATGAGCCGTTGATCATGGCGATCTCGGCAACCATCAAGAACCCATGCCTTACGATGTCGGCGACTTTAACATGGAGTGCAGACTTGTTCCGAGACCTTCGCGAACAGCTTGCCGATGCCACATCTGAGAGGAAGAAGCTCGTTCTTCTCGGATGCATGTCAACGCCCATCCTGGTGCCGGAAGGGCCCTCTTTCGATGAATATTGCGAATATATGAAACTGTTTATGGACAACAATGCTTTTATTAAGGCAATTGCTACACCGGCGTGAACGAATGGCTACACCGGCGTCACTCTTATACAGGCGTCGCTTTTACGGCCTTTGATTGGTCCATCCCTTTTTGTTAGTGCATTTAGATTCTGCCAACAGCGCCCGTTGTACCTCGGGCTTACCTCTCCACCGCAACGATCGACGCGCCTTATGGAAGCTCTTCACCAGCTAGCTACTACACTAATTACCTCTTTGCCGCATGTCGAGCCTACTTAGAATGATTTTCGCGAAAGATACGGTATTTGTTAAGGTCACAGGGCTGGAGTGAGGTGTGTTGGACCCCTGCTGAGACCAAAACTCGAACA